GCTCCCCATTTTCTTTGACTTCAGGCTTCGGCTTCAGCGTCAGCTTCAGCTTGCTTGCCCGTCTGCTTTTTGTCTGTTTTTATTGATTTCGGCAGCTTTTATACGCGCACTATGGGGTGACGGGAGGTTAGAGGTCGAGTGTGGTGGCCATGGCTCATTCGTGACGGCTACAATGGCAAGCAAACAAGTCTTTGTATCTTTGCGATGAAAAATAATTATACGTGGTATTTATTGTATTTTTTATGCTACTCCCTCCCAACCAGACTTGGTCGAAGCTCATTTTGAGGAGTGGATTTTGGGGCAGGACTCTCGCTAATTAGTTTCTGGCTCGCTCTCGCCTTTTGCGAAGGAACTGCGAAGAAAGCGTGGGCGGGAAAATGGGCGGACACACACACACACACTCACAGTCCGAGTCAAAGCAACACACACAGAGAAGAGCTCATCGCAAAAGGCATGTAAAAAAGCGACACCATAATTACTAACCATAAAAATGCGTGGCATGACAAAGGCAAAAATAATGTTGCATACCAATTAGTGCGACATCACACCAGCACACACACAAACACACACACACAATCAAGCCCGCAGACAGGCACCTCACGTCGTATACGTAATATAACCTACCGTGTTTCACTTGGCGAAATATGTACGTTAGTTGTTGCTTCGTGTTGATGCTGTTGCGGTGCTGTTGCTTTTTTGGCAAGGGGTTTTAGTCGAAGGCACTGTAATTTACAGTTAGATCTATTGGGCTTACTGGGCTGCTTTGTTGTTAGTTGTTGGTTGTCGATTTTTTTTTTGTTTTTTAATTTATCAAAAACACGTTTAGCAAATATTTTGTATTTCAACTGTAGTTCGCAGTCGTGTAAAATCGCGTTAAAAAATACTGGCCGTCGACATCCTTGGAATATATATTTTGTTGATATTGTTATATGTGTGCGCCCCCGTGTTTGTGCCCGTGCCCGTGCTGCTGCTGCTGGTGTCTTGAGTGTGTGTGAGTGTGTCCAGGGGGGTGGGGGTGGCGAAAAAAAGGTAAAACGAAACTCAAGGCGCGGCGTGCAGCAGTGGTTCCTCAGCGGCGCACATTACTCGACAGGACCACGGCGGAAGACTGTGCCAGGCGAAAAGTTCGCCGGAGCTGCGGCCCGGAGAGTCAGTCGCAGCAGTGAGTAAAAACAAGCTTAAAATAAGCTAAAAAGCTTTCTGTCTCCTGACTTTCGCTTTCACTCGGCAGGATTGGCGACCCTGCTGAGGACTGGCGCAAGAGTCAAGTCACCACGGGTCAGTAATTGGTTGTAAACCTCTGAAAGGTACTATCACCATTAAGAATTCCTTTGGAAAACTTTAGCATTTTTTTTTTATTGATGTAATTGAATAAATGTTGTTTTTTAGGATAAGCTCCCGTTTTTAATCAAACTTAGTATACATTTTAAATTATTTTAATATTCCCTAAAATATTTTTGAAAAATGATTTAAAAAGCAAGAAGAAAAACAAATTTAACGAAACCGTTTATTTGGCATCTCTGACAATTAAACTACCTAATTAAAATTATATATTATTATTTAAAAAAGCATACAAAAACTAGTTATTATAATTTTTGTTCAGTTGTTAACAGTTTAAATTGTATTAAATATTTCCAAACCCCAGAATCCCAAGGGATGTGTATAAAAAATTAAGTGAAGCTTTAGTTTGGTAGAATTATAATTTAAAAAAATTAATAAAAGTCTTATTCTTTAGTGCAGTTTTAAAAAATTAAACATTTTTTATACATTTTCCGTTTCAGTTTATATATTTTTAAAATTAACTTAACAAACCAGGATCATTCCCCACTACTATTAAAAATTTATGTAATTGATTTTGAGTAAATTTACTTAAATACTTTTAAGTTATAATATATTAAATGCTACAAATTTTAATTGAATAAAAACAATAAAATATTTTATTTTAAAAAATACTTACATTTTGTAGGTATTTTTTGCAGTAGTATTTCTGTGAGACCAAGACGGTATAATTGATCGTTATCGTTATCGGCGCGGTCACCCTGGTTGCGCTATAATCAAGCGTTGTTTGTTGTTGGCCATTTTGCTGCGAAAAATATTAAACCCGCACTTCCAAAGTAAGTTCGCGTACAAGATTAAGTTTAATGGGCTCAGGATAAATGTAGGGCCCACAGAAAATGGTGGATTATATCAGAATCAGCAAACTGTGGTCATAATTCGAAAAATGTAAAATGTCTTTGTGTCTGTGACATGACGCTATAAGTTTGAAACCTTTTTTTGTGCTGTTTGTATTCCTTGTGCTAACCTAGGCTTCAAGAGAGATCTTTATTAGCCAAGCCGATGTGCAAATCCTGTAAATTTTGTTTAGTTAAAACCGTATCTTTTGCTCTATCTGTTGGCGTCGCTTATTGCGGCAGCGGCTTTCATTTTGTTTTCTTGCAAAAACCACCACACCAACACACGGCTCGCACACACTCACACCACCAAGCGCGTGAGAGAGCGGCTTGCTGCCAGCGTTACGCTCTGCTGCGTACGAGTTTTCTTGTTCTGGTTCTCCAAGTTCTCCCTAACTCCCGCTTCCGTTACAGCCGCATAGCCGTGTAGACCAAATCCAGTCCAAGCAACACTCACAAAATCGTAGAAGATGTCAGCTAAGCGCAAAGCAGGTGGCAACGGAGCCGGGCCCAACAAGCGGCGACCCAAGAAGAAGGAGTCCGACTACGAAGATGACTTCAGCGACGAGTCTGACGATGGCGGTGCTCAGCAGGCGGCTGCCGCTGCCAACCAGATGGAGGTGCTCATTCCACACGATGACCTGGATCCGCCCAGTAAGTTACCGGAAGATTTGCTAGCCACGCTGGAAAAGACACCCGGGCAGTTGCTGCTGGCCGGCATGGTGACGTGGGACCTAACCGGAAAGCGGGACCGCAAGAATGTCACAAAAGTGCGACCGAACTTGTACAGCTTCCATCGATTTACGGAAGAGAAGGTAAGGATCGGGATCGGGCTATATATTAGATGTATTCTCTAAGTGTCTATACATCTCGTGCAGTACCGATACGTGGCCAGCGGACCAGCGGCCGCCCATACCATTATCATCAATATGGATCGTAAGGCGCTCGGCTTTGGTCGCAACCCCAGCGGCCAACTAGGCCTCAGCCAGGACATTAAGTTGGTGGAGAAGCCAACGATCATTCCAGCCCTGGAGCAGCTGAACGTGGTGCAGGCAGCCGTTGGCCGGCACCACACACTATTCCTCACAGACACTGGAACAGTCTACGCCTGCGGTGAGAACAAGTCCGGTCAGTGCGGAGTGGGCAATACCCATGCCAATATCTACTCGCCAACGCCGATAAATTATCGTGGTCCGCCCATCATTCGCATCGGCTGCGGGGCAGAGTTCTCTGTGATTCTGGACATCAAGGGAAACCTGCACACATTCGGACTGCCGGAGTATGGCCAGCTGGGCCACAACACTGACGCCAAGTATTTTGTGAACGCCAACAAGCTCTCATTCCACTTTGAAACGTCGCCGAAGAAGGTGGTCCTTTATATAGAGAAGAGCAAGGAGGGTCACGTAACCCCGGTGGATGGAGTGCAGATCGTGGACTTTGCGTGCGGCAACAATCACACGGTAAGTGATAAATCCTTTAATAATGCTATTAGTGGTTGCTAAAGACCTTTATCTTTTAGGTGGCCATCGACTCCAAGAAGCGGGTGTACAGCTGGGGCTTTGGCGGCTTCGGGCGGCTCGGTCATGCCGAGCCCAAGGACGAAATGGTGCCCCGTCTAATGAAGTTCTACGATACTCAAGGTCGTGGCGGTCGCAGTGTGTACTGCGGCTCCACCTTCAGTCTGATTGTGAATGAACTGGGCCTGCTCTTCCTGTTTGGCCAGAACAAGAAGACGGGCGAGGCCAACATGTATCCCAAGCCAGTGCAGGATCTATCCGGATGGAACATCACCGACATTGGCTGTGCCAATACGTCGATCATGATTTCGGCCGACGATACACTGATTGCCTGGGGTGCATCGCCTACTTTCGGGGAGCTCGGCATCGGAGAGTTCCAGAAGTCGTCGACGGTGCCCAAGGAGGTGCCCAAACTGGACAACATCAAAATACCTCAGGTGACAATGGGATACTCGCACACGGCTCTGCTCGTTGACACCAGCCACGAGGCCAGCAAGCAGAAGTACGACAAGATGCCCGAGTACAACATTGACGATTAAATGGTTGGCGGACGAAGGCTACCACAGCTTTTCCTCAAGCAATCATGCTGCCAAGAACAACAATACTGCTCTACGAAAACTACAAACTACCAGAAACCCAGAGAACTGATCATCGAAACGCTGCTGCTACTTATCGAAACAAAAACAAAACAGAAAAACAACCAGCAACTTGTATGCTATAAGTTAAAAGTTATTATTACGCTAAACTCTCGCTATCTATCTATCTATACGCGATAATCTCAGAATACGGATAAGTGATGATTTCGTTCCCAGCACCTATAACTCTTATTTATTCTCGTATTTTGTCTGTCCCCTCTCCTCTTCAATTTAATTTATTGTGCCGCCCACCTTTAGGCTTAAAAACGGATCCCACACAAAACGTACTATATGCATGTGTTTACCCAATTGTATTTCTTAATAAGCTACAGTATTCTGCATTTTATTCGAAATGAGTGAACAAAGGCAACAAAAAGCATAAACTACAAGAAAAATATATAAATTAAACAAACTAAGCGCATAGGTTACGTACATATAAAAAGTATACCATGGAACAAATCCAATACCAGTTGCAACTATTAAAAAGTACATCTTGCATTTTAATCATATACAAAAGAATATTTAAATAAAGAGAATGTTAGTATTTAGAGTGATTTGGTGTATTCATTAGGCAGAATACAATTGAGTGCAATAACACGAGAAGTAAAAACGAGACACACTTAAGATCTCAGCAAAAAAGAAATGTCTACCAGGACGCCAAATTGATGGCTTTAAAATCCCACTAATCAGTTTTCGTTTATTGAAACAAAACAGGTGGATTAAAACATTAATTGATTTAGCACAAAGCGAGTAATACATAGGATTGGCTTGTCATCAGGGCAGCCCGCTTCACTTTGTCATCACAACTGGATGAGGGGATGATTGTGGCGCTCGCGATAAGCCTTTACTTCGGGCATTAACTCTTGCCGAAAACGTTCATGGGTCCGAACAAAGTCTTCCTTGGCGCTGCTTGTGTGGCCCGCGTTGGCCTTATTGTTGTTGTTATTGGGGCCGCGCGGTAATACTGTGGATACGCCACCAACTATTTCTGGACCTCGCGCATCTGGGTAGAAAACACTGGTAGCTGACTGAGTGGGGGGCGGGGGACGACGCATTGCTTTGGGGGTGCCATGCGGGCTTCTGTTGGGGGCATCTGTAAGTGAAAATTATCCGTAACACTGTTGGGGAAATATGCATCAAAGAAACACACCTTGCTTCATCATTAACTGCTCTTGCTGTAGGCGCGCGTTGCTGGATCCAAAGTAACCGTTTATGAAGGGCATGGGCGACATAACCACGCCGCCTTTTAGTGAACTGTCGGGCGGCGGAGGAGCGGGCCGGTTGAAGGGATTAGTACGCCTGGGCGGCGGTCTTGGCTTCGTCTCCCTTGCAGAACTTTGTGACCCATCTATGGCACTGCTGAGCACTTCTACGGAACAATAATGAAATAAATAATGGGGATTTTTCACCAACGAGCTGTGCTTTCTTACTGTTCCTGGAATCATCCAGTTCCTGCAGCTGCCGTTGTAGCTCTGCCAAAATGATACGTTTATACTCGTAGCCGGCGCAGGTGAGAGCCTTCATCCACGTCTCCATGCTCTCCTGGTTGTCAGCGGAGAGGATGTAGGTGCGATTGCCGTTAAATGCTATTTCGAAGCAGTAGTTGTCCACCTCATTCGACAGCTCAATGGTGCAGCCCTCGACAATAATCAGTCCCAGGGGCTCTTTGTCGGTCCGGGACTCGAAATAAAACAGCAGGTTCCCCTTTAGCACAAAGTAGCGTCTCTGAAAGGCCTTGTTGACCTCGCCCCGCTTGTTGAGGAAGCCTGCAAGCCAAAATTGATGATTAATATCCAAATAAAACATTTAACACCTGATCATCGCTTACCTTCCATGTCGAAGGGCGGTGCCTTCGCGAACACGCACAGGTTCTTTTCGTTGATTTTCATGCTAGGCACAAGGGCTCTGCATTCGAAGGACAAATAGAGACGACAAATTTATTAAATTATTAAATTTGTTATTGGGACGGCCTGGCAAGCTGCCGACGCTAGGTAATCAGCTGTTGCTACCAGTGCTACCACACCTATTCCCGCGGCGATTTCGATTATCGGCATTTGCGCTTCGTTTTTGTTGTGGCCTGTGCATCAAACGAAAATAAACGCGATCAAAGATGTCCTACCTACTCACGGAAATAGCTCTGGAAATGCTGGGGTACAAGTTCTACGATACCAACGGCGTCTTCCACTTGACCAACTTCCAAAACAATTCGACGGAAGTGCACCCAAACGAGCCCCCGCTAACGGAGTTTATCGAACAAACAGAGTCCCCGGACGAAGACCTGGATAGTGGTGCTGCTGGCAGTAAGGAGGAGAATGTGACCACGGAACCCAGCCGCGCCGCCTCCAGCAACCCGTCCACCGCCCCCGACATTACACATGTTACTCAGCGACGTGCGCCGGCCAAAGCGTTGGCCAAAATCATGGCCTACGAGAGTGACAAGATCTCTACCCAGATCACCGCTCGTTTGGAGAAGGCGATGGCGCAACTGGGAGCCGCTGACGATGAGGCGCTGATCGAGGAATGCATCAATGAGGAAAAGCGATTAATATGCGAAGATGCCGACGAGATGCAGAAGTTCCGAGAGTTTCTGCAGGCACGCCTGCAACAAATTGACAAGCGGCCGTTTGAAAAGTACGAGCGCACCTTTGGAGCAGACTAGAGGTCGTGGTCATTTGTCGTACGAGAAGTCGAAATAATAACTATATCATAGCTGTAATTCTACATGTAAATAAATACTTTTAATTAACAAAAATATAAGAAATATGGCAACACTGGTATGTAATTATTAAGGATTACAGTGTAACCACATTCTCGATTGGGACCACCCACGCCGATAAGTTGAACCTATCGAATTTACTGAAAATATCGGCGACACTTGGCCTATAGTTTCAATTTAAAACTGGTGAAAAGTTACTGAATTGATAATAATATTCGCTACGTAAATCAGTTATCTTAAATTATGTAAAGACAAAAGATTTACCTTCCAATATAATCAGGAGCATTTCAAAAATGTAATAGTGGAAACAAAAAAAAATTAAACATCGATGTATCGATAGTGCTCTGATGTTTTGCCAGCACTAGTGTTTTGTTTTTATATACATTTCACATCTCTATCTATTACTTTCTATTCCGTGCAGAAATAATTGTAAATATTTACACCAAATTGCACGCAAAACTCCCGAAAATAGTGCAAAATGAGGAGATAAAGCGGCGGGAATGAACGATGAGCGAAAATCAGCAAAAACGATGACGATGGTGACGACGAGCAACGACAATTTTTATGAGCTCGCAAGGTGAGTGAGCAGCAGCGCAACAACGAAAACTGCCTAAATTACATACTTATACATATAAGTAAATACATATGTGTGTGTAAGTGTAAGTATGTCACGGCGTGCACTTGTTGTTCTTGCGTTTTTTTAATGACACGGTTAAGTTTGTAACATTTCTTTTTTTAGCTTCTAAATATTAACGAAACAACAACACTGGAATATACTCGATCGGGCCTAATTCGGACGAAAGCACAAAGCTGCGATAACCAACACACACTTAGAAAGCTGTACATAAATACACATACATATGCCAAACTGAACGCACACACGGAGCAGCACCGTGAAGCAGCAGCAGTTATCAGTGGTTTCTTGGCTCCGAACCGCGCACATAGAGAAATAGCACCATGAGCTGGCTGCGACAGAGCACCACCGGGGGCGTCGCCTCCGCTGCATCCGGGCATTCCGGCAGCCTACGCCAGCGGCCCATTGATGCCGCCACCGACTGCGATCCACGCGCCTGCTACGACAGCTTCTGCAAACATTGGCAGCAAGCCCATGAGATCATTCAGCACAGCGCTCCGCCCTCGCACGACGACGTGCTAGGTGTAGTTTCGCATTTAGACTACATGGTCACGCTCCTGCTGGTGGAGCTGCATCACTGCAACAAGGTCTCCCTGCCGGCGACGGAGGCCAGCGGTCCGCCAGCTGCACCCTGCCTTGAGTACCTGCTGAGCGAGAATCTGCTGGACAAGCTGTACGAATGGGCCTGCACCACAGGACGCTATGCCAACGCTGTGCGATTGGAACAGCTGAAGCTGTACGAGCTGCTCGTCAGCCATTCACGCCACCAGTTGCTCTGCCACGAGCCCTTTCTGCGACCCCTACTGAAGATACTGGCCTCCAGCCAGGGCGAGATCTTTCCCCCCGACCTGGAGAAGCGGCTGGTCATACTGCTGAACCAGCTGTGCGTGGTTCTGATGCAGAATGTCCACCTGCTTGACTTGTTTTTCTTCTCCGCCCAGACGCAAGTGCAGGAGCAGATACTGAACGGCAGCGTGCCACAACCCAAGAGTGGAACCACAACCAAGTGAGTAACTCGGGATCAAGGAGCCCCATTTGTTATTAACTATTGGTTTATTCTCTGCAGTTTCATCATCTTCTCGCTGCTCATTCCCTACGTTCATCGCGAGGGCAGTCTGGGCCACCAGGCCCGCGATGCTCTGCTCCTGTGTATGGCCCTTTCCCAGAAAAACTCCAACATTGGAACGTACATAGCCCAGTACTCTTCAATTTGCCCGCTGCTGGTGACCGGCCTGGGTGGCCTTTACTCGCGATTGCCCAACAGCATCGAAATCAGCTCCATCGACTGGCATCGGATCACGCCGGATGATGTGACGGAGATACCAGAGCTGACGCTCTTCATGAACGCCTTGGAGTTCTGCAACGCGGTGGTGCAGGTGGCCCACGAGATGATCAAACAACAGCTGCTGGACTTTATGTATCAAGGCTTTATTGTGCCCGTGCTGGGACCGGCGATCCTCCAGGTAAGTCTGTCGATACGCTTTTGTCTTCGTCTCCGTCTCGGTCTACTCACGTGAAAATTTGTCTTCGATGCATTTCTGTGGTGTTGGTTGCAAGCGATTCATTATATAGCTCCTGTTCTTTGACTATTTTTTATTTTTTCTTATTTCTTTAAGTGCTTATGTCTTGGGATTGAATGAGGAAATGTGGTAGATATGGGTAAAGACAAAGATAAAGATTTATTTGTATTTATTTGTATTTTCTCAACCATATTCATTTTAAATAATTGTTTTAGTTCAGTTCAGGCTCATATTTTTAGAATACTCCCAAGACATATGCAATTATTTATTTTATTTTGAAGATTTGCCGTCTCCTTAGGGATCTGCACCGCCTTCAGCTTTCTGTTTCTTTTGTGTGTTTCTTAAGTGTCTTCCTGCCCCCGTAGCTAACCACACAAACACACACCTCGAAATCTCGAAACAACTTTTTGCGCTCCATTTTCGCAGACACTGAAGGGCAAACATTTTCAGACGAACGTCGATTCGCAAATCTCGGCCATGTCGTACCTGGATCTGATCCTGCGCTCCATCACCGAGCCCGGACTGCTGAGAGCCTTTGTTCGCTTCCTGCTCGACACGGAGAAGTTTGATGGGGAGCGGATATTGGACGCTCTTGTCGAGCGTCTGAACTCGCCCGATCCCAATCTGTGCATGGTGGCGATGGCTCTGTTTGACACATTGCTGGGACTGCACTGTGAGGACCTGATGCTGGAACTGCTGCTCAAGTTCATGTTGCCGGGCAAACATGTGCCCATTTCGCACAGGCACAAGATCAACAAGATCGATCCGTATCTGAGTAGCAGTGAGTTCTTTTTGGATCTTTCGCCGGACGTGATGAAGCGGGCCAGGGACCTGGCCAGACCCAAGAGTATACACGAGCCTCCAGTGGCGGGGGAACAGACCCCACTGCCCAGCCTGCCCTCGCCGGTGATGAGCAAGACGATCGGTGCCAACTGGAACTACTATGGAGTGCACACAGGCGATAGCCTGTATGCGAACATCCAAGCGTATCTATTTGAGGCCCACTGGAGGATCGCCCAGTGCCAGAGGGATTGCCTGAAGTGGGCGAATAGCTATCGCTACCAAAAGTGGCCACGCCCCGGGCAGGGTCGTGTCCATGCCCATGCCTTGGATCTGGCCAAGCAGTTTTTCAGCGAATTCGGCGGCGGGGGACCGATTGCTATTGTCAGTGAGTCGGGAGAGAAGCAGCTGGACAGCCTGCAGTCGATCGGCGAGTCCAGCGGGTACGAATCCTTCAAGTGGCGACCGGCAGACGAGGAAAGCGAGGCCACGGACACCACATTGGCCACCACAGTCAGCGATGCAGATCTGGAGCACAACATTAGCAGCCTGAGCAGCGTGCTTGGCGGGTCCAATGGCAGACGCGAAGCCTGGCGCATATCGCACAACAATCGCAACGAGTTGCTGCTGACGGATCTGGACTTCTCGGAGGATCTGTTTGCGCAGGGCACCGTAAGCCTGGGTAAGGAGAATCCCCATAATATGTTGCCGCAACCTGAACTATCAATATCCTACTTTTAGGTCCCTTTCTCAATGCCATCTGGGGCAAACTGCAAACCTTCACCAGCAACTCGCTGTACGTGAATCTACACCTAACCGGTCTGATCACACGCCTGGCCTGGTATCCACTACCGCTCATCCACTCGCTGCTGCTCCGCTCCGACATTGCCATCACCTCGGATACACCCTCCTTTCACCAGGTGCTGCGCATTCTGAAGCAACAGATCGACGCTGAGCTGCCGGTGACGGAGGATTCGCTGGAGATCATAGATGTGGCGCGTTCGTCGCTCATAGATCGCGAATTTCGTTTGGCGAACGCCCGCAAGGGTAACGAGGGTTCGCCTCTGCATCAACACAATCAACAGCAACTGCAGGCGTCTACGAATCCTGGCCAACCGCAGGGACTACTGCGATCAGCGTACGCCACCCTGTCGGCTGCCACGCCCGTACAGGCCACGCCCACAAGTGCCTACGATCCATTCAAGCGCGCCGACAACAAGCGTCGCAGCATCAGCAAGTCCATCACCAGCATGTTTAGCCGAAAATCTGCTGCCTCATCCACAGCAGCAGCAGCACCGACAGCAGCCCCCAATGGCTCCTCGACCGGTAAGTGACACCTGGAAATCCTATTCTCTTGCACTTTCTCGCACATTTTCTGTCTTTCTACAAAAAAGAAGAAGAACCAATCAAAGAAAATAGAAAATACCAACCGTTTACAAATCTGCAGCCTTGGATTTTGGAAATTAAAAGTTGGTTTTGGGTCGAAATAATTACACAATGTCACTCACAAAATCACACTTGAGACCCTTGCATGAGTTCTCTTGAGGATAGAAAATGTCAAGGAACTTTTCATATTTGCAAATCATTCAAATCAAAGAATAAATAATATTAATTATATAATCTAAAGGCAGAGCTATTTAATAATAATTTACGCTGAGCATTTTATTTTATTTTCTGTTAAATTTTATCGAATGACAATCGAATTATAAAATAAAATAAAATCGAATATAATGTAAAATATCGAAATATTATCGAAAAAATATCAGAATTTTTATACTAGCTCCAACTACTATACTATCAAAACAGATCTTCAAAAATATAGTTCAATCTACATTATCCTTTAAGAGAACTCATTCAGGGTTCTATATCTATTACACACACACACATGTATCTGTAATATGCGCGCTGCTGGCGTCGTTGTCTCTAATTAATTATTTTCTTTTTATTTATTTTTTTTAAATGATACTTAAAAAAAAAAATCAAATACAAATCTTAGCTTCATCTGGCTTATCACAAATTTACGCATTCTTCACCGGTAAATATTTCACGCTTGATAAAAGTATTTATAGAGTATTAAGCAATAAATCTAACCAAAAACTGTCATAGTCTTTGCTAAAAAAAAGAACGTAGTCTCCTTGATCCCGTAGAGCTTTGTACATTATGCCCACTAAACTTAAAACAAAAAATTAGCTAAAAATAGTTGTTAAACATTTGTGTTATCCCATTTATATGTTACTGTTTATTGTTGATGTTACTATTAACCCCGAAAGGATCAATAAATGGCAAAAATAAGTGCTAATCCCGCTTGACATTTCTAGGAGCTGCATCGAACCTGGTTGGCAATAGCTCTAGTCCAGACGGAAGGGCAGTTCAGCCATCCTCCGGGACATGCGAAACCAGCTTAAGTACACAGCCGCAATCGGTGGTAGCCTCACGCACAGGATCCACTGCGACGACGACGATGCCAGCGGCGGCTTCTGGAAGCAGTAGTAACAGCAGTATCGGTGGATCTACCCAGACCCTCTCCGCCCACTCCAGCCTCACGACCCATTCGTCGAGCACGTTGCACGGCATGGATGGTGGTCCATCGGCGGGCGGTGGTTTTAATTCAGAGCCAGTCTCCCTGGAGTCGGTGGCCTCCATGGGCATAATTGCCAGCACGAGTGGCACAGAGCGATCGCGGGACTTGGCCCTGTGCGCTGTGCTTCTCGACGAATGGCTGAAGGAACTGGCGGCTATTGCGCAGGAGCAGAGCGTTGTGCTGGTCACGGAACAGTCGCTTTGACACAGCCGACGACAGATTTTATGATCGCAAATGATAACAGAAACGAATGCAGATGATGCTGACTTGTGTATACATTATTTTACGGATTTGTTGGCCTATGTTTTAACCATATTTTACTCTAACGAAATTATTTCATTTTACCTGTTAAATTATCAATATTTATATTTTAAACAATGCCGTTTATACCGAACAATGTGGCAGTTTTGAACAGATTTACACGCATTAATGTGCACAGAAACCCCAACTCACGTGTTAACCAAACTATTGTAGAATTTAGGATTAAAGTCAGGAGCCAGGATGGTGGTTTTTAAGTGTTCAGATGTAAACAATTATTCTAATTAACAGCGATATGCTAAATTTACGACCTTTATAGAGACAATTATATAACTCTCACACACACACACACCACACACATATACAATTCATATATGTATTTTTGCAATATATATTTTATGCTTTTATGTAAATATGCGAGATCAAATTACACAACAGTTGTAAAACCGAACTTGAAAGTATTAAATTGGTCCAAGTAAATGCACAGCGTCAAGTTATTCATTCATTGCGGTGGGTGGGCTATTTAAGGAAAAATTTCACTTTGGTTGGGTTTATGAATAATATTTCTTTGTAATTCCAAAACGATGAGGACTTCGATGTTTTATTATTCAGTTTTGAAAAATTTAAATTACCCGCGAATTTACATTCAATGTAGTTTTGCGGCATTTCTTAAAAATGCTAAAGCGGTCACACTGATTGCTAAGAGGTATTTCTTGAAACTTTAGCCACATTGATTGTGAAATCCGCCTGATAATAACGAAAAACACTCGAATTAGGGATTCCATAATAATGCAGAAAGTACTGGGTCGAATCCAGGCGCAAATCCTGCGCTCCCGAGCCACCAATGCCCTCGCCAACGGGGTGAGGCATGAAGCTACCTCCGCCAAGCCGAAACCGGCGGCCACATCCAAAGGTAAGCGAATGAGTCCTGTCCCCTCCGATGTGAGATAATCAGCGAATAATACCCGAATATCCGCAGAATTCCGTGAGCGGCAGGTTCGCTTCAACATCAAAAACGAACAGACGCAGGGACGACCCCTGTACTTGGATGCCCAGGCCACCACACCGATGGATCCGCGTGTTCTGGACGCCATGCTGCCTTACCTGACAAACTACTACGGTAATCCGCACTCGCGCACCCACGCCTACGGCTGGGAGACGGAGCAGGCGGTGGAGAAGGCGCGCGAGCAAGTGGCTCAGCTGATTGGGGCAGATCCCAAGGAGATCATCTTCACGTCCGGAGCCACAGAGTCCAACAACATATCCGTGAAGGGAGTGGCGCGATTTTACGGTACCAAGAAGCGGCACGTGATCACCACCCAGACGGAACACAAGTGCGTCCTGGACTCGTGTCGTGCTCTGGAGAACGAGGGCTTCACGGTCACCTACTTGCCGGTGCAGGCCAATGGAATCATTGACCTTAAGCAGCTGGAGGAAACGATTACGCCGGAGACATCGCTGGTGTCCATCATGACGGTGAACAACGAGATTGGCGTCAAGCAGCCCATCGACGAAATCGGAAAGCTCTGTCGGTCCCGACGGGTATTCTTCCACACGGACGCCGCACAGGCAGTGGGCAAGATCCCGCTGGACGTGAACGCCATGAACATTGACCTGATGTCGATATCTGGTCACAAGATCTATGGCCCGAAGGGTGTGGGCGCCCTCTATGTGCGACGCCGGCCCAGGGTTCGCCTGGAGCCCATTCAAAGTGGTGGCGGTCAGGAGCGCGGCTTGCGAAGCGGCACTGTTCCGGCTCCCTTGGCTGTGGGACTGGGAGCAGCTGCGGAGCTGGCCCTTCAAGAGATGGACTACGACAAGAAGTGGGTAGACTTTCTATCCAATCGCCTGCTGGACAGGATTTCGAGTGCCTTGCCGCATGTCATCCGCAACGGTGATCCCGAGGCCACCTACAACGGATGCCTTAACTTGTCCTTCGCCTACGTCGAGGGCGAGTCCCTGCTAATGGCCCTCAAGGATGTGGCTTTAAGCAGCGGTTCCGCGTGCACTTCTGCCTCCCTGGAGCCATCCTATGTGCTGCGTGCCATCGGCACAGATGAGGATCTGGCGCACAGCTCCATACGATTTGGCATTGGACGCTTCACCACCGTCGAGGAGGTGGACTATACGGCGGACAAGTGCATCAAGCATGTGGAGAGGCTGCGCGAAATGTCGCCGCTGTGGGAGATGGTCCAGGAGGGCATCGACCTGAAGACCATCCAATGGTCGCAGCACTAATAATCGTAAACGTTAGCCAGTTAGTCAGTTACTGTTACCCCCCCCAAGACTCGGGAGATCTGAGATCGGGCCCCGGGGCAAAAATAAATTAGTTGGAAGAGTATCTAAGGTTTATATTTGTACACACAAAACCACTTATACCTAAGCTTAGTCCGAGCGAATGTGCTTGTGCAAGAGGTGAGGCAAGAGAGACCCCAATACAGCGAACGCGGCTCCAAAGTGCGCGGGCCAAAGATATGCAAATGATGCAATAATTTGCATTCGTCGCTGGTCAGGGTTCAGTTGGCCTTCTTTTTGGCTGCTCCACTGGGCGCTCCCCCCAAGATCTTGCGGCGCTGGGCGAACATGTGCAGGTACAGCTGCGGGAAGATGGGGATGTAGCCCAGCATTACGATCCACAGGAATCCAAAGTACGAGAAGGTGGCGTTCCACTTGTTGGGCATCACCACGCTCCATACACTGTTCTCGCGGGCATAGCTCTGGGCCCACCAGAAGCACAGCAGCTCCCCAGTCACTCCGATGGGATACAGGACAATGAAGGTGGTGTAGCGCAAGAAGACTACAAAGTGGGGCACCACCTTAACGATGTTTAGAGCGTAGTATCCGTATCGGATGATCTCGGTAATGGCCCAGGCGAACAGGGCAATCGGCAGACCGGGCGACACCTTGCCCGTGGGCGTGGCCATCACCACGCCGACCACGACCATCATGCGGCTGAACACTTGGAACCCAGTGACCACTGGGTTGGACTTGACCAGGCCAAAGGACGCGTTCAGGATCTCCACAAAGGCGGCGTTTTGAAAGATGATCACGGCCAGCCGCGTGTACTCCCAAAGCGTCTGCTGTGCCCGGAACTCGGGTCCTTGCAATAGATAGTAGTTGACCAGCTGCCACAGGATGTAGCTCCAACCGGCCACCTGTCCGGCGTTGTACGCGAACAGATAGAGCTTCGTGACCGCAGACGGCTCCTTGGAGGCGCTGGGCTTGCTTGTCTTGACCGCCTTTGCTGACATGTTGGCTGCTTGAACTTTCACCTCCGCCGTCGCTGCTGGTTAACTAATCACAGTCGTTAAACTTATCGGTGTCGCGCGACGATTCCGAAGTCGCTTTCACCTGATTATTATTAGTGGGACCGCCTGGCGAACTCCGAATTAATCCTCAGAAACTGAACACCTCAGGAAAACTTGAAGGTTTTGGTCACACTGTGCGTGAACTTCGAGTTACTGAATTTTTCCACAGTGGAAAATTATATGGTTTGGGTGTGGATTGTAGGAGGCTAATGTGTCTGGCTATATAGTACCTTTTTTAATTCGACGTATTCGTAGTTTTAATCGAGGATTACAAAGTCGAAAGTATCACAAATTAATTCTTATAGTCAGCTATTAAAAAAAATTTCAGTAACCGGTTTTCATTTTTTTAATTGGAAAAAAAGGTCCTCACCATCGAAATCCTTTTAGTAGCAACCCCGACTAATTAACAAATCTTTCAGCATCGAATAGCTTTTTATATTGAGAATATATCAATAAAAAAAAACCTCAAATTTACTCAAAATTTTGTTCTTAATAGTAATTTTTTTTTTTATTGAAGCCTTAAAACAAATAAAAATAAATTCCCAATTCGAACAAAATTAGGCCATATTTTATACATCTTTAAATACAGTTCGAAATTTGTATACTTATTCGCACTTTCAGCCCCACTGTACGCCGGCAGCTGATGTTTCCCAGCCGAGCGACGGCTGGTTTGCGCGATGAGCCAGAATGCCGGCTAGGATTTCTCATCGCCTGGTAGAAACCGAACCGAAAACCGAACGTGTCTGAAAAAGTCCGCCATCACCACGAGCGGTGCACGTCCCCACCTGCCAGGGCGCGTGTGTGGTGGGGCAAAAATCGTTCCCCAGCTATGGAGCGAATCCGGTATGTGGTTCGCTCAGCCTGCGATTGTCGCCGTTGTCGAATTTCATTGTAGCTTGCCGGCAGTCGTCGGAATTGGAATTGGAACTTCTGTTCCGAATCGCATAGCACGTGTTCCGGACTGCCGACTCCTTACTCCCGGAGTGGCGGACCATGTGGGCGGAGGCCTGCAACCACGCCTACCGTGCGAATTAATTTGCTGCTGCCCATTTAACGCCAATTACTAACTACTCCCCTTAAAAGCCGACGGGGAGGAACGTAATCCCAGCCAGTCAAATGGAGGGCGGGGGCGGCGGCAGGGCCTTATCAGCTGCGACCGCCTTATCAGGTATCGCTGTTCGGACTCGTCGTCGGACGGGCGGAGCGGCAAATTCAGACAGCAGCGCCCACAAAGGCCGATTGGACAAAAAATCCAAACGAGACCCCGCCAAAAGTGAATTCCCTCTTTTTCACCAGGCGACCAGAAACCGTAGCACGGCAAAATGGCAGCGAATTCGTGCGGCGTTTGTGCAGTCCGCTGGTCTCATGGGTGCGAGCGAGACGACGATAGTTACACGATGGCAGGGGTTTTCAATGTGACTGGTCGTGCCGGTGTGCGTGTGTGTGTGAGCCGGCGGCATGCGTCTGTGTGGGCAGGCAAAGAAATTCGCAAGGCTGACAAATTGCGGCAGTTTAAGGCCATAACTAGTGTGATTATTAAAAGACTTTAAGCCGAACAAACTCTGCAAACTCAGGACTTGCTCTCTCACTCACTCTGCCGGGCAAGTGGGGACAGCAGTATTGGCGGCTGTAAGGGCAAAATCGAATCAAAGTGCCTGGTTCAACGACTGGCTGACAGATGGCGCCACCTCTAAGTGGGGGCAATAAAAACCTGCGGGAAAAAGGCAACAAAAACCCAATGCTACACGCCCACAAATGCGAGCCCTGCTGCGCACCTCTGCCTGTCTGCCGTCTCGCTTTCTCTTTCCCACTGTGCAACACAAAGCGGAGAAAACGGAGAAAAAACAACAACATTGTTTGTTTGAACGGCAATTTCTAATGCAAACACACTACACTCGCCCCTTTGCAATCGCTCGAACATTTTGCTCAATTTTGAGCAGTCATTTTGTTTGCTCACATCACAGGCCAACAGAAAACGGAAAATTGCCCCCAAACGCTCAACGCGACCGAGGTTCTACGACTATAACTATACAGCAGTACCAATGCCATTACCCCGTGCGATAAGATGGCGAGCGTGTGCCTCCCCGCCTAGAAACCAAACTGCATGGCGACGCGGATCATGTAGAGAGCCCCACAGCCGTCGGCGGAAGTCGGCGGCGGCCCACTCCGGCCGGACATTTTGTTTTGTGCCCGTCATTTTGCTTATTGCACAAATTTGTGCTGGGCCAGCAGCAAACCACAGAAACCTCAGCAAACAGCTAAATCTGGGCAAAACTATCGCCTAATGCCGGCGGCCGATTAACTAACGGCAAAGAAGCGAACTAAGAGCGTCCATTGTGGGCGTTCAACGTTTTCCCTCATGCATCGTAACAGGCGACCAGCGTTGGGCGGACGTAAGCTAAAAAGAGCCAACTATAGTTTCGTCGCGTGTGTAAGTATGTGTATGCGTGTGTTGCCCCAAGAAAAAAAAAGAAGAAGAAGCAGCTGGGGGAAACCTGTTTGCGTGCGTGTGTGTGAGCTGGCAATGCTCCAAGTTCCGAGATTCCGTCCATGCTCATGCTGCTCCCACTCCGCTGGCGAGGCGATGGTCAGCGTGAGGTGGTCAGCTTTTGATGTTTGCCTTGCCTTTTTTCTGCGGCGAGCAACCCTACTGCTCCAAAACGGGGAGCTGCTTAACAGGCGCAAATTAAGTGGATCCAAAATGAGTGGCAAGAAAAATTCCATTAAACTTTTTGTATGTTCAGTGAGATTATTACCACACAATTGATTATAATAATTAATTTTAATTATTTGTTATTATTATTTTCATAAGTGATAATTCAAATTAAATTTCATGTATTTACTAAATATTTAACATACCTAATTTATTTTGTAACAAAAGTACTCAATTTAATTATCCTAAGTGCAAGTAATTTTCCTAATATCAATATGCATATAATAATTAATTTTTTAAATATACATACAAATACAAAAATAAATACCATAAATATTAAATATTAAAATTGAATAGTTTTATAGTTGGTAAGTTTAAATAAACAATTTTCCTTTGAATTAGGTAAAAGTCCCAATATTTTACGAATGTTACTTGTAACTTAAACGACTTCAAAAACCCTGAACAACATTAATCTCACCTTGAACTTCGCCAGCTTCATGGCTGTGACCCACCATATGAACGGATAGCCTTGAACTAAATATGCTCCAAACAAAGGGGAAAACTGGAGTGACCCTGAGGCTGGCGACGCTCTAAATTACTCCATGCCTGGCCTTTTTGGAACAGTGCCAAGTTGAGTCGAGTTGCTCCACAGCTCGCTCCTTCACCCGAAGAGCCCCCATCCAAATCCAGCCCCATTCCCGGTCCCATTCTCTTTCCCATTCCCCGTGGAGCCACTGGCCAGTCGACTGCCAGACCACGCCCTGACCAAGCACAAATAAAATACTTGGAGCTGATTTGCGCCGATGCCGACGATGACGATGACGCCAATGCCGGGGCGGCGTCCACTTGTTGCTCGGTCGTGCGCGCCTGTTCCCGAAACTGGATTTTGGGGCCTGACTGACCGCACTATCGAGCACCGGACGGACAAGCAAGGCGTTGACACCGCCCGTGTACCAATCAACCATCGAACCGTGGACAAACCATCGCCCCAGTGCACCACCAACGATCAGCGCGACAGCCACTCCCACTCGGGTGGTGGCCCCACTGCGTTGGCGCTGCGTTGACTGTGGTTAGTTACCGCCACAATTAGCGAATAACCTTAACCTTAGCTTCCAAAAAAGCTCAAATCACAACCTGTGCTATGAGGCGCCCAAAGATGCCTAGTTGGTGGCCACAGTGCCACCCGAAATACAGCTCCAAGGCGAGGAAAACGCGCCGGCGAGAGTTCATTTAACCCGCCGCAACGCCACGCCACGCATCGAGTGAATACATCCGAAAGGAGCCCCTCTCCCTCTCCACCACAAGTACCCAAAAAACGAGGGGAACTTGTTTCGGCGCATCTCAATGCCACTTGGAGTCGACGACGACGACTATACGAGTTGCTTATGTCATCGACAGTCGACCAGAAACCCCATCATCGCACACTTCCCCCCTTCCACCGATAGTTCTCGCCCAAAAACAGCTCCACCAGTTTGCCAAAATTCGGTCTGACCTACTGATTGCCGAAAAAGTTTGCGAAATTTCGCAAAATTCGCGAAAATCCTTGAGTTTCAAGGTGCGTCCTTCACATGGCAATGGGAACGGCCCCCACATTACGGTCAAGGCGAGAGCTGAAGGTTGGCAACGGGCGAGGCTAACGAGAACGGGAGCGAGAACGAGATCGAGAGTCGTTGCGTGTCAGCAGAGGTCTCGTTCTGGCAGGGCTCTACTTATGGTCGAGCATATCGTTTTGTGTTTAGCTTGAGGAAGGAAATTTAATATGGAATTTGAATTATAAATTTGCCTATGAAATTATATGAAGTTACAAATAACTAATTTTAATAATGATTGTTTTTATGCTTTATATTTCTTTTAATATTGTTGTAAAACGTGAACAAATATAAAAACAAACGAATTACACTTTCAAATAGCCCTTCCTATAATGTGTAGGGTGCTCAAAGTGGCAACAACCCCTGTTTAAATTCTCGATACATGGCACGAATTCCGCCTCGCAACAAAGGCGGAGCGAATCAACTGCGGGTTGAGTTGTTGTTGCGCCTCTTTGTTGTTCTTTGTTTTTGTTTTTGTTGCTTGTTTACCCGTGTATATTTGAGTTTGGCCTGTTGTTTCTGCTACTGATGTTGTCGGCCTGTGTTCTTGTCGTCATGTGTACGTTATTTTCTGCCCGCCTAATGAAAATGTTGCTGTTTTTGTTTTTTGTTGTTGATATAATAAAACCGTCGCCTCCTCCGCACTGTTTGTTGTACAAACATAAACATAGCCAGCCAAACGACACGCCGCAAGAACAACAATCAGAGAGCGACCGGAATCGCGCAAGTCGAAGGCGATGTCGACGCGACGTTACGCGACGCGATTTTTGCCGTCGCTGTCAGTCGTGAAGGTGGGTCATTGTGAAATGACAGCGCCGAACCAACCAGGCGCGCATACACGCCCAACCGGCGACTTCGTGCGCCAGAGTGAGACAAACGCTGGGCTGGCTGTTATCTGGGGGTGAGTACCTTATAATGCAATATAGTGTCATCTCTGTCTGGCAGCAGCCGCCCTCGCTTGCTGGGCGCCGGTGCGCATTTTTGCATCTGAAAGAAACAGGTCGAAGGCAGCTAAACCCGCGAAAACGAGATTAATGTGAATGCCATGATGTTGCTCGAGGCGAATGCCGAAATCCGCTTGCTACTGCCGCCTGGGAACCGGTGCCTCGATGTCGGAAAATGTCGTGCAAGTGTTCGCTCGCACCGCATTTGTCGCTGCAAGCGCCCGAAAGCGACGTTAAAATTCGAATTTTACTTGCCGTTCTCCGTGGTGGCACAGTAAACGACAAGGATGTAATGGTATAATTACATGTCAAATGAATGAAAATCGGTTTTTTACCGCAATGTGTGTGTTTAATACATACTATTTTATGTTTTTGAAACCGGAAAGGGGCCGAAATGGCCCAAAATGGCAAATGAGAATGAATAGCGGCTTGCTCAGATCCCCATTGGGGGCGGCCAACACACTTAAAGCAGTTCACCTAAAATTGACTCCGAAATTGTTAAGAAATTCGGTGACACCGAACAAGTGGGTCAAATCGAAAAACCTAAGTTGTACAGTTTCGAGATAGATATTTGTTTAATCTAATATTTAAATGTATTTAATTAAACAATTGAGATTATTTAAATAATTCATGTGTAGTTGCTTAAATAGAACTAAAAGTTTTTGATATAAAGAAGCCAATATTAGAATATTATTGAAAATATTATAATTGAACAATGGAAATTTAGCAAGCTATTGTTATACATCATATCAGCTATTTTTTTAAACTTATTTTAACAACTTCTTAATCTGTATTCGGAAAATGGTGGAGAACGGGCGTTGGGATAAAATATCGTGTTCCAGGCCTCGTCCTTGTCTTCCCTACCTTGTCGATCAAGCGGCTCCTGGTGTCTCCGCATGTGCCTGTCGCTGTTTTCGTAAGTTGCAAACGGCTGCTGAGTGGCGTTTCTGAGAATTCCAGGATTGTCCTCACTTCGGTACCTGGGGAAATGCCGAGGCGGATCCACCTGCCTCGACCTATTGGTACACATGTCTCTCTTAACCTCTTTCACCCCGAGCAAGCACCTCTGGTTGGAATACTGCATGTACTGTGACCTTAGGAAGTTCATAAGTTGCCAGACTTCTGGCCAAACCAGCAACACGACCACGCAACTCCTTCCAAAGTCGCGGTAATCGGAGGCGTTAAGAATTAGGTAATAGGCGACGCCCCTTAGTAGGCGACAATGAAGGGTGCGAATGATCCGGTATCGCCACAGTAAGCGGCCCTTTTTAGATCCACCATAGACAATCCAAGCGCCAACCAACAGCATCAGGGATACCAAAGTGGGCCGTTCCTCGTACACCTGCTTGAAGTTGGCCTTGAGTGGACAAAGACGAGCAAAGCTGCGTTCTTCGCCCGATGCGAGCACAGCTCCAAAAACCACAACCACGCCAGCCAAATGAGCACCCAGGGCCGCTGCCGTACAATAAACCCAGAGCAGCGAATTCGTCAGGAGGGGGCAGCATATCCACAAGACAAAGCCAAATATGAACTGGGCAACCCGCTCTATATCGCAGGAATTTACCTCCAGGGTGAGCGCGAACTCGCTATTCGTGTAGATGCCATAGCAGGCGTCATTATGGGCACTCAGTGATATGATCCGATGCTTATTTGTCCCCAATCCCATCGGTTTCCCCTCAAAGTCCTCCATGACTCCGTAATGAGCCTGGTGAACTGCTTTTATGGATTCCGCCTTGTATTGCTTGTAGTCCTCGGCAGCGGGAATCTGGAGGCGCAGGCGACTGCTCTGGAATACGTTCCACAAGGACGGCGGTGTGGCTTCCTTGCAAAATACATGTACCTTATTGTGAACGTACAGCATCTGGAGCATCGTTTGGACATCCTGGACGTGTGGCTCGTTGGGACGCAAAAACGTTACCTCCTTAATGCCGAACGAGAATGCCGGCAGCAGTGGAAAAAGAAAGACAAGTAATAGATTACACCACATGATGTGAGTTTCCTTATTTTTTCCAGCTTCAAGTTAGAATGATTTTCCAAAGCTTTTCTAATGACTTTTTAGTTGAAAATAATAACAAGTTTATTTTACTTTTCACATAAGCTAATCATTAGTTAGCTAACTAACAATTATTGATTAAAACCTAAACTATTTTTGAATATTAATGTGTATAAATATATACATACACTTTAAGGCATATATAAGACTTAAGGCATGTATACAAAAATCAAAAAAATATTCTGCATTTGACCAATCTTAGACTTTTCTTTATTCGCTGACGCATTTGTAACTTGAGCGGCGTAAGAATGTCTTAAGTCGCAGCTAAGACGTTGGGATTATCCTTCTCAGGTATGCACACGCAGCCCCCGATGTGACATTGGCACCTTTTAATCCGTCTTAATTAGATTCTTTGGGTCGGCTATAAAAGCATTTTGATGGCACTTGCCGCAGGGCAGGCAAAGGTGAGACAAGTCACGGGCCGATATGTCGGCCACCAAAGGACTCTGAACATTGGAGCGGATAGAGCTAAAAATGCACCTCAATGGTCCCAGCGGGCCACTGGCCCTAATGAACGACAGCTCCGGCGGAGATGGATCCGTCTTCCCCATGGGACATAGTTATCCTGCAGAGTACCAGCATCTGGTGCACGCCCACTGGCGAGGATTTCGGGAAGCACCGATTTACTATCATGCAGGCTTTTACATCGCCTATGTTGTCCTTATGATATCAAGTCTTTTCGGTAATGGATTGGTCATCTGGATTTTTTCCACGTAAGAATAAGGAAACTTTTGGGAAATGCAAAAATCAAACATTGTTTTAAATTTATAGGTCTAAATCTCTGCGAACTCCCTCCAACCTGCTGATTCTGAACCTGGCCATTTTCGATCTGTTCATGTGCACCAATATGCCACACTATCTGCTTAACGCTGCCGTTGGCTATATTGTGGGGGGAGATCTCGGCTGCGATATATATGCTCTGAACGGAGGCATTTCTGGAATGGGAGCCTCCATAACGAATGCATTCATTGCCTTCGATAGGTACAAGACCATATCAAATCCCATTGATGGACGATTGAGTTATGGACAGATAGTCCTCTGCATTCTCTTCACCTGGCTGTGGGCCACGCCGTTTTCCGTTCTGCCCTTGTTTCAGATCTGGGGACGCTATCAGCCAGGTGAGTAATAGTAAATAAAGATTATAGAAAGACTTATTTTAAATACTCTTAAAGAGGGCTTCCTGACCACCTGCTCCTTCGATTATCTGACAAACACGGACGATAACCGGCTGTTTGTGCGTACGATATTCGTGTGGTCCTACGCGATTCCGATGACCATGATCCTAATATCCTACTACAAGCTCTTCACCCACGTCCGCACCCACGAGAAGATGCTGGCGGAGCAGGCCAAGAAGATGAATGTCAAGTCACTGTCTGCCAACGCCAATGCCGACAACATGAGTGTAGAGCTCCGAATAGCCAAGGCGGCATTGATAATCTACATGCTGTTTGTCCTGGCCTGGACCCCGTACTCCGTGGTGGCGCTAATTGGATGCTTTGGAGAACAGCACCTTATTACGCCCGTCGTTTCCATGCTGCCCTGCCTGGCCTGCAAATCGGTATCCTGCCTAGATCCTTGGGTTTACGCCACCAGTCATCCGAAGTACCGACTGGAGTTGGAGCGCCGCCTGCCATGGCTGGGCGTCCGCGAGAAGCAGAACATCTCCGGATCATCTGGCGGCCAGGAGAGTGTGGCCAGTGTCAGTGGCGATACGTTGGCTCTCAGTGTCCAGAATTAAGGAGTATCGTGATGGATTAGTGAAATGGATATGAACATGTATTTATGAGTTGATTATTTCTAAGATGCAATGAACTGCAAGAGTTCCAAAAAATACAAACCAAAAAAAGCTGGCATTTAAAAATATGTAGATTTATTTTTTCGATGGAAAATGTAGGATTATAAGATTTTTAATCATCTCTTCATTTTTATTATATTAAGCTTTATTTCGGAGATATGTATACTTTCTTTGGCAACAGTTTTCCCAAATGTTTCAGACGGCGCTGTGTTTAGCTGTGACAATTTCCGTATCCGTATATGTATCCGTATCTATTAGATACAAACAATTGATGAAGGCAAATCGAAACGACAGCCGCCACCCTCCGCGCACACTCGCGCCATTTCCCATAGGTGGTGGCAGTCGCAGTCCAGTTGCCAGTCCAAATCCAAGTCCCAGTCCAACCACCGGCGAGGTTGAAGAAGTTGTGCTTCTTTGTTGCTTGCCCGAGTCCAACCAATCCGCGATACCGAGAGCGCGTTTCAATTCAGCGAATGTTCCACACGCAACCAGGCCACCAGAATTGGTAGAAGCAGTTTACAACATTTCTACGCGGCCGTTGAAAGCGATGATTGGCTAGCCCAGCGAGAGGGCGGCGGGCAGTAGCGGGGGCGGCGAATCCAGAGCGAGAGGAGCATAGCAACAATGTTGCAGTTGTGTGTTTCCCACTTACACACATGCACACCATGACGGCGAATAGACCACGCCGCGGCCGGGTGGTGTGAGTGTGGCGCGGCAGCGGCAGAAATGGGGCTTCTTCTTGCTCTTTAAGAAACAACAAACATTTATACTAGGTCTCCAGGAGATTTAGCAGCGCGTCGGGCGGCGAGCGAGCGATTAGATTTTCAAGGGAAACTCAATAGAAACGCCGTTAGAAGCCGTCGCCACAGGTGCATGCACTCAGCTTCCCTTTCTTTTGGTCTGTGATGCTCACTCCGGATAATCCAATTTGCGCCACAATTCGATTCGTTTGTTTGCGACCGGGGGCTGTATGCTGTATGTGTCGTTTTCGACATTCCTCTTATTGTATGCCCGCCGCCGACTTGTTGCATGTAATAATAATAATAACGAACGAAACGGTATCTCGTAGCTGTTTAGTGGATGATTAAACTGAATTTAATCGTTTGCGAACAGGCGCTCAGCGGCACGAAGAAGCCGGGTCGGCCATTACGACCGCTGCGTTTCTCGCAGTGAAATCCATACGAGTTTAAATTGCCCACAGAATAGCTGCGCTGCATATGGTCGTCTCGCTCCCTCACTCGTTTGAACGTCAATTGAATACCGGTTGCGAATTTGCTGGTCAGAATAGTTCTCAGTTCGGTGCATTCTTTTATTTTATCTAAAAATATAACTATAATTAAATAAAAACAAGTAATATTAGAAATCATAATTTTGTTAAAATGTATACATATGTATGAGTAAATAACCATTAAAAAAGGTAAAAGAATATTTATTTTGTATAAATATTTAATTAAAAGATATGGTAACTACCTTCAAGAATATACAAAATGTAATAAATTACGCTTTGAAAAGGTTAACTAGGGTGTGTAACTATAATCATTTATATTTTTGATTTTATTAATTTTAATTCGCAAATTTCGAAAATTTGTTCTCTGGCAGTGGCATCAAATTTTCCACAGAGTACTCACCACGTCCGTAAATCGGTTATCTCGCTCACTCACTCGGCTAAACATCAATTGAATCCCGATTGCGAATTTGCTGGTGGAAAGTGTTCTTATTTCTTAGTCTCTTTTCATATTTATCATATTTAATTTTGTTATATATGTCTGAACATAAATAAAAATCTATTCATAAAAAAATAACCTTAGAAATAGTAATTTTTGTTAAAATACATAAATAATAAATTAAAAGAGAAGCTATATATTAGTGTATAAATGAAATTTATTTTTAAGACGTTATGATAAACTTTTAGCACGCTTTTAGGATCTCGAATTTGATCACAAGTCCTGGATCGTATAAAAGTAGATTGAATTTAGAAAATTTGAATAGTTCTTTCTCCCACAGTTGCATCAAATTTCCCCCTGGGCACCCACTGTGCCCGTGGACGAAAACAGTCGTCTCGCTTGCTCCCATGGCCCACAGATGGCAGCTGAGAGACTGCTGTTTCCCGGCATTAATCGTCTTTCTATGATTTTGGCAATCCTAATAATGCCAATTCATGGGGTGGGCGCCTGTTAACTAGCAGCAGGCTTACAGCATTAACATGACGGAAATCGATAACGGATGACGACGCAAAGACAGCACAGCAGCACCCACTCGGGCAAGGCCAGGTTTCGGCCGCTCCTGCGGCTCTGTTAACATTTGAACGTTAAAAATTCGATTTTATAGAATTCCAGCAACGCCCAGAGAGCGAGAGGGATGACGACGACGACGGCGATGGCGCACCGAAAAAGAGCTAATTACGAGACACCACCACAGAGACAAGCAGGCGGTAACAGCGAGCGGGGCGGCGCTAACAGCCAAGCTGCTACACATTCTGCGCTCCTCTTAGTTATTATGTCAGATCTGCAATGTGCGACTATAAAATACGTATGCCCGAATCGCGGCCGGCGAGAATTTATTGGCTCGTCGCCCCCGGCTCGGGGGTGTGAGTTATAAAATTGATGGCATAAACGTCTCGAATTTATAAACAGCGCACCCGCACATTGCCTCGCATTTGCTCAGCGCCTGTTGCCATTTTTCGAGTGTATGGTAACATTTTGAAGTCATTCGATGCGCCACAGAGTGCGCTGCCGCTGCCCCACCGATGACTGCGGGAGAGTGGATTTTGTCCGCTGCCACCCACTGCCTCTGCTGCTGGCCTGGTGGGAATTTTCGGTTGTATGTTGGTAACATTTTGCCGTCTCAAAAATGCTCGGGCACACCGATGGCAGCTCTGGCAACGCCTGTCGCGCCATCTCGCTCACATCCGCCGGCATGTTGGAATTTTGGGGCGGCATTCCCGACCGCATATTTCGGAATCTCAAAACGGCGGCATTCCACGTTAGGGTTGTCAGACCACCGGACGGGATCGAGGCGCTACAGGTGGCCGCGACGATGACTGCCGCGCGGCAACCCTGGCCGAGCGTTGCGTTCCACGGCCACTGTGCCGCATTCCGCGCATAACGAAGCCGTCTGCTTTCAGGTCTGCTTGCCTGTTCGGGCAGCTGAGTGAAATTTCATGCAGCGCGATTCTCACAAATTTCGAATTCCCCACATATTTTCATGTCTGTCGTGCCGCCGGCCTTTGTTCGTGTTATTGCTATTGTCGTGTATATTTTCTCACTGCTCGTGACTGTGACGTTGTTATCCGACGGTTACTCTGTGGCTTGACTCTCTGATAGCCCCCGCATTATCACTGGGATGTGTGTTGGGTGGGTGTTGACCTTGGAGTGGGGGTTCACGGACGTGATTTCTTGCATACATACATATGTTTAATAATTTACCTTGCAGAATACGATGTAATTTGATTTCTACTTTTGGATAAAAAAGGGGTTTTTTTTGTATTATAATAAAAATCCTATTATAAATGCAAAAATTATATTTTACTAAGTTACTATTATTTATTTTTTAATATTTTACAATTTACTACTGCCGCTTTTATTTTAAAAGATGAAATAAAGAGTCTTCGTACCATACTCAAGCATAATTTTTATACCCTTGCAGGGTATTATAATTTCGGTCAGAAGTTTGCAACGCAGTGAAGGAGACGTTTCCGACCCCATAAACCATATATATTCTTGATCAGCATTAACAGGCGAATCTTTCTAGACATGTCAGGAAGAAATCGATTTTTTTTGCCATTTTTGCAAAATTTTATAAGGGGTTACATCATTAAAATTTTTGATTTTGATAAAAAATTGAATTTTCAAAATTTTTAAATGAAGTATGCTGATTTTTTAACTGTAGAAAATCTTGCACAGAACAGTTTTCCGATTTAAAATTAATGCTCTTTTGGCAGAGTTATGATATTTTTAATTTTAAAAAAAATTAAGAATTTTTTAATATAAAAAATCAGATTTTATAATACAAAATAATATTTTTCAAAGTCAAGGAATTATTTCCGACCCCATAAACCATATATATTCTTGATCAGCATCAACAGGGGAATCTTTTTAGACATGTCCGGATGAAATCGATTTTTTGGCCATTTTTGCGAAATTTTATAAGGGGTTACATCATTAAAATTAGCAAAAATGGCCAAAAATTTTGATTTCTTAAATTTTAAATTTGGTATGCAGTTTTTTTAAATTAATAAAAACTAACACAAAACTGCTTTCCGAATCGAAATTAATGCATTTTTGGCTTAGTTATGATATATTTTAATTGTTACCTGCAAGGGTATACAAACTTTGGCTGGCCAAAGTTAGCTTTCTTTCTTGTTGAAATTATTATTAGTTATTTATCCAAAACTTAAAGATAAACCAATATTAAAGAATAATCTATAAAAAAAAATATATTTATTTGTAAATTAAATGGCACTATGTTTATTTTTAAATACCAACATATCCTAATATTTTTTTAAAAATATTGGTATTTTCATAATGAATAAACTATTGTAAATAAAATAAACCCTGCACTACATTTTTTAAATAAACAAAGACTTCCAATAAGTATCACAGTTCTTAGTAAAAAAATTAGACAAATAAATGCTAAAATATTACATAAAATCTTTAAAATATTGTCAATTTAATAACATTGATTAAATGTTCGATGTAAGGACAAGTCCACTATCTTCCTATCTACAAGCGCTGCCTGGACAAGAAGCGATGACAATCCAATACCAAGAGTCTGCAGGTAGTCCAACCAACTAGTTTTGTTCCAGTCGATCTCTGGGAAAGGGAAAGGGCGGTGGTGGGGCTGCCCCTACTTCCCCTCATCACCTCATTATTCCCTGCTCAGTTTACGCACTGGCGAGGCGACTCCTTAAATTCAAGGTGACTTGGTTGGTTTGTGCTCCTCCACCAAAGTGGATCACACAGTACCAGCTCCAGAGGCAGGCACCTGGCTGGGCACCCACCGCCACCTCCTAGTGGGTGGGTGCGGTGGCCTGGAGATTGAAGTGCCCGGTGCCGCTGGAGTTAGACGCACTATTGTCCTCTGCAAATCCTCATTGTAACAAGCGCCCAGAATCATTGTCTTACGCATACGTCGTCGACCTGACTCCAGACTTCGAAGAGTGCAGCAGCAGCAACAGCAAAACAAAAAAAAAGTCAATGCAAAAAAGTTGCCATAAAGAGACGACAACGTCCCCATCCCCATCTCCACATCGCCTGGCATCGGCATTGGCATCGCCCAAAAATAAATGCAACGCCTCCGAATGGCCAATCTTCCATATACCCTCGCATCTCTCTCGCGCCCTGACGATCTCCAGCCTGCGGATGCAACGTCGCTTCTGCCTGTGCCGTTTCTCCAGCTCCAGCTGCTGTGCAGTTTTTGCTGCTGCTCCCAGCAAGTTCATTGTCCCAGCTCAAGGCGATGCGCAAAAGGAAATCGAGAAAAAGCACACAGCAACGCATTCTGATTGCGTCCAGCAAACTGGTTCCCAACTGCGATCGCAGGTCTTATTAATCAGGAAGTGAAAATGAATCATGTCTACAAGGCATATGGCAGCTGATATACGTCCCTGATACCTATTAACGAGGTTGTGCTTAGTTCTTTCTAAAATAAATATGTTAAATAAATATTTTTAAAGGTTGAATCCGGGAAAAATAAGAAATACAAAATTATTCATTTATTTTGTATCTTTAAAATTTACCTTTAAAATATTATATTACTTGAAATTTAATCAAAGTCAAATCCGAGAACAATTGACATAATCTTTAATCTGTTTGAAACAATAAACAATTTTAATCTGTTTCAAAAAAAGTTACAAATATATAATTTTCATGTAATAGAATCCCAAGCCGTTAGGAAAACACCATTTATATCGTAATTGTTATATTTTATTTGTATATTTCTTAAGAAATACTTTACCTCTTTCCAGCTTAAGCAGTTTTAATTGTAAATAGACTTTGTTGTTTGTGCCTACGTACTAGATCTATACATAAATTGTTTATCTGGAATGCTTATTTGGTTTAATGTTTTCGAGTATAAAGAATAATTTCTATAAGATTGAAGAACGTCGCTGTGCAACTTCCTCCGACTGACAATGTGCGAAGGAACATTAATATTTTCTAAGCACAATCGCTAGTAGATTTTTTGTTCTTTTTTTTCGCAGCGACGTTCAACCTGTGTCAGTGTTTTGTTTTAAAATAATATTTGGTGCAATTTGGATATACAAAGTAAACTAAAGAAATAACGCACAGAGGTTCCAAAGAGGTTCCAAAGAAATTTTAGAACAACGATTTTTTTGGTATACACACGCGTGCGCATATAGCTTCTAACAGAGCAGCGCAATGTGACCGCTCTCGTTGCCGGCAAGGAAGGCTCGATTCAGGGGCAGGACGGCCAGCGAGGTTAAGACGCCGCGGAAGGTCTCCGAACGCAGCTTGGTGATCGTGTTGAAGGCATGGGAATGGGCTACATCCGCATAGACGCCCACCCGGTTGCCGGTGGTGGCGTAGACCAAAGAGGAGCCCACGCTTTGCAGAAAATGAGCGGGTTCCGGCGGAGGTCTAAACGAAAAAAAAAGTAATGTAAAGTTTATCAAGATCAAAATTTCAGTAGAACTCACTTGAGCTGGTAGTGCATGATGCCATCCAGGGCATGCCAAACGGCCAGGGAATGATCTAATGCGGAGCTCACCAGGAACTGATCACTCGGCGCCGACAGCTGCAGCAGATCGCACTCCATTGGACGCCAGGAGTTGATCACCATGCCGGTACGTGTGTCCAGCTGGACTATGCAGCCGGAGGAGAGTCCAGCCGCCAGCCAATTGCCAGAGGGAGCCACCGCCAGACAACGCACAGTGGCATTGGGCAGAGCAGCATTGCACACCCTCCACTCGTTGACATACTCCATGCTCCTGGCATCGATCATCTTCACCGTGGACTCGGCTGTGCCGGCGACAACCAGCGGGGAATGCGAAGGCAGGCATTTGACCACGGTCACGGCACTGTGTCGCGGCGCATCCAGTATGCCCAGTGGTCGCCCGATAAACGGATCCCACAGGTGTACTCCTGAATCGCAGGACACCACATAGCGGAGGGACTCCAGGAAGCTGAGCGAATTGATAGACTTCTTGTGCGTCGTATAGGTGAACTGGCAGGCGCTGGTCTTCCGGCCATCTCCCTCGCTGCGCAGCGACCAAAGCTTGACGGTCTTGTCCTTGGACGCGGACACGAAGCTGTTCTCATTGTCCAGGGCGTAGATGGCTCTCACGGAGTTGGTGTGGCCCACAAAGGACTGCAGTCGTATCTGCTTGAGATTGAGCGCCTGGTTGTCCTTCTCGCTGCGCGTGGTCTCGTTTCGCCAATAGGCAAGCCAGTTGCCCTTCAAGTGCCGTGTGCTGGGCATCTGGTCCAGCTTGTAGGCCACCATGTCGAGCAGCTCCACGTTGTTCCGGGCCTGGACCTGCAGGCGATTACCAACGATCTGGGTGCCAAAACTGTTGGCAGCCACTTCGCAGGTGGCATCTACCGAATCCACATCCTGTCCGGAACTCACACTGGTGGACAATTGGGTTTTGCTTTCACCATTTCCACTGGGTTGTTCGTGTTCGTGGCACAGGGTCAGCACGAGTTCCAGATTGGTCAGCGACCTCTTCATGTTGGCCTCGCCCAGGAAACGCAAGAACGTCAGATAGGCGGTGTGCGCCAACTCGGGACCAAAGACATCTCTTAACTCCTCCATAGCACGTTCCGGCTGCGAAGCTCCTCCTGCACCCGTCAGCGAAAGATTGGCCAGATCGGCGGCAAAATCATTGGGCAGTCCAAAGGCCTTGTTGAAGATCAGAAAGAAGGGACAGAGGAGCGACTGGCAGAGATGCTCCCGCGTCATATCCGATCCGAGGCGAACACTCAGAGCATAGATTGCGTCCAGGAACTTGCGCGCTAGCAGTGACCGCCCCAGATAGCCACTCGGCATCTGGAGATTCGTTGAGCTCAGCAGACGCAGAATTGGCAGCAGAATGGCGTCCAGCAGGATGTGCTGCAGGTGCTCCATGATGCTGGCATCGGTCAGACACGGCACCATGTACTTGAGCAGCTGCAGCGAACTGATGATGGCACCCTCCAGGCTGCCAGTGATCCGCTTGGAGCAGAGCCCAATCAGCTCGCTGATGTGCGGGAAGTACTGAAGCAGGAGGAAGCTTTCGCCGTAGAGAGCTGGAAAGGAATGGTGTCTCAAGGATAGAAGGAAGAGCTTTCGGAAGGTGCAAACCATTCCCAGAAGTTTCTTTACTCACCCGCTATGGACATGAGACACTCCAGGACTCGAGCCGCACTTCGATCGCCCGCCACCCTAGCGTTTGCTATGCTGAAGTAGTTGAGATTGGCCGCCTCTGGGGAGGAGCTGAAGTGGCCATCGTCCATCTCTGGCAAAAGGTTCTCTTGGCCCACATAGCACAGAGAGAGTAGCTTCAGCAGATTCCTGGTTATATAGCGAGAGGTCAGCACTGGGCCCAGACGATGCGAGAGCCACACCAGACTCTCGGCGCTCATCTCGCTGATGCGGTTGTTCTGGACGGCCTTTGCTTCCGAGAGGCGCGATATGACCGATGCCTGCAGGGAGTCGGTGGACTCCGGTTCGGCCTCCAACGCCGACGTCGTTGTTGTAGCAGGTAACTGATCCTCCACCGCTTGACTGATCAGGTCGAAGCTGTCCACACTCTTCCGGGAGCCAATGTCGCAGTCAATGGCGCTTAGCTGGAAGCTGCGACGGATGCCACCGGCCGCAGTGGGACACAATGGGATCTCGATGGTGGGTGAGCGTGGCCCCAGCGGTGGGGGGATCAGAGCAGGCGGCGTTTGGCCATCACGCAGGGAGAGCTTATCCGGGGATATTCTGGCGCCGTAAATAAGTTCATTAATCACCAGTTTATCCGGCGATCCGTCCGATTCTCGAGCCTCCTCCGCACTGGCCGCACTGGTGTTACTCGGCCGCATGTCAAAGGAGTCGATAGACTTGCTCTCGTGACTGGACACGCGGTCCTGATCCTCCTCAAACGTAAACAGCTCCTCGATGTCCGGTTTTGTTTCCGATGGCGGTGGTTGGTCGTCGACCTCCTCCTCCGCAGCGGCAAAGTTGAGATTCTTGCTGGTCCTCCTGCTGCCGCCACTGTGGTAGTGGTAGCCGTTCCCCTGCTCTGGCTCCTTGTAGCCACCAACAGCCTCGATGAGCGGGGCTATGAAGTGCTGCAGGAAGCAGCGGAGGCCAAAGCGCACAATCAGGCGGAGCAGAAAACTGTGGTGATACAGCTTCACAGATTTTCGCGATTTGAACGAACTGCTGGCCGAGAATCTCAAATGACCGCCGCTGTTATTGACGCCGCCATCCTCCGCTGAGTTACCGACTCCCTCAACGTCGTAGAGCTTGAGCAGTGGCTGGAGAAGATGCTGTTGGGTCTGGACCACGCCCAAGGCCTGGGCAATAGGGTCAAACAAGTTCCAGGCGGTCAAAATGGAAGTTCGTTCGTCGCGCAGCAGATCGATGATGTGCGGCAGGAGCAGCTCCACAGGCGTGAACTGTTCATAGGCAAAGGCAACGGGTTCGAGGAGCCGCCGGAGATGGGCGCAGCAGGACATTACCTTGCACTCGGCTATCTTTCGCTCGAATATCACCCGCTGGCGGTCCATCTCCGTGTACCGCGCACACTCCCTGCCGCCCCTGCAACTAAAGTGGGTTTGCAGCTCCAGAAGCACCGCGTTCGCCTCGAAAGCGTGCAGAGATCGCACCAAAGCATACACAGCTATATAGTGACTTGGGAAGGGAAGCAGCAGATTGGCAAACATGGGCTCCACCAACTGTGCGGGATTCGGAGGCAGTGGCAGACCCTGATCTCCCTCACCGGACTCTTCTAGTTGCAGCAGCAAACGAACCACTCGGCGCACTAGTTTCGGCAGTTCCTGGCGATGGATCTTGGCCACGGTGCGACACGCGGAAAGACGAGCCTCAAAGCTGGCACTCAGGCCATTGCCCATTAGGAGGGGACGCAGGCGCTGCATAGCAAAGAGCTCCACGATGATGCAGCCCAAAACCTGCAGATCTCGCTCCCTTCTGGCACTCAACAAGTGCTGCAGGCAACTCCTTTTCTCCTCCCGCAACAAATTCTTCGACTTGGCGGGAATCTCCTCTCCGCTGGCGGCGAATAGTTGATTAGTAAACGAATGATCCGCCGAGTTCTGCTCGAACAGGAGGTCGCTACTGATCATCTTCTCCTCGGGATTAGCGGTTGCCCGCTGTTGCGGAAAGGTGCGCGCGTAGAACGCTTCCAGGGTCTCCAGATTTTGCAGCAACAGCGTCGGATTGTAGTTCTCCGGCAGCTCAATAAAGTTGGTAACCGGATAAAAGTTGGCCGTGCTGCTATGCACCGATCCATTTGATCCTTTATCCTCACCGAGCCGGACAGAGAGATGGGACGATCCGGCCCCCATTTCGGTGTGCAGATTTTCCGTACTTTTGGCCAAACGTTTCAAGGGACTGGCGTACAGTTGACTCAGCCGGGGAGCTGTCTTATTGAACCAGGGGGTGGCATAGCGTCGCGGTGGATGGGCCTGGGCGAACAGCTGGACAATGCCGCGCTGGCTGAGATTCCGGTGCTGATCCACCAGGGTTAGGCAGACATTCTTTGACTTCACCGCCGCCTTGCCACTCAATTTGTAGCCAAAGTTGAGATCTATCCAGTGATGAAGTCGCTCGCTGACATACTGAGACTCCAGTGCCTCGCGGTGCTTGCATATAAAGTCCTCCGGGCAGGTGGCCCAGGCGGGCAACTCCAGATCCGGCAGATCCTCGTGAATGCTCTTGAAGATCATGGGATCCGAGTAAAACTCGGGTATGCACTCGTCCGGCGTCCACTCCTGCAGGCGCTGAATGGACACCGGATACTCCGCCGGCACCCAAATGGGGCGCACATGGGCGCACAGGATGCTCTGAGGCGTTCTCCTTGCCATATACACGAAGTAGGTGATCTCGGAGAGGAAGTCGGAGACGTGGTGGGGCGCCTGATCGCCCAAGGGCTGAAAGCTGCCTTCTCCAGCTCCATGCTGGCTGGCATGGGCGTACATGAGATCAAGATGGACGTCACCTTTGTTCAGGCGATACTTGCTCTTGGTCAAGTCCCGCCAGTTGGCCCCGCCGCGTCCACTGAAGTCGGTTACCCAGGGCATTATGTGGTGATGGGCGGCATTGGTCAGACTCCGGCCACACGCATTGTTCAGGATGGTCAAGTAGTCGAAGTTGGACAGCTGGCCACTGCACCACATCTCCGCGTACTCGCGCAGGTTGAAGTGGGCGGGATCGTAGGCTAGCCGCAGGTCGAACATGGTGCTGCTGGAGGGCAGGCGCTGGTGTCGTGGATCCCTCGCCAAATCTCCCGTCACTTCCTCGCTGGCCAGCGGCGTCAGTGGCGACATGTCATCGCCGCCTCCGGCTGATGGATCCTCCTCCAGAAGATTGCACTGGAGTCGCGGTAGTATCTGCAGCCAGAGATTCTCACGCATCACAATGTGCTGCAGCCGTAGGTCGCCCAGGAAGAGGCCCTGAGCCTGGAGGTGCTTCGTCAGCTGCAGGATCTGGTAGATCACGAACAGAGTCTTGTTGTAGCCCCTTCCCAGCAGCGCTGGACTGAAGGTGATGCAATCATAGAGGCTGCATTCCAGAGCCGGCGGATAGAAGAAGACGCTGAAGTGGGTGGATGACTCGATGGCCACCAGGGCGGGCAAGATGTTGGCGTGACAGCTGCCCGATAAGTCAGCTGTCTGGGGAATGCTTGTGGGGGAGTCGCCACGATCCGCCTGGCAGTGCAACACGGGACAATGGTAGACGCGTTGAATGAGCTCCTTGAGGACGACATCATGTGGTTGAAGCTGCCCCTGGCCGGGATGTGGCTTTGCTAGCGGCGCTGATGTAGCTGCTCTGCAAAGTTTGACATGGGCGCCATTGTACCGCCTGTAGGCCTCCTCCCACAGCTGCCTGAAGTTGTTGTGCGCCACAAAGGACACTGCCTGCGAGTAGGAAAGGGGCAAATCCTGACTGGATCCTTCTCCAGGAATCCTGGGCAGGGGATATACCCTGCGCTGCGGCTGCTTGCGATACGTCTGTACCACTATCCGAGTCCAAGGATGCTCCAGCTGGCCCGTGGGATGTGCCCGTCGATCCAATAACGGCCAGCTGGGAAAGTGAGTCAGGCGACGGTGGCGTTCCAGGGACTGCAGCCAGGCTTTGTAGCAGATCAGCTGGAATCTACCCTCGCCCACGCCTGCCTCGCACACATGCTGCGGGTCTATACCGATCTCTGGCCAAATCTGCTCGCTGTCACCCATTATTTCCATGGAGTTTTCCAACTGAGAACACTTGGTCAATTGCTGCTTCTCTGCTGCCAGCTGCCTGCCGCCGTGGTCCGCTTACATTTTACGACTGGGCGGGGTTCGGTTTGCGTCCGCCATGGGTTTTAGTGGCCTTAGCTCCGCTTTGTTGAGTATTTTAAGGATTTTCTCTTATCTTATCAAAGAAACGCTTCTTCTGCGTGTTTTTTTTCGCGAACATTACACAGGGCAGCAATCAGCTGTTTTTATCGATTGCCAAAAGTAGTGATGTCTTTTTGTCTTTTTTTTTGGCTATATTTTTAATAAAGATTTTAAAAACATATTTTGATCTATTAATTAATAAATTAATCATTTAATTATTTCAATATCAATATTTCCTAAAACAAACATAATTTTAAAAAGCGGTTTATTTTAACATATTTTACGTTTCACTATGTAAATTGTTTCCAAACGCGACACCTATAGTGTAAAATTAATGTAAGTATTTTTGTAATTATACATGTAGAACAAGTACTCATGTAAACTGTATATTTCAGGACATCAAAATTTCACTAAGTTTTTATTTAATTTATTATTTATTTATTGTTTGTATTTGTTTGTTTTTATAAATTAGTATAATATAAATAATATTCTGATTCCAATTTGGTCAGAATTCTAATACAAAATTTTATTGTTATTTTAAAATTATTAAATTTAAATTTAAGATATTAAATATAATAAATATAAATATAAATTAAATATACTCTTGTATCTTAATTTGCCTAATAAAATAATCGCAAGACTAATTATAGCATTAACAAATTAAGAAAACACTGCTGCTTAATTCAGTTTGTTAAATATCATATAATGAGGTAATTGTGTTTTTGCCACTGCTGGGCAAACAGTTTCATTTTCAACCGATGTCAACACCTTTATAAAGCTATAGCTTCCTGCATGGCAGCTGTAAAGCACTTGGCATGCGACGCATGTGAGATACACTTGACCGATAATCGCCATTGTAATCAAAGGGCGGGCTATCAGCCATAAAGTTTTGGAATTTCAAAAACAAATGTCCCTATATTTGTCAATATAATTGTTTTAGCAGCTGTAAACTTCGGAAGCCCAGTAACGGCTTCGGCTCGAAGTTCTAAAAGATTGTATTCTAGACAAAGTTTGGGAATTGACCTTGGAAATTATTATGCATTTAAGATTTAATTTATACTATTTTTGTTAGAAAATAAGTAATTTATAATATTTTTTTAACAAGAGGATCTCCTCTTAGAAGATTTCTTACCCTAGTTTATTTCTGTGCCGAAATCTTCTATTGTTTGCTCCCTAATGGAAATTCCCACGCTCCTTTGCCCTTCACATTCCCCATTTCCATTTACATTCCCATCCGAAATCCTAATCTTATCAATGAGCCATTCAGGTTTGTAAATTACCGCCTTCCGAGATAGTACATTTTCGCTTTTTTGGTGGTCGGCAAATGAAAGAACTCCCGAAACAGCATCCACGGGGAAACACTTGTTGTTTGACCATTTTTTGTTGTCTTATTTTTGCTAAAGAATTTTCTCACATTTGTAGTCTTCTCCCATTATAATTTATTAGATTACGCTGTTGACTCACGCGGTTGGAATACAGTAGCAATAATTTGTTGATACCAAAATCCAACTGGTTTCGGTGGCCCAAAACGACAAACCGGAGACGAACCTTTCCCCAATTCGATGCACGGTCTCACTTCCGTTTTCGCACAAATTAGCGAACTGAAATATATTGTGTATAAATAACAGAATCACGTGTTAAAGGCTTGTCGCCGATCGGCCAGCCAGGGGTTCACCTGGCCAGCTGTTGTTAGGAAATTCACTTGAAGTCAATATTTGCAAAGTGCCACAATTAAATGAGATGAGCCGAGCTCGATCTCTGAGGCATTTGCCCGCTAAAAGTTCTTACCACTTTTCACACTTCAAATGAGTTGAGCAAACAATTAATGCGCTTGCTTATTTATTACATTTATTGTGTTGTATTGAATTAATACTCCGTATATACTGGCAGTAGAATGTATACGAACGCCAGCCCCCGGACGGACGACTGGAGGAGTTATGGAATTTTTAAAAATACCCCGAAAATTGGCACTTTCCCTTGCCGCAGTGCAGCACAATCATCGCAGTCATAAAGCGGCGCACACGACCTGTGATCACAGCCAGAGAATTTGGCCAATTAAGTTATTAAACACCTTGCGGTTAGAGGGATGACGCACCCCCAGTTGGTGGCCATAAATCAGTCTCAGTATCAATGGGACTAGCCTGTCCCCTATATACCCCGTTTAACTGGCAAATCACATGCTGAGCTTTATGCCTGACAGATTCTGCCGAATAGTTAGAGCGGGGAGATTCCCTCCTGTCCCCCTTCCTCCTCCGGAGGGACAATCTTATCTTATTCAGTCCCAGAGCCTTGGTACAAAAGTCGCATTATATAGTCTCTGGCGGCTATAAAGATTAGGACCGATATTATGGTTAGTGCCACACCATATTGTAAAAGGCATATTTAAGATAGCCAACTTTTGCCCGCTCCGTTCCGCAGTTTATTATGGCCATAACAAAGAACAGTACAATGGCTGGAAGAAAAAACCCAGAACTGACATAACCCCATGACCCATTGGCCGATCATCAGCCTTCAATCACTTAACCCACCAATTCACTCAAGCCCAAGCCAATCCAAACCACTTCAGCATGGCCAAGTAATTAGAGTCTCGTGACGATTCGCGGTCTGCGGCATTTTAATTTCGAGTATTTTCCTGTCGGCGTGTCGAATGACCCTCGAAATGTCAATTGCTGCGGCAATTTCCTTGCCTCGATTCGCGTTACTCTACTTAAAGTTAATTATTTAAGTGTTTATTTACTGCATTTTACTTGAACTATTCTCGCCTTAACCGATGATGTCGATCACCTGGTTAGATTTCGTTGAATGATTTATTGTGGTTACTAAAATTGGACACACAAAACAACTCGTTAGAGACACATGTCTCTCAATATGTTTGGGAGAATAGGGCTTTATTGCGAGACTCTAGCAAATTTTTATTTTAAAAACTATTTACGTCAAGGAGTATCCATTATTGTAAGATATTGCTCATCTATGGAATTTTTAGATCATCTTGGATTATATGAATCTGATGATATGTTATCTTATCTTGTCAGATATATCTTGTCATCATACTTTAAAATATTTGTAGCTTATATCATAACAGATCCCTTTCATAAAGATAGTCTATGATTATTCTTCCTATCTTAACTTAAAACTTGACTTTATTTCACTCTTAACCAGTTTTAATTGCCTTTTCTGTCAAGAATGAAAAATAAAGATATAAAGAACTATTTTTAAATAATTGATGTACATATGTATGTATTTTTATGATTGAGTGCCCTGACTTATGTCCTTCTATGGAGACTTCTATTTCAATCCAGAGCTGAAATTGCCAGTTGACTTTCTGCCTTTAATTGGCCGAGACATGCCGGTTCTTGGGTTCTTTTATTTGATACGACATAATGCTATGTGCGCCCATGGAATAAAAGGTCTTCGCAGTTCGGTTGACAGAAAAATTCTAGTTTTCAGCAAGGCGAAGCCAGAAATACCCTTGACGAGATGTTTTCAATCGTAATCTAAAAATGCTAAAGTACATTATTTAGTGTTAAACATTCTATTAAATGTAATGTGATTCTCCTAGTGACTTTGATAAGGAATACAGTAGAATAAACCATAAAACTATATAAATTCATGTAAAATTCTTATCTATAAGACATTACGTTTCATAGATTTTCTATAGTCCCTTTAAGACATTCAGTTATAGTTAGTAGATGGTTAATAATGAATCATGAAACCCTTTTCTTTTGTTTTCCGCAAAATACGATATGGATCTTTTCAGATGTGTGCCCTCTTCCAGAGTATTATGTTGTGGTGCCAATATAAATATTTTGGCGCCCGCCACATCTCATTAATGGACGTCAAAAACAAAAGACTTTCGGGCCGCTTCAATTAATTTGCCGTATCGTATAGTATATAACGCAAAATATTTTGGTATGCGAGTTAAATATTGAGTGCTATGATGTCTCTGCCCGTCTGCCGCAAAGTCTGGCAGTTGTCCGTCCAGTTGGCCGACTGTCCATCCGCCTTACCAGTTCAAACTGGTACTATTTTCGGTCATGGACGCCGGAAATCCAGTTCTAGCTAGATAGCCGGGTATATATTTACATATCGGCTAATATATTCGGAACTTACAGGCGGATATTTGAGCAAACATTTCAATTGCAGCATGGTTCGCTGACTTGGTAAAGTCAACGCAAAATGACAACGCAGAAAAACGAGTTTGAAGATCATCTCGGACCGCTCGATCCTATTGAATTGCATGGATCGTCCGAAATGGAATGGAATGGGATCGGTTCGGATCGTATGTGCGTGCTACTAATTGATGGGTTGAGCTATTAATTGAAGTTTGTCACTTTTCATTAACCAAGAGATGGAATATTCCATGTCTACATATGCGTGGAGAACTCATTTTGATCATTATCTAGTCACCTAGCTGATCTCAAGTCCGTACAAAGTGTGCCAGCGATAAGATTGATTGATAAACTGGATTATCGGTAGATAGAGGTCTATAGAATTCCTGCGATACTGCTTTGATTGCAAGTATAGATAATTGCAATGTGCAACTCAACTTGGACACTTGGAAAATTGGAAACGGACGTGCGAAAATCCCTCTTATATAAGTACAACTCAAGTACTAAGGCGGGGAAGCGATCTACTTAGTCATTAAGTGCTCTCGTTAAGCAGTCACCTCTTAAAAATATACATATATAGACAGTTATAAATATATATATTTTATTAAAACCGCAACTAAGCTGCATTAAACCGCATCTGTAACTGGTTAATTCAGACGTTAATTTCGTTCAGTACGTACTAAAAAACTGAAATCGAAACTGATTTCGAGTCTGAAATGGCATTCGAGCTATGCCTGAAATGAATACGGATAATAAAACACAATAGAAGTGTCAGTCAGGGCGGTTTGAGGTGGTTCACCCGGCTAAAATCGCTAAGAGCGCTCCCTATTCACCTCGTGCAACGCCAGCCTCCGCCTGCCAATACTATTTCCCCCCTAAATTCTCGCCTACTGAATTTGCAGTTAATTGCATTGCATAAAGCTGATCGAAACCCGCCTCTAACCGGTAAATGTGACTAACTAAACTGAGTTCAACTAAAACTACTGCAACAACTAATTCTATTGGAGCTCCAACTAGTTGTCGCTCTCCACTAGACACCCTACTGCATATAGGGGAAGGCATCTCGCATTCTTTAATATTATATCTCATTTATACATGCATTTTTCAGATATTCCATATCTTAAGTTGGAATAAAGTGTCAACAGTCTCGTATTATCTTTCTCCTGGTAGCCATCAAAGTCACTCAAAGTCCAATTTTATATATGTTTATTGCACGGATGGGTAAACAAAGACAGATATGTGTTATTCTTCAGAATAATCTCGCAAAACTTATGTGTATTAAAAGTATATATACATAGTTTTTATATCCAGACAAAATACTTCTTTGCGTGTCTAAAAAATGTAAAAGTTCTTGAAATTGTATTTATAAAAAATGTCTGTCTATGCGACAAGCATACTTATAAAAAGTTTATTTGCGGCACGTTACCTATTATTCTTTTTTTTTTTACTATAATCAGGGCCATATCTTATTCCAAATTAAATTAGTTTATTTTCAAAATCTCTTTAAAATTGCCTGAGAGAATTTGTGGCTTTATGTTGTTTTCATTTCTTAAATTATATAGTCAGTCCTAGGCAACAATGTAGTTCTAAATTAGTCATTCTTTAGGTTTTATTCGATTATTTTAAAATCTGTGTTGCTTTAAAAACAAATTGAAATACATTTTTCTATAATTAAAACATTTAAAATATATAATTTCGATGTCAAGTTACGGATGCAACCCCATCCTTAGATCCAATGTGGTTAGCACTAGTTTAAAACTAATATCACTGATACTGTATCAGGGGAGTATTTCGCATAAACCCATAACTTTAAAGGCTCTCCTAGTCATAGGAAACTAGGAAAATGTGTGTGAGTGCCTGCTGCACTGAATCTTTATCGTTCGGTGCTTCCAAGATTGGGACATTCCGGTTCCGCTGGTTCTAAATTGGAGCAGGGTGCACAATTTGGCACATAGCTGGGTTTTTTTTTTTCGCTCCACGGCTCTATGGTTTATAGTTTATAGCGCGACATAAAGTGAGCGCGTGCAAGTGCGACTGAGACTGCGACTGCGACGTCAGCGGCGACGGCGGCAGCGGAAAACCGTTAAGTATTCAGCGCAGAATCGATTGTTCGTTGATACCAACTGAAATCGAAATCGGGGCTTGAAATGGGCAAATAAAATAAAATACAAAGTTCCTTGGCGGCGGCGCAGCTGAAAGTTGAACTAGTTGTTGCATTTGTTGGAATGAATGCTCCACACATGTGGAGGCCTGATGGCCGATCGGCCAAGATAGCGAGAGTTTTTATGAGGTGCCACAAACACACATCCGTGCGTGCACTGAGAATAAAAGTGTTATTTGGAATATTAAAAATATCATAAGCATCCCAAAGTCATCAAACTTTTATAAAATACTTAAATAATAACCTAAAATATTTTTTTTATTGAATAGAATAGAATAAATTTAGAACAAATTTATAAAGCTCCTCCAAGATTCTAATATAATTTTATTCCATTAGCAACAACTTGATTTATACACAAACATCATAATTGAGAGCAAATAAATTTCAGCTATGTTTAGGGCTCAATTGAGACACGATTGCGACCAATAATGTTGACAAAAATAGTTGTTTATTGACTTTGAAAATAAACGTTGATTGGGAAACTGTTATTATTTTATTTGCGCTGTTCTTTTATTGATTAACTGGCGTCTTCGCATTTTTTCCCAGTGCACAAGTGTGGCAGTATGTACAAACAAGTGTAACGAGTCAACTCCTTGTCCATATAGCGATACACGATCGTTGACCAACCGAATAATAATGATAAAAAAAAAAAAAAAACTTCAGCAGCAGCAGAGACGACGCCAGCAGAGCCGCGCTTATCTGCTCTCATATAAACTAAAGTCGACGGGAATAATTTCTCATTTGTAATTTGGCAGACGGCGTGCGCGGATCGGAGCAGAACTCAGAGGCGATATAGCGACATTAGCGAAACAAGCGATCGGGATCGGGTCGGCAGATCAACGTTATTTGCTTTACAGTTTTGTTCCAGCTGCTTTTGGAATTAGTCGCACACACCGGCTGGCTGGTGAAAAGAGACAGAACCAAAAAAAAAGTGCGTGGGTGCCACTTGTTGTTTCGCTCTCGCCAAGTGCGCGATCTCTCCGTCGCCGTCTCCGTTTTGCGCGTGCGCCAAGTGCAAGGAAGAAAGTAATACCAAAAGCAAAAGAAATCGACATCGAAATCGGAATAGAAATCGGAATCGAGTTAAAAACGCAGCGTTAAGTGCGCGATAAGGACCCGCCGTTGTCCTTTAACCCGTAACCGTGGCGAAGGAACTGGCCAGCTTGCTAAATTTACCAAATAACAATCCCGAGATGACACAACAGCCACAATGGGGCATAAACCTATCCAGGTGTAAGTGCCCAATAATATGTTATCCATGATTACCATCTCGCCATAGCGTTATCTCATAAGGAAGCGCCCGGCAGTGCTTGCGGAATTCGGAATGCCCTGCGATCGTTGAACTGAACAGCGACGACGATCGCGGGGCGAATTCTTGGGGCAAAATGTCTCAGTGGTTAACCGACATTGACCGACAGCTATATAAAAAAAATCCTAAATGCTTATAACGTATGTTATGTGCATAAATGAAAACAATGACAAAACGCATTTGCCACTTCCGATTCGATTATTGTTTCGTCGCCGTGTCTCGCATTTCACGTTTGTTTGGGCTTTTGGTTTGACGTTTGGTGATGTGATGTGGTGTGGTGATGATCTCTTAAAATTCCTGGCATGCGTCCACATAATTGATAATTATTTTGCATATGATTTGCATGTGAATCGATTCGTAGTCGCCTATGCCACATGGTGCCGGCCGTAGGGTATTCTCAGAACCATTAAAAACGTTAACAGTTATATATTATGGTCGATCGGGCGGCAATCGTTTATGGCCCTGCCCATTTCCTAGCCCCATCTCGCTCGGCTCTTTTTTGGGCAAGGTCAATGCAATAAAAAAGAATTCTTCCGTCCACTGGTTCTCTTTCTTGGTCTCTCCATGCGATTGGGCAACCATTTCTTTTGTAAGAGCTTTACCCAAAATAAAGTCGGACAAAAATATTGAAATATATCAAGCAAAAAGTCGAAAGCAAAACAGAAAACAACAATATTTACGGAGAACGCTCTTCATTATGTATGGAGATTTGTAGTCTGTAATCATCTAAAAAAGTTAATTGTACTAACACCGACTTATTGCACCCATCATTAGTTCTGATTTAGTATTATTTTCCGCCATTGTAGCTTGTTTTTACAATCTGTAGAACTCGGGAATTTTAATTAATAATTGTTTCTGTTTTTTTCTAGTTTTTTGTGTGATTCAATTAAAATGAAATATTTGTGAGACAAATAAATAATATAGAAAACTGGGTTTTAGCTTAAATAAAATAAAATAAAATATCATAGTAACTAGCTCATATAATATATCAATATATAGTTTACTAAACCGTAAAGTTTACCCCCCAAAAAGGGTTAACAAATGATATCGCCAGCTTAATGACCTAAAGTTTACCAGTTGGCCATAAATCAACCGATTGGCTCCGTCAGTCAGCATTACGCATTAGTTTTGAGTTATTGCGATCACCGAAGGCAGAGCCGGAACCTTCCTCTAATCGCCTTGTTCTATTGCCCCCTGGCTGCCCGGCTCATTATCATATGGAAAGGGCCTATCTGGTATTCTGATAGTCTGGTAATTCTCCTTCTTTCGTATGCAGCAATCGCACATTACAGCCCATTGACATAATTTTCGCAAGAGCGCGGAAATGCAAGGCAGAAAGAAATGGTGTTTATTCGTGCCGTGCTATCACCGATCACTGAACTGAACTCAACTGGACATGGGCGATGGTCGGACAAAGAGGTGCAGCAGACCCAGAAATGTCCAATGCCCAGACAGACAGACCGACGGGTAGAAGAAATTGTTTTCATTTTCTCATTACTGCAACGGATATGAGAGACTTTACTGGCTCTAATCAGCGTACTTTTAATCGTATTTTTTGCACTTCTGCTGACTTATGTTCATTAATTAAAAATAACTCTCGATTTTTTCTGTGACTCAGTGATGAAAGGAATGACTTTATTTTAAAATTTAAATTTTAATTTTAATTCGTATTATATTAACAGATGTTTCTTAAATTGTTTGAGGGAAAACCGTATAGTTTAGTTTGTAGATAGGAAAAATCCCACTATTTTATTAAGTTCAATTGTTTTTGTTTCGTTAATTGGAAAGTTTCGCTTGATCACAACTCAATTAAACTGGGTCGTAAAATAGTCTATATACTAAATATTCCACAGTTTTTCATGACTTTATTCCTTTTCCTGAAATAGGTGTTACTGGGTCTGATTAGATCCCCTGTGAAAAGTGAACTTCCCCTTTCTCTTCCTTTCTATGGCTTTCATTTTCCACTTACTTATTCAGGCGATAAGGGGCTGAGTTACTAAATTCTGATTAAATCTTAAATAGCTTATCGAGGGTGTGTGTGATGGGTCTAGGCCTAAGTGCGGCCATATATTAACGCCACTAAGCGTGATTGGTGGAGTGAAATATAGCCATACTTATATATTTTATGATTAGCACCCATTTACATATAGAAGAGCCTCTGCGGTTGGGTTATATGGCCTTATCAACTTATCACTCGACGACGGTAATCATATTAGCCGACACTCGTGGCGAATAAATTTTCTGCGAATGTTAAATAACTTGTCAAATATTGACACATTGTTAATTTGGCTGCCGAAAAAATATTTATTAATGTTAATTTATAGGCAAAATAAAATTGTCAGCCTGAGTGACGTAGATTGGCGTTTCGAAACTGCAGATCATAAACTTTCTGGAGTTTTGCGATCCATTAAAAAATCAAACAAATGTTGTTTGCTTTATATATGTATATTTTTTTATTTTTTAGGCGGGTGGTTTAATCCGAATCCGAGTCGGAATTTGACGTAGGTAGAGTCGTGGGTAAATGTCAACACATGGCGGGGAGGTGATCTAATAATATTATTGTCATGAATTGGGTTCTGATTGTGTTTACTTAGAAGGAACTCGCGCTGTTTGCTCATTTGGAATGCGGCTTGCTTGCCGTTCTTATTAGATCTTTTTGGATGAAATAGGTCAATGTTAATCTAGCGTAATGAGTTCAGCCTTCGTCGAATACAATTCCCTTTTTTTTCAAATATATACGTTTATTGATACGGAAAACAGCCTTTAATTGGCACTGCCACCCGCCCTAGGTTTATGGTCATTGCTCCGCATTTCCCTTATGCGATACACTTGAGAGATTGCGAGATTGGTCGATCTGCACTCCAAGTGTTTATATCGCAGATCTACCGCACTCTTGGCCTTATCTGGGCGTAATTCCGCTTAACAATTTGATTGCGATATGGCGATCGTATAAAGTACGCCCGCGGGCCTGGTGATTGATAGGGGAACAAGTACATAGCGCCGTTAATATAGCCCCATAATCGGGTGGCTATATATGTTGGCAGTAAACACCAACACCTCACCGTAAACCTCACCGTAAACCTCACGAGACAGGAAGTATATGTACGCTTGTACAAGGTGCGAGTGCGGGATCATATTTCTTCAAGAATTCTCTAAATGCCATCGTAAAGTAACTCCATAAACTATAGAATAATTTATAAATGAAGACCATCAATGAGAGCAAATAAATTTAATTCAATGGAAGCGAAAGACGATTGCGAACTTCCATATATCAAAAGATTGTTTATAGAATATTTAATCAATATAGAAATAGTTATTTATTGACTTTTGGGGCTTAGATTGGCATATTATGATTGTTTTATTGAGGTGTATTTGTATTTATTGGTAGATTAGTAATAGGCTAACAATTTGGAATTTTTGGTATGGAATATGCTTAAATATAATATATAATATATCAATTGATACGTAGCATTTGTAGAGAACGAGTTTCGAACTAATTTTACAAGTCAGAAACAGTCACTCGTATAAATTTAGCAATATTGTCAACGAACTAATTTAAATATTTATTTTATATTCAACAAGATGCTGAATATGCACGATAAAAGGTTCTTTTGTTAAAATTATTCATTAGAGACTTTCGATTATTAACCACTCATATGAGTTTATTTAGTTACTTTAAATTTTTGTAGTATATACAATTTCAAGGCAAAAGTAAATCATTTAATTATTTAATTTATATAAAAAACTCCAAATAGAAAATAAAGTAATACATGCTTTTCCCAGTTTTTGCCCATCGTTTTCATTGCTTTTTTAGGGTAATTCTTTAGTAGCTCCCTCTAATTGATATATAGCGCTACGGCAATCAACTGCAATTTGAAGTTTATCGCCGCAAATTGATTTGTATCCAATTGACCGGCTTTAAGAGCCACCCTCGTCGACCCCTCCACCAACTATTTATTCGCACGCTAACCGAATTAAATGAGTAATTTTCTGACGACGCAAATCCATTCCGGTTGACGCAAGCGATTGTTTGACAAAAATGTTGCACCAGCAAGTTAATTAATTAATTTACTCCCGGATCTCTTTTCGACTCGCAGATTTCATACTCCCGCAGCGGGTGATCTTGGCCATTATGGGCTTCCTGGCCATCCTGAATGCCTACACGATGCGTGTCTGCCTTTCGCAGGCCATCACGGTGCTGGTTGTCAAGAAGAACTCCACGGACGATGATTCTGAGGCTATCTGCGAGCCCGACGATCTGGATGAGGGCACAAGCGTAAGTTTTTGAATTGCGATCCATCGAAATGGGCAAAATCATATAAGGTTATCATAATTACAGACTGGCGGCGATTATGAGTGGTCTGAGGAGCTGCAGGGCTTGATCCTGTCCTCCTTCTACATCGGCTACATTGTCACCCACATTCCCGGCGGTCTGCTGGCCGAGAAGTTTGGCGGCAAATGGACCCTGGGCATTGGCATCCTGTCCACCGCTGTCTTCACCATGCTCACGCCTCTGGCCATCGATCTGGGTGGCTCCGATTGGCTAATTGTCACTCGAGTTCTGATGGGTCTCGGGGAGGGCACCACCTTCCCTGCTTTGAGTGTACTCCTGGCGGCCTGGGTGCCGGCAAACGAGCGTGGCAAGCTTGGTGCTCTAGTGCTGGGCGGCGGTCAGGTGGGCACCATTATGGGCAACCTGCTGTCGGGAGTGTTCCTCGATGCCTACGACTGGCCATTTGTGTTCTACTTCTTTGGCGGCCTTGGTGTCATCTGGTTTGCAATCTTTGTAAGTATTCCTTCGATTTTCGTAGATCTTGATTTTAGATTTCTAATATCAAATTAATTAACATTATGCTCTCCCTTAGGTCTTCCTGTGCTACAGTGACCCCGTTTCGCATCCGTTTATTAAGCCCAGCGAGCGCGAGTATCTGGTTAAGGAAATCGGCACGATTAGCCGCAACGAGGACTTGCCGCCGACTCCATGGAAGGCCATTCTCACCAATCTGCCCATGTTCGCACTGGTGTCCGCTCAGATCGGTCACGATTGGGGCTTCTACATCATGGTGACTGATCTGCCCAAGTACATGGCCGATGTTCTGCAGTTCTCGATCAAGGCCAACGGCCTGTACTCCTCCCTGCCGTACGTCATGATGTGGATCGTGTCCGTGGGCAGTGGCTTCGTGGCCGACTGGATGATCCGTCGCGGCATCATGAACACAACGAATACGCGTAAGGTGATGACAGGACTGGCTGCCTTCGGTCCGGCCATCTTCATGGTGGGCGCCTCCTATGCCGGCTGCGATCGTGTCCTTGTCGTGGTCCTCTTCACCATCTGCATGGGTCTGATGGGCGCCTACTATGCGGGCATGAAGCTGAGTCCCCTGGACATGAGCCCCAATTACGCTGGCACCCTGATGGCCATCACCAACGGTATCGGAGCCATAACGGGTGTGATTACGCCGTATCTGGTGGGCGTGATGACACCAAATGTGAGTAATCCAGGGTACTTTCTCTTGTGTTCAAAAACTAATTTCCAAATCCCTTTGCAGGCCTCGCTGCTGGAGTGGCGCCTGGTGTTCTGGGTGGCTTTCGGCGTGCTCTTCGTCACTGCCATCGTGTACTGCATCTGGGCATCCGGAGAGGTGCAACCGTTCAATAACGCACCCATCCAGCCGCGGACGGTGGACTTTGAGGCGCAGGAACGCAAGCCGGAGGCCGGAAAGGCAAGGGCTGCTCTGGAGCACAGCTCCTAGAGAGGATCGCCAACGAATGTGCCATATGTACTGCTGTACTCTAGTTCAAATGCTGCCAGCGGGGGCGCAGCGGTGGCTGCTGTTCAGATTGCTAGTTTTATAGTATTCCCGATCTGGCCGAGCCCCGGCAGATGAAGGCAGAAGGCGCCAAATGATTTAATTTAAGCGAATTTACTTACACTCCCCCCGAACGTGCGCCGCATACTTCTACGTATTCCTGTTGTAGACAGGAGCGATCCTTGTGGCTCCTTCCTTCGCATCGCGCACGCCACGTACTCTCTTAATTATTATTTAGTATTTAAATCTAAAAATCGCTTTCCACGTTTAAGACTTAGTGTGTAATTGCACAGAGCTCGTCGTATTGCCGTATTGTAAAGAATCAAATTATGAAAAACCTTGTACATTTTAGATTGTTGATCAATGTGTAAAGTGAAACTTTTTTAACTGTCCCGTTTAAGACATTACTTGTTTTTATGACGTTAGTCAAATAAAGTGTATAAAGCAAATTGTAATCTTAACAAATGGTTATTTAAGTTTATACGAATTTTTATAGGTTTGTCCATTTATTATTTTGATTGTTACTGGTGTGTAGTAACGTGGACAATAGGCTAGGGGGAAGGTCGATGGAATCTTTCAAGAGTTCAATGTTTTAGGTGAGATGTTTATATAATTATAATTATATAATTATTAGATTCCCAATAGGAAGGTCGCGACAATAAACCCTCTTGAGTTTTCGCCTAAGACGACAGGAAGCCAGCCTCCTTGCCAGCCTTATGTAGATAATGTAATGTATAATATAGATACCTACTTGTGTGTTTATCCATATCAGTGTTAAAGTATTCCGCGAATCAATTCAGTTGACCTCACAGGTCCTGAGTGGAATATCCTTTTCCCTTTAAATCTATACTCCATGATTTCCGTCAGGTCCACCTCTTGCTGACATCTGAGTTCAACATCGTAGACCAAGCCACATTTCGCAATTTTTAGAGGTGCAATTACAAACACAGAGACTTTGCAAGAAAAGTCAAATGATCAAAACGAGTTATGAATTTTACATATTTTAAGAAAACTTCGACATGGAACTATAAATTATCTGAATTCTACGGAATTTTATACGAAACTTTAAAAAACTTGAAGCCTGCTTTTGGGCTTTGTCAGTCTCTAAATTGATACAATTATTTTGATACATTTCCGTAAGACATAAAAATAGCTTTATTGTTTACTAAATAAGCTATATAATACATATTCTTACAAATCTGTTAATAGAGTAGTAGGCTATCCCTTTAATTCCTAGTCCAATATAAATAAAGTAGTTAAAATGCTGCCCGCTGTTGAACAGAAGCTTAGCGATTTGTTTCTTTGTGAGTAGAGCAAACTTTCATTATCCTTAAAAGAAATAAGCCACCATCCTCTATGCAGATCTGGAGGTCAAGCAGCGCGTGGTGCTCTGCTGCTTCACCCTCTTGGCCATTATAAACGCCTATACGATGCGACTGTGTCTGGACTTTTCGATGGACCGCATTGTCGCCGAGTGCAACGGGGTCCAGGATAGATTCAGTTCCGACGGAATAGTGCTTAATCCAAAGGCCCTGCCCAACTGGCGGCTGGAACTGGCCATGCACCTAAACCTGACAAAAAATCATTTTATAAATAGACTAAAAGCGGGATGGGATCGGAATCAGGATAAGGTGCCCAAGAACGGTCGAAGGAACCACCGTAGAAGGAGCAGCCGGGAGAGTGTCACATCGAAACATTCCCCTGAACGAATTAGCTGCTCGGAGCTGTGGTCCCTCCAAACCCAATCATTGGTGTTCATGGCTTTCTATGCCGGCTACATGATCACCCACGTTCCCGGCGGACTTTTAGCGGAGCGATATGGCGGCAAATGGGTTCTCAGTGTGTCCATCCTTACGTCGGCGGTGCTGACTCTCCTTACTCCGACCGCAGTGCGTAGCGGAGGTCCCTATATTCTGATCGGAGTCCGTCTCATGATGGGGCTTTGCGAAGGTCCCTGCTTTCCCGCAGTCTGCGCTTTATTGGCTCAATGGGTGCCTGAGCAAGAGCGCGGATTGATGGCCACTTGCGTACTGAGCGGCGGAGAGATTGGCATCACAATGGTTCAATTGGTCAGCGGATTGGTGATGGCCGAACAGGACTGGCCTCTGGGGTTTTATCTGGTTGGCGGTGGTGCTATATTCTGGTTCCTGGGTTTCGTAAGATGAACAACAAACTCTTGAAACTATTTGAAACCTCTTCTCCACTCTTTTGTAGACTCTTGTTTGCTATAGCACGCCGGATCTCTGTCCGTACATCCAGAGCGAGGAGCGGGACTACATCAAAATCCACACAAGCGGTTCTCTGCTGCTGGTCGCCACTCGAGAAAGGGTGGCCAGAGATGCCCCGGACGCAGAGGAACCCACCAGAGAGGAAGCAGACAATGAAGACACTTTAATGACCAACCCTCCGACAACACCTTGGCGAAGCATGCTCACCAGCAAACCGCTGTGGGCCCTTATCTCCGCCTCAATTCAGCATGATTGGAGCAAGCAGGATCTGCCCAAGGAGCTGCATATGGTGTTGGAAAAGGTACGGTCGCATGGCAGCGGGCTGTGGGAGGAACTCGCCGCCACACTTACAGTGACAGCTCCGCACATTGGCAATTGGTTGGCCTCGCTGACCACGGGTCAGCTGAGTGATTTTCTCATTGCCCAGCAGATCCTCAGTCGCACGCAGACCCGCCGTCTGATGTCCTGGCTGGTCTTTATATGCGGATCCATGCACATGGTGCAGATGAAGATGAAGGGCGCTCAGATCTGGAGTATTCTGGCCATGGGTGCCTATAATGCTAGCGTCAAACCCCTGCCGCTGGACATGAGCCCGAACTATGCTGGAACTCTGATGGGTATTTCGGGTGGACTTGGAGCTCTGCCGGGCCTCCTGATGCCCTATCTGGAGCAGCTGGAAGAGGACTATGCTTTGGTGGGCAGCGTGCGAGCTGCGCTCTGGATAATCGCCGCCAGCTACATCTCGGGCGATGTGCAGGACTTTAACCAACCGGAAGTGGAGCCACAATAAGAGGACAACTGGCTTGATATTTGTTATTAATCTTATGCTTAAACATAAGCTAGTGGTTTCTTGTCTTAGTGGGTTCCTTAGGCAACAGATTCTAGATTACATAAGTATGTACCATAATACATGACGATTTCTATATGCTATGTAGCTATAGCTAGAGCAGCATAAACGTAAACAAGCTTTATATATATATAAATAACAGGTAAATGATGGTCGATATTAACTTAGTTGGAGTCGGCTTGCTCCTGGTGGTGCGTCTCTGGCTAAATGCTCCGCTCTACACTCCCTGCGGCATCATGCCTGTCTGGGCCATGGCCGACACCGTGTTCATGTCGATTCCCAGCTTCTTGGTGACATTGATCTGGGCCATCGCCGCATTTCGCAGCGAGTAGACATGCACCAGCTCCGCCTGGCTCTTGGCGTACAGCAGGGCCTTCTCGAAGAGATCGACGGCGTTTTTCAGCTGCGCCCGCTGCACTTCTACCGTTCCCAGGGTCTCGTAGGCCAGCTCACACTTTGGATCTACCTCGATGGCCTTGTTGAGCAGCTTAACAGCCGTCTCGACGTCGCCGCGCCACTGTAGAACCATGATGGCCTGATGGACGATGAGGGTCGAGCTTGTTGGAGCCATTCGCATGGCCTTCTCGTAGTACTCCTGCGCCTGATTGAACTGCTGCTGGTCGGACAGCACTTGGGCCATCAGGCTGTAGCACTCGACGCAGCTTGGGAACCGTTCAATTGCCTGTTCAAAGCTGCGCATCACGGCCTCCAAACGCCTCTGGTCCCCGGCCAGCAGCGACAGTCTGTACTCGGCGTAACACTTCTGGACGAAGGCAATGGGATGGTTAGGCGCAAGGCGCACAGCCTTGTCGAATTCGGCCAACGCAGGCTCGATCTGCTCCAGCAGCAACAGAATTTGGGCACGCTGGTGGAACACATCTGGGTTATCGGGCTTCAGCTTCTCCGCCTCCTCAAAGTCGGCCAGGCCCTTCTCGCGCTGGTCCAGCTGAACGTAGAGAGCGGCTCGCTTAAGGTAGGCATAGGCTCGCATTGTGGGGTCAGCATCGACTGTGGTCAAGGGATTTACAGAGCGTTACCAAAGAAAATAAATACCCTGTGGATATGGGTTATTCTTACCATTTTGTAGGATGGCATTAAAGTCCTGCTCGCTCTCTGTGTAGGAGCCGCACAGGAGGTGGAAGGTGCCGCGCATGAGCAGCGCCTCGACCTTGTACTGGGCCTCCGCTTCCGACGACTCAATCTCCTCGGTGCAGGCGGGTATGATGTCGTCGAACTTCTCCTTTAGGTAGGCTTGCCTTGCCCTCAGGAATCCCTTTGCTGGTGTCGACTCTGTATCTTGGGCGGGCGGGAGTTCCAAGGTCTGCAGTGGATCCGCAATAAAGGAACGCATGTAGGTATTGACGAAACAGGCCGACGGCACAACGGGCACCCTGGTGAGCATTCCCTTCTCGGCATCCATGCGACCCGTCTCCTTGAGGACGCGGTCCGCGAACATGATGGTCTGGTTGTTCTGAAACATCTCGAGAATGCAGGTGGCGGTGACATCGTCCAGGCACTCCATCATGTCTTTAGTGGCCTCGTAGGCGCGGGCACGACGATAGTAGGCCTTGGCATAGCGCGGATTATACTCCAGGGAGGCGGTGCAGTCCTCCTTCACCTTGGACCACTTCTTGAGCATTTCATAGGAAGCGGCGCGGTTCTGGTAGAATATGGCCATGTCAGTTCGATGCTCCTTGGGACACTTGTCGATGGCCTTGTCGTAAAAGTTGATCGCCTCGTCGTATTTCCCGTTCCGGTAGCAGATGTTGCCCTCGTTCTTGTAGTTTGTGGCTTCCTTCAGCGGCGACAGCTCCTCTCCCAGCTCGGCTGACTTTTTCTTCCGCTCCAGGTCCTTGTCAGGTGCGGTGCCGTCGAGGGAGATGCCCTGCTGCTCGATCTTGCCCTTGACGCGTTTCTTCTCCTCCCCGTCAACATCCGTGGCCTTTCCACCGGGCGCAGCGGTCCAGCGCTTGACCGCATATGTGCCCAGCCCAATGGCCAGGGGAGTGCCGAGGAGTAGCGCCACCTGCCACTTGTTCAGCTTCATCGAGCCAATGCTGAGAGACATCGCCATCGTGCCGGAAGCTTCTCAGTTGTGTGCTTGCGTGTGCGGACTGCAAGGAGAGAAGAGATTGGTTTGGTCAGCGGCGGATCGTCGGCAATTGTGTAATACACCGGCTGGCTTATCGCTCGTCGCCTTTGAGCCCGCTAAATGCCGGGCGGGGGGCACGTTTCTTCTTTCGCCTAACCCCCAACCCCATTGATTTTTCACACCCTCGAAACGGCGGGGCCGGTAACTGAACCCATCCACTGGACGGTACTCACACTTTGTCTAAACTTAAAACAGCTGTGAATTTAGCAAATATAGAACGGTTTTTGACCTATTTTCTGTTAAAACTTTAGAAACTTGGATTTATTGTAACTCTTTCGAGCACACGAAGGAACAGTGTGACTAAGTAGCCCCCTTTTTTTTCGTTGCGAATGACAAGTTCTCCAAGTGTTCCGTGTGAATGGAATTTAATGGATTTGCAGCACGGCCACACTCCAATTGGAAATTGCGGGAGCTCGACAGCCGCGGTCAACCGAATAGATATAAATATAAATATAAATATAGAAATAAATATTTAGCTAAACGATTCTCTTTTGTGACTTCTTGGCCTTTCTGTTTTTATTTTATTCAGTAATTTTAAATACATTTACCCCTGAAAAAGTATATTAAACAAAAAAGGAAGCTAACTTATTATTTATTATATTTAATATTTATTATTTTTAAATCGTATAAATAAAATATTTCAGATTTGAAACATTGAATATAGTTTAAATTATAAAAATATATTCTGAACAAAAACAATAGTTTATAGTTTTAAATTTTCAGCTTTTCAATTTTCTCTACCGATCGCTTCTATGGTAACTATATTTAATAGTCGTCGAATTTCAAATAAAATTAAAACCGAAATTCTGAATAATACAAAATTTCAATTTCTTAGAGTAGATAAAAATATAAAAAACAAGAAAGAAAGCTAACTTTGGCCAGCCAAAGTTTGTATATCCTTGCAGGTAACAATTAAAATATATCATAACTAAGCCAAAAATGCATTAATTTCGATTTGGAAAGCAGTTTTGTGTTAGTTTTTATTAATTTAAAAAAACTGCATACCAAATTTAAAATTTTAAGAAATCAAAATTTTGGCCATTTTTGCTAATTTTAATGATGTAACCCCTTATAAAATTTCGCAAAAATGGCCAAAAAATCGATTTCTTCCGGACATGTCAAGAAAGATTCGCATGTTAATGCTGATCACGAATATATATGGTTTATGAGGTCGGAAATGATTCCTTGACTTAGAAAAATATTATTTTGTATTATAAAATCTGATTTTTTATATTAAAAAACTTTTTGATTTTTTTTTTAAATTAAAAATATCATAACTCGGCCAAAAGAGCATTAATTTTAAATCGGAAAACTGTTCTGTGCAAGATTTTCTACAGTTAATAAATCTGCATACTTCATTTAAAAATTTTGAAAATTCAATTTTTTATCGAAATCAAAAATTTTAATGATGTAACCCCTTATAAAATTTTGCAAAAATGACCAAAAAATCGATTTCTTCCTGACATATCTAGAAAGATTCCCCTGTTGATGCTGATCAAGAATATATATACTTTATAGGGTCGGAAACGTCTCCTTCACTGCGTTTGCAAACTTCTGACTGAAATTATAATACCCTGCAAGGGTATAAAAATCAGTTAAGTTATAATTTTATTTCTACAATTTTTTCTCCGTTTCTCGGCCGATCCGGCCTGTTTTGACATATATAGTAGTGAGAATAGTCACAAGACTATCTGCAAAGTTTCATTTCGATAACTTTAAAACTGAGGGACTAGATCCACTCGGTTGTTGATGCTGATCAAGAAAATAGGGTCAAAACCGTCTCCCTCTCTGTGTTCCAAACTTCTGACTAAAGTTATAATACTCTGCAAGGGTATACAAATATCTTATTAATGAAAAAAGAAAACCTCTTATGTTACCCGCTGCTGTTGCTTAGCTCCCAAACGAAAAAAAATAGGACACTTTTAAAATTAAATTCATTGTTTTTACAAGTAATTCACTAGAGTTGGAATACAGAATTTAGTTAGTCTAAGAGCGAATCTCCTCCTCCTCGCTGGCCGTACGACCCGTGGAAGGTGCTGATACCGTTGGGGCCGGCTTCTCGCCGTCGTTAGCTAGGGCTTTTTGCAGATTCTCCGGCTTCACCAGGCCATGAGCGTCCGCGTAATGCATGAGATCACAGATCGTGGGCGATTCAACGACCAGAATATACTGGCACGTCTTCGGCTCCAGCAGATACATGGACACGGCTGTGCCGCTGGTGGTGACCGGCGTGCAGGTCAGCTTGACGTCAACCTCACGGGGCAGTCCAGTACGGTCGCAGTGGGTGCCCTTGCCGTAATGATGCCAAATGGAGGATGTGAAGCCGGCACGCCGGGCGCCCTTATCCGGATTGGTGTTGGCCCACTGGCGATGAGCCTCCTCCGAGAAATAGCCCAGGAACAGCTCTACCTCGCTGTTCTTGTCCTTGTGGAACTGGCGTACATGACGCCCATAGCAGAACTCGTACTTCCACCAGCCGTTTCCCTGTAGAAAAGGTAACATTAGTTAAATCACCGATCATTTGGGCGATCTTCTTACCCCAGTTAGGCAATTCTTGCCCGAAACGAACTCCTTGATGGGCGTCAGATCGCTGATAGGAGTTGGCATAGAGCCGCCGGCAGTTCGGCTAAGCAGAAGCTGCTGATAGTCGCCGTCCACCTCGAGGTCCCCGTTACTCATTAGCTCCAGTATGATCTTATCCACATCCCCGCTGTACTTGAACGTCACCATGTCTCCCTCGGCCTTTGGCCAGAGTTTGGCAGGCGGCTTGCTTTCCTTCTCCTTGGAAACGAGTAAATCCGTTTCGGATTCAGCCCACTCACTTAGCTCCGAACGTAGCATGCTCAGTGGCCTGTGCGGCTCAGTTTCCGAGTTGAAGCACTTGATGGACAGCTCCTTGGTCTCCTCGGCATGGAAGCCAGGGATGACGCACAGCGCCGAGGTGAGGATAATGGCTTCATAATTACACGAGGAGGTCTCCTTGAACGAGTAAATGTCGTCCTTACCGTGCGGATAGCACACATAGCGCACCATTGTGGTGCGGGGAGAATCGATAATTTCGCACATGGTGCCATCGTTGAACTCCATCTCGAAGTAGGGATACCGTGTGTTGTCGATCTTGAGGGTCTTGTATTTGGGCTTGCCGCCATCCTTCAGTTCGGCCGCCCACGTCTTGCTCAGCAGCTCTGTCTTGTCGTCGCCCCACTTGCCCAGATAGAATTCCTGAAACTTGATGTTCTTGCCTTCGCGCTCCTCATGGTACTGGCGCACATGGTGTCCGTGGCAGATTTCGTACGACCAATAGGCTTCAATGCGGTACGAACAGGTCAGAGCGGAGAAAATGGGCTGCAACAGGCTAATGGGAGCTGCGGGAAAAACACAAAGAGCTGTAGAGGATTTTCTTCTTGAAAGACACCGAAAACTTACACAACTCCGGCTTGTCGGACTTCTTTTCCTCCTTCTGGCGCTCAAAAGTGGGAATCAGGCATTCGTACTTCTCCTTATCCGGCGTGTAGAACGTCCGCAGCTGGTTGCCCAAGTCCTAGGGGGTATTAGATCTTGTATTCCATGAAATGTACAACATGTTTTCTACTCACTGGCTGTCCAATCAACTCGGGAACTTCAAAATCAATTTTGTACAAAATGGAATCGTCAAAATCTTTGGCTTCGTGGGCTGCCGCCGCCGAAAGCAGGGCCAGAACCAGCGTTAGTTTTGTTAATCTTCTGTGGACACTATTCATAGTTGCTGATTTCTAAAAACTTTAAATGCTTCTACATCGGTTTATTTTATGGCAATCAAGAAATATTTGTCAATTGATGAGCTACGTGTTGTTTTCTTCCAAAAATAGTAAACAGCTGCTTTCCTAGTGTGACCGTTGCACCGTGTATGCGCGTTTTGTGAATGGTTGTTTTTGAAAAATAAAATACAGTTTAAATTGTGACCGTTATTTGCTTGGAAATTTTTAGGCTTTGCAACTAACTAAATATTGAGCATATTTAATATTTTTATAATATTAAATACAATCTGCATCTACTAAGCCCTGAAATTAAGATTTTAAGCTCTTGGTTTTAAATAGCCTTTTTCGTTTTTCACTGAATTTAAAACTTAACGAAATACATTCTTTTAATTTATATTTCCTTGATACTTAAAATACGAAAAACATGAAATATCTTAGTTTTGTTTTTCATATTTTGTAGAGCTTGGCCCAATACCCTGATGTTTCCCTTTCTAAAACATAGACCAAATATTAAAAACACTTTAAAAATTATCCTCAACATTATTATATTTTCATTAACAATTATCATTATCGCGATTCCCTATCTCATGCCCGTCGCTTGGTCTGTGGACCAGCCGGGCTCCTTGGCCTTGTCATGATCCAAAGGCATCTTGTCGATGGCATCCAAAATAAATTTAACGGAGTGCGTCGTCCGTGGAATCCACTCCAGGATGCGGGAGGTGGTCGATACGGGTGGTGTCGCCGCATCACCGTCGTCCACAAAATCGGCATCGCCGCCAGACAGAGAGCGCACGCCGCCTAGGTAGTCGGTGTAATCGTAGTCACTGGTCAGCGGATTCACCTTGGAGTAGTAAATGGCGGCGAATGTTGAGTAGATAATCAGCAGTGCTGTGCCCACCTATGTATAAAGGATGCGCGTAAAAAGTAAGCAAAAAGGTGTAATTATAAGTAAATAATCCATTCTCACCTGAAAGACAGCCCAAAACTTGTAGGAACCCTCCGTGATGACAAAGTCATAGTAACCCTTAAGGGGATCGCCCTTGATGTAGCGACCTTCGCCCACATCCGTGTCAGCCTTGTCCTCCGTCTCGGCATCTCTTCTCTGCCGCAAACCTCTCACCGACCTCAAGCTAGCTTTCTCGCCCTTGCGTGATTCCACTTTGGCTGATGATGGAGCCGATGGTGTGGCCGCCTCAACTTTCACCACCTTCTCCGCCTGCTGCTGCTGCTCCTCCTCCTCCTCTTCGGAGCTGTCTGGAGCCGATGTCGTGGTGGAAGTAGTCGTGCTTGTAGACTTTGTAGTCGTTGTGTTGGGCTTCTTGCTCTGGTTCTTCTTGTCTCCCTCCACCCTTGCTGGTTTCTTGGAGTTGATCCTCGTTTTCTGCTGCTGCTGCTGACGTAGTCGATCCTTCTCCGCCTGCTTCTGTGCTTGTTCCTTGCGGAACTTCTCTGTGCTCTGCTGATGACGTTCGCTAACAGCGTTCCAGGCGCTCATCAGAGCCTGATACAGATCCCAGATCTGCTTGAGACTCTTCAGCACGGTGACCAGAGTGGACTCGCTCTGAGCCTGGGGGGCCACTGCATTTTCGGGAGCGGGTTGAGATTGTTTGGCCATCTGTGTTTCTGGATGTGGACGCGGCTGGAAGCCCATGGGATAGTCGTAGACCTCATCGTAGGCAGGATAAGGGGACCTACGTAAAAAGCAAAAAAAATGTATTAATTTTTCTATTAAATCTAATAGTTAAAAGTCCAAACATTTCATTTATTTATTAAATAAATCCAGTGTTCTATTTTTTAAATGTACGTAAATTACATATAAAATTGTGAAATTGTGTCAAAATAATGTACAAAGAAATATAATTAATATTTTTGTATATGTAACATTTGTTAATCTTCGAACTGCGTCTTATTTAGTCTTTATTTATAATATGCATTTAACTGATATGGAATTTGCAGCGTGTTTTCGTTCTTCATTTCGATTAAATATTAAGGTATGATTTTTTATTTATGTGGCCTATTTTAAAATTTCTGTATATCGAAAGAAAGAAAGCAACTTCGGAAAGCCGTGTTCATTTTTCATAGGTTTAAAAATCAGCATATTGGGTTCATAAATTTAAATAATTAATATTGTTTCGAGAGTCTTAAAAGCTTTTTAAACTGGATCGATTGCAGATCGAAAATATATAATATATATAACATAGCCCACGGCCATTAAGAAGCAATATAGATATAGATTTCTTACCTATTGGGCGTAGCCTGCAGCTTCCTGTTATTCCCCTCAGCCGCAGGATGTGTGGCCACTGGAGCCGGTTTCTTTGCATACGACCAGGGAGCGTAGAAGGAATCATATGGACGAGCCTGCGACGCCCTGCCCTCACCCGACTCCGGCGATGATAAGACATCCTCCTCAGCAGGCTGCTCCCTGGACTCTGGATAGGGGTAACGTCCTGGTCCATAGTCGTCCGCCACATCGTAGTAGGGGTCCTGGTCGTAGGAGTCCTCTCTGCTCTGGGGCGGCCCGTAGGCATCTTGACGCTGGCCCATCACTGGATCCATGCTCTCCGCATTCACCACCACCGCCTGCTGCTCCTCGTAGAAGTTTCTGCCCTGCCCAGGCGTCCTAGGCGGATCTGTGGAATTGCCAGCTTCCCGAGCAATTCGCTCCACGGTGGCGACTTCCGTATCGTTCTCGGCACCTGCCTTAAAGTGATTCCACATGCGTGTAAGGATCAGAAGATCGCTCTCGCCGGCGGCTGGGGTCTGTGCGCGTCCAGCTTCGATAACAGCTACCGCCGTTAAGGTAGTCACAAACAGGAGCATAGTGATCACTAGAAACCAAACTGGCGAGAGACGCCGCGACGTCTTCGCTGACATCTCTTCGTAGGCGGACATTATCCGTTGTTTTTTGCTTGTCCAGAGAGAATCCTTTTCTTGTATCACTAGGAGACGCGACACGGCCAGTTGGCTCGGAGTTTAATCGTCAACTAAACGGACTGTCCCAAATGTTGGTCCAGAAAAACTCCACCTTTGCGGATGGTGCTAATGGTGGACATGGGCATATCTAGAACATCGCCGTAGTAGTAGCCACTCTTTGAAAGGTGCTAATCCGTAGGCCGCGTGCATCATCGTTATTGGGCCACTGCTCTAGTTTCGATTTAACGGTTCATCCGACTCCGAGTGCCACTCCAATTAGCACCATATCCATACACCATATCGACCAGTACTCGCCACAACCGATCGACCGATTCGATCTTCTGCCCCATTCATTTATGCATAATCTCCGACCACAAATTCGTTTTTTTCGCGGTGAAAGTGTGCAATATGGTTCTCTTCTCGAGGAATTTAGGAACTCGTAATTGGGTAGTTCGGTTCTGTAGACCAATGGAGCCATCGTGGTCCCATCGTCTGTCGTGTGGCACGCGTAATCACGATCTGGAGGGGCTTACATATTTACGAATACAATACACATCTTCACAGCTTCACAGGGGAGAGCGTGCGTGTGTCTTTCATTATGAAACGAGAAAGCAATCCATTTCTACAATTAAGTTATCTTGGTGCCAGGTTACATCCTAAAAGACAAAAGGAAGAAATTAAGCTATACAATTAGGATGCTAAGCTGTATTGTTTGGTGTTTTTATTTTACTAAATTAAGCAGACTAAAAGATTATGTTAGAATCTTGACTTTCCCTTGTATGTTTTAGTAGAATATTTCACTTTTTTTTTACAAAGGAACAAAATTTTAAAATCATAAGAAAGGTCCTGTTTTTATTTACTTGCCTTTCTGTAGAGAGGGAAAAAGGAAATTTCTTATGATCATTTGGCATTTGGAAATTTCTTCAAAACTCAATTTGAAGAGCTTGAAAATCTATAGCTAATAGTAAATGATATGTATATAATCGCTTGTTATAATTAAATTAAGGAAATTTAGCTTTGATTATAACATAAATTTTATATAATAAATAATTTTTACATTTTTAATATCAACTTGTCAGGTATACATAACATATAAGATGATTTGATTTTCAAATTGAAAGAATATTATGAAAAAGTTAAAATAAAAAAATATATTTAAATGGTATTAGGACACATTTACTTATGGTTGGCAACTTCCACTGACTTCTAGATCTTTCCTGAATTTCTAATGCGTCATTTGTTTACCGCAAAACGCACCGAGACAAACTAGTTTCGTTACCCCCAAAATTGTTTACACGATTTTGTTTAGTAAATTCTCACTTGTTCTCCTCTAAAAAAAGCTCTGGTCGTGTTTGTTGTTTTGTTTGAAAACTTTGTGCTGATAACGTGGCCATGTCCAAATTATAAATCACCGACATTTCAGTTTCATTATATTACAATTATTTTTCAAGTAAATAATAACAATATAAGCCACAAAAGTTGTAATGTCAAAATGTTTAAGAGATTGCCGACTTTTTTTGGAAGACTCTATTAAAGATGAATCAATTTCTAGAAAATCTTAATCTAACTTTGGAAACTGATACCAAAGTTCCAGAAAAAATTAATGAATAATAAAAATGCAATTTTGAAACAGATGAAACACATCGTGAAATTCCAGTGGCAAATATTTGTCATTCGTTGGGATGATTAATATTCGGCATACGCATATGTATGTATAGAATACATATAAGTTCATACATATGTATAGATGTAGGAAAACCACCTGATCGAGAGTCTGTTTTATTGTTTACCAAATATCAACAACGCAATTTAAAAAGCCGGCAAATGGCGCAAAGAGAGGGAGAGTGGCATTAGAGTGGACCTTTCTAGAAAAGTTTCATCGATCTATTTATGTATGAATAAGTTTGTATATGTTTTTGTTCGTTTTGTTGTAAATTTCCGCAGAAAATGTAAAAATACATTTTAAGTATGGTGGGGAGACTATAAATTTTGATCAATATGCATAAATGCACTTCACTTTCTCACTCACACAAATTAACTAAAACCGGAAGATGTGTACATGACGATGTGTGCATGACGATGTGTGTAAGTTTATAAAGCGTGTGTAAATTGTGAACTTTCAATGGAAGGTCACGGAAATATTTCCGTTTCAAAACTACAACAGCTTATTTCTAAAAGTCAAGCGCAAGTGCATAATACGATATTGTACGATATTGCAGCGGAATCGATGACACTAAACAAAGAAAAAACACTCTGGTGCAATTGCAGTAGCGATAATCGAGGAGTTGGGTGCAAATGAGTTCAACTAAAAGGCTATAAATATGTTTATATGTACGTGCCAGCGGCGCACCAACACTCTGACGACATTGGAAAGCACTCTCACACGTACGGTGGATACAGGGACCACAAACACCTTGGCTTTGGGGCCGTTAAAACTGCTGTAAAAGTAAACAAATGAATAATAAAAATACAATCAAGTCAGTTTTGGTTTTCTCTTTATTTTATAAGTAATACCTAAATCAAACTTCATTATTTGAAACGCACTAATGCTTAGCAACTAAAACGTGTAAGTCTGAATTAGTTTAGGAATATTTAGAAGCTAAGAGTAGATCTGCCTTTTTTTGTGTTTGTGAAATTATAAGCAAAATAAAATTATTATAAAGTTCACAAAGTTTTGCGCCGCATGGAAACACAATGCAATTACTAATGCAATATGTATTCCCAGGTGGCTTTTGTTGTTCTCTCTCTCGTTTCCTTTTCTTCTCCTTTCAGCGACTGCTGTGATTTTTCAGTTTCAACCTTTTTTCTCGTTTAAATTCGAAGATTTCTTTTCTCTCGCATTCTCCCACGCACTGCGCTCTCCACCGCCCTCTTTGCTTTTCCGTTGCCGTTCCCGCTCCTCCGATGCCCTGCATCAGTTCTTGCAGGCGGCGGCCTTCTTGTTGTTGTTGTTGGTGTTCATCAGCTTTGTGAGGATTTTGCGGGAGTGTCCGGAGGGGTCAAAGTGATTGGTGTGCTCGGTGGCCTCCTTCTTGGAGCGCTGCTTGCCGCTGTGGCCAGAGAAGATGTGCTTGTCATGGTCGAAATTGTAGTGCTCGTACTCATCAAAGTGCGCCTCGGACATGGTTGTTGTTGGTTTAGTTTCTAGTTTTTTTTGCAAAATTAACTGCGTTCTTTTTTCCTTCCTTCTGCTTCTTCTTCTTGGTCTCTGCAAAATCGCAGGCTAAACGAGAATTTCCCAGGTGAGTCGCTGATTTTTCCACTTTTCGCTGAGCGAACGGAATTGAAGTTTTTTCGAACGAGCTGGGGGTTTTTATACCCTGGTGAGCTTTCTTGGGGGCGCGAAAAGCTTTCTCCGACAGAGTTGCCAGACTGGGGGTAACGACAACGATTATAGTGGATTTAGGCCCAATAACTGAAACTATTTGCATAAAATTAATAAAGTTTAGGATATTTTTATCAAAAGCACATAGTTTATGAGCTACATTTGAAGTTTACAGCTTTTTTCCAAGTCACAATTATTTGAAAAGACTCTGACAACCCTAGGACTGCTCTCTCCCTCTCAGAGAGTCAGCTTGGCAATTTTTGCTGCGCAATTTAATTTTTTGTTGTTGTTTACAAACTGTGCGGTAAACAAAAAAAGAAAAAAACATACACCGCCAAACATATTCTTTGCCTTGCCCATTTATTTTAATTATTTCAGAATATTTTCATAATACACACGTTTATGCAGCGAGTGGAAAATGCCGTTATATAACACCTAATACATATTGGCCCTCAAGCAAAAGACCCCGAAAAGTGCATTTACCCAGAAATAACTTATTTATCGGCGGCCGGGGCGACGTGAGGGGCGACACATCGCCGCGCTTGGAGGTGCGTTAGAACCTGATCGATCGGTCTGACCCAGTTCCTCCCTCTCAGTTCCCGTATAGCTTATGTTTATTTCAGAATTATGCACTATCTCACCACAGAGCTTTCCGTTTGTTTTGGTTTAATTGTTTTTAATAGAAACACTTTGGTTACGTAGCACTCAGGTGCTGATAAGGTTGGACCTCCCGCTCGGGTTAGTCATGGGCTCCGTCGCTCCATCTGGAAACAACGCAATAGCTTCTTATCACATACCCAAAATAGATTAGATAAAAGAGAACTACTGCCCCAACATTGTTGATTCTAGAAATAACCTTCCACAATTTATGACAATGTTGTTTACAATACATTGTTAGCAATTTAATTACTTCTGAAATGTTTTTCTAGAACCTAAACTAGTAGATGTTTAAACTGTACAAAAAGGTGTGTAATTCAAATCCTTCTTACTAAATAGTTTGCAATAATGATTACAATCAAATCACTTTGCTTCATTGCATCCTGCGATCTCAAGGTATAATTTTCTTTTCTCTTAAGTCGATCATTCTGCAGAGATCATATGATATATGACAAGTTCATTGTCAGATAAGAATTAAACAGATCATTAGCTTCATTTGACAGTCTCCTTGGGCAGTAAAATTTTCAGGCGCCTTTCGGCATTTGTTTCTCTTTTCAGCTTCGCCTTGACGACTTCCTTGGGCTGTTTCTTTTTAGGCGATGGCAGAGTCTCGATGATGGGCAGGTCAAAGTCGTCGGGAAAGGAACTGTCCACCGTCTCCGAGAGCTCCAATTGTACAGCCTTTTCCGTATGCACCCGCTGCACGTGCTCCTTCATTTTGTCAGAACGATGACTACTGAATCCACATAGCTGGCACTTGTAACGATTTGGACCATTTTCAGTGTGCTTTAGGGCATGGCGCTTGAGATTCTTGCTCTGACTGAACTTGCAGCCGCAGATTTCGCAGATAAAGTCCCGTCCCTGCTTGTGCGTCTCGATGTGCAGCTTGAGGTTCTCCTTGCGATTGGCGCGATGCTTACATCCCGGAAAAGTGCAGGCAAAGAACTCGCCGGTGTGGAGCAGTTTGTGGGACTTGAGGGCCTTCATGTGGGTGGTGCTATAGCCGCAGACGTCACACAGCATTTGTTTCTCGGGATTGTGCACCAGAATGTGATTGCTTAGGCCCTGTTTCCACTTGAAGCCCTTGCCGCAATGCGGACAGATGTGCGGCGTTTCCGTAGAGTGCTTGGGCTGATGGACGAGCAGGGCTGCCCGAGTGGTGAACCGAATTCCGCACTGCAGGCAGAAGAAGGGCTTGCGCAAGTCGCCGGAATGCCTGCGAAGATGTCGGTCGTATTCGCGCCAGTGCAGAAATCCCACCTCGCACAGGGAGCAGGTGAGGTGGGAGGGCTCACAGCTTCCCATATGCTCGATCATTTTCTGTACCGGGTAGCACTTGAAGTCGCAGCCAATGCAGTAGTTCACCTTGCTGCTGGACTTTACGGCTCTGGGATTCTTTAACTGAATGTTATGGTGTTATTAGCAACGCAAAGAAAATGGGTAATGGGGGAGGGCTACCATACCTTAAAGTAGCTCTGCTGGTTCTCAAACACGTCCTCGGATTTCTTCACCGGATTCTCCAAACTCAGTTCATCATCTCCGAGAGCTATAATCTCTGACGCTTCCTTTACCTCTCCCAATGGCTGCATCTGGTAGAGATTGAGCAGTTCGGTCACGGCCAGTATTTGTGCCAGTTCCCGGAAGTGAGGCTCGTGCTCCTTGGACACGGAAACAATGTCCTCGTAGAAAAAATCCACTATAGTGTGCAGGCATTGTGAGCAGCTAAAGTTGCGGATGGTGATCTTCAGGGGGTTGTGAATGGAAAACTGCTGCTGCTTCTGGTTGGTGTTTATCAACTGACTCTGGGCGGCCAAAACGCAAAAGTGAACACTTAGACTCAAACTCAGGGCATCGTCCGAGTCTAGCTCGAGGAGCAGATCGCAGAATTGTCCCGTTCTGCGCTGGTTGTTCAGGTAATTCGATACCTTGGAGTGCAGAGGTTGATGCAGTGTGGGCACTGAGTGAATTGCCTGGGTATGCAACATTTTTTTAACGATATTTTAAGGTAAACAACAAACAAAACAAAATAATTGAATGTTTTGGTCTGAAGACGCCGAATCAGCTGTTAAATAGTGTGGCCAAATCGCGCAATTTTCACCTATTGCAAATCAAATACTGAATAGTATTTTTTAGACCGTTAGCTGTTGGGAGTTTGCATTTGAAATGCATTTTTATTATTGGGGTTTTAAAAATAGTAATAAAAATAAATAATATAAACGCCAGGGATTATTTTAATGATAATATTAATGACATTTTAAAATGTCACGCGTTTATGTCCGTTTCTTGTGCTTTTAGTTTCAACCGGAACTATAAAGTTTAGCTTATATTTAATTATTATCAAAACGAAACATGCTCTTTTCTAAGTTTATCATCTACATAGTAAGAAAACACGTTTGCGAGAATTTGCTTTCGATATTTTTGTAGAAATGCCCATATACATACATATAACATTTAAATCTTAATAAACTTTTTAATTGTTTTTAGAAATGATTCCCATTAATCTATACATTTTTCAGTTTCATTCTTGGAAAAAAATCTTTAATAAAGATGAATCATAATTGAAATATTTAATATTAAACCTGATAATAAAAGAAATTAAATTAAAATCAGCTTCAAGAAATCTCAATTATAAAAATTCTTAGCCTGTTAACCTTTTTTAAGACGAAACTATACTAAACTATTCAATACTAAACCTTCAAATATCAAGTGAAAATTTAAAGTTTCCGAGTAAATCCCACAACAGAACACATCTCGCAGAAGCTCTCCCTGGTTTTAGGTTTTCCCATTTATAAGCTGAGCTTCAGTTGAGGGGCGAAGCTGGACTAGGAATGACCTAAACTAAGAGTCGCTCGGTTGTGTTAAAGTTTAAACTAATATATTTACGCGATGCGGAGTTAAGCATAAATAATAGTAAAGCAGCCTATTGTTCGTTCGCTTCCTACAGGAAGTACATATATTTACAAAACCTCCGGAATCTCTTTGTGTTCTTAAAACGAATGTTTCACTGCCAATTAAGACCGAGTGCGAATAAATAAGATCTGATAATTTGTACATTCCTGAGAATTTTCCCGCGCCCATTGTTCGGAGTCACAATTGTTCTAGTTACGCAGTCTCTGAACATTTTAGATGCAGTTTGTAGCCCAAATCGCATTCAAATCTATAGATTAATTATAGAGAAGCCGCAGGGTAAACTGAGAGACTTCATTTGAAAACTATAGAAACCGATATAGTTTCGAGGAAGTCTTTATATTTACATGACAATTTCAACACCGACTTTTCTCGCCAAGCTCTCTCGGTGTCAAGTTCCAATTGTTCGTACTGGTCGCCCCTAGGAACCACTTACAGATAAGATCCACCTGGAGCTTGGGGCTTGGGGTCTCGGTTCATTAAGCGCGGAGCTCTCGACGCAAGCGGTTGTGATCTCTCTCGGGGTGTCGCGATTACTTTATTGCTCTGATTCCGATCCGCTGATTAATGCCAGTTGCAATCAGTCTGAATCAGCATTAATTCAATCAGGGGAGGTGAAATATGGTGGGAAAAGCGTTCCTGCTGGCGGTGTCGATGCAGCTTGTCTCCTGGTCGGTGGCGCAGACGTATCACTTCGAGGATCCAAAGAGCCTCAGGCTCTGGCTGACGATCAGTGCGCGCAAACGATTTCTGGAGGTTTCCTGGCGTAATGCACCCGCAAGGAAGGGCGATCGTGTCCTGATCACCACCCAGGAGGCACATGTCTTTCAGAAACGCCTCCGTCCCGTTGGCACCCCCTTGGCAGCCTTTCCCCGCGAGGAGGGAAGTGGTTCGGAGGAGGGATCTGGGAATTATGTTCCCATTAATGGGTACACGGATCCCAATCAATCCGCCAACCAGGAGTTTTGGGTTGCCAATGGCGGAGAGCTGGCCGTGTTGGCCGGACTTCAACCAAGCGTGGGTCTCTCCACGCAGTGGTTTACCACCGGAGTGCCATTTGACTACGAACTGTCCAAGAATGTGACGGCGCAGACCCACTGCTATGGCTTTTGGGCCAGTTACATTAACGAAGAGGGCGACATCCTGGCGAGAACCTGCCTGAAGGCCTTTCCTCGCTGGATGAACGACCTGAAGTCCAAAATCGGTGAGCTGCGTCTGCGGGATCTATTCATTCCCGGGACACACGACTCCGGTTCGTATCGGCCGAACTTTGATCCGCTGCTCCGCGAAAGCCTGGTTACCAAGTACGCCCTGACGCAGGACGACGACATTCGGGGCCAGCTGATGCATGGAGTCCGCTATCTGGACATTCGTGTTGGTTACTATCGCAACTCCCCGGAACAGTTCTTTATTTACCATGGGATCACAAAGCAGCGTCCGCTGCAGGAGGTCATCAATCAGGTGCGGGACTTTGTCCACGAGACCAACGAAATAATTATTTTTGGACTCAAAGAGTTTCCAATTGGTGAGGAAACAAGCTCGGAAACTAATCGTGTAATACAATGTTTGTTATATATTTCAGGTTTTGGCAAGGGATTGGGAGTGCATCGTCTGCTGGTCACATATCTGCGCGATCAGTTCCAGGACCTCATAGCCCATCCCTCGCTGAACTGGAGTGCCTCGCTTCGTGATATTTGGGCCCGCAAGCAGAACGTATTTCTGGCCTACGAGAAACAGGCCATGCTGGATGAGTTCCCAGAGACCCTGTTTGGACCCGTGGACCAGCGTTGGGGCAATGTGCAGACCTGGCCGCGTCTGGAGACATATTTGCGCAACATAAACGAGTTCGATGTAGCGTGAGTTTTGTCCCGATTAGATAAGGTTCCCATTTATCTTTTTCCTTTTTTCTCCCGCAGACGATTCTACAGTCGCCCGATAGCCGATATGGCTGAGTTGACCCCAGAGACCTGGGACGTGATCCTGGACAAGCACGGCGGCCTGCGCAAGATGTCCGACAATGTTAACTGGCGGATTTCGCTTCTCTACCGGGATGAGTTGGGCACTCATGCAAATATTGTGGCAGCGGATTTTATACGCGGCACAACCCTGGTGGAAACGGCCATGGATTTTAATCTTCGTAAGATTTACGAAGATTCTTCTACGTAGAGGTGTGGGGAGGTTCCGGTGGAGAGATTTTATGTATTTAATTATCGTTTATATGTCGTAATAGGGGTTAACACGGAGGTCAAAACTTGTAAAAAAGGGCTCAAAAGTATGGAATTCCGTGATTTCCTAGTGCTAATTTCTTTTCCGATTTCTGATGCACTCCTTAACGATTACTTTTTTGTAGATTCAGATAATGGATTTAGTTTTATACATTTATACCAATTTTCTTTAGTTTTATAAAAACAGTTGATTAAAAATCACTTTCGAGGTCTGTTTTTGCAATAATACATTTAATTTGCGAAGCGATTAAGTTAAAAAACATCAATATATGTTGCTTATTATTGTACTGCTGTGTTGTTGCTTCCCTAAACACGTCACATTATATAGATTGTTCCCATTAAAGCGTATTTCCTGTTTATGCTAAAAAAGGAATCAGGATGGTAGCACCTAGCCGTAAACTATAAAATAAACTTTTATTGGGAAGTTTGCCGAAAAAGGCCTATATCGGGCTATCAATATTCGTGTAAAATCTGTTAACTGAGGAGCTAGCTGGCTCAAATAAATATGGTTAAACTATTATAAATTCCAATCGATGACGCCGATTTCGTTTTGAGGAATGCCAAAATGGCCTAGCACAAAAATATCATACAAAGGGGGCAGGGTTTATCCTCTTACAGCTTATAACTGATCTAAGTCTCAAATACAATAGATTTGAGTTTCACAATTTGTTTTCCTTTTAGTATTTTTGAATATCAAATACGAGTGTTTGAACTAAATGCGCCAAGTTCTGCGTGGGTGAGTTCTGCATATTCTACTTTAGGGCCTCATTAGACTCAATGACGGTGGTATTGAAGATGGCCCGGCAAATCTCTACCACGGAGTTGGACAGCCGTCCGTAGCACTTGGGCTTCTTTTGCCAGGCAATGAAGATGTAGTAGAAGGGAATGCCAGCCAGAGTGATGCCGATGCCAACGAGCAGATTTCCAGGTTCATCCAAATTCGGAAGGAGTACCAGCGCCACGCAGCTCACCATGAATATTATGGGCAGCGCGAGATTTACTTTGATGGGGCGGGGCAGATCGGGCCTGGGAGAATATAGAAACATTAATTAATTATCATTTGAAACTATAAATTAGCATAGCAATACTATAAATTAGAATAAACAATATAGGCTTATTGGTGAATCTTAAAAAAAAATAGTTTTTTTTAACATTTTTTGAGCAGTTTTCAAGAGATTTTAAGAGATTTATTTAGTTTAGTCAGACGTACATAAAGTCTTTTCTTTAGTGAATAAAACTACCAACCTCTTGTGCCTGAGCCACAACATTCCGGCTATGCTGGCCACCACTGACAGCCATAAGACCGAACTGAAATAGTTGATCAACTGGTAGACATTATCCGTCAGCAGCATGAGCAATGACATCAGGCACTTGGAAAAATAAATATGGGAATTGATTAATTAATTATTTCGCAGAAAAATGCAAAATGCCAAACCAAAACTTACGGTGAAAATCAAGGAGGGAATGGGAGTTTGCTGCTTAACATGGAACAGCTGGAAAAACTTGGGCAGATGCCCCTCCTGAGCCCCAGTGGCGAACAGTCGCGCCGATGTGAATAGTACTCCGTTCACTCCGCCAAAGGTGCTCAACGCCACAAAAATGGGCACCATAAAGGCCAAGGGTCCAAAGACGCGATTACCAAAGGTCACAGCAACAGCCAATGAACTGAGCATCTCCGGCTTGTTGACCACGGCGAAATAGGCCAAATTGACCAGAACATAGATGCCCGTGACCAGGGGCATGGCTATCCAAATGGCACGCGGCAGATTTCTGCAATAGAAAAGAAAATATTATAATTAAACGGAAAATATTGGCAGACAGTTTTTCTTTTATATTGAAAAATCTAAATTCATGACCAACTTGCAGAAAATTTCAATATACAAATGGGAATATTTGTTTTCTGTGCGAAAAAGAAACGTGCTGTTTCCATTCTTAGCTCTGGCTCTTGGCGGGGGTGGAGCACTTAAATTGATTGCAGCGCTGCTCGAGAGCAAATTGAATTCGTTAAAGGAAAAAAGGGAAGCTGAAGGCAGCATCCTCCTCCATACCTCCCTCCCTCCCACTCAGCCGTATGACATCAAGGACGTTCAACAAGTTTCAACTTGTTGCTGCCTGCGCATGACGCAAACGGCATGACTAGGATAAAGAATCCTTGCCAAACCATTTGTCATGTTGGGAAAGAGAAGCAGTCACTCACTTGTACGGATCCTGCAGCTCCTCGGTAACAAAGTTCAAGTAGTTCCAACCGCCAAAGGCAAACAGACCATTGTAGAAGGCATAGCCAATGTTGCGGGCCGTGTAAGTGCCCTCCCACGGATTGCTAAAGTTCTCCAGCTGACCCGTGGCCATGTAGTAGAGTCCAGCCAGAATAATCATGATGAGGGCCAGCAGCTTGCCCACCGTGAACACATCCTGAACCTTCATCGAAACCTTAACGGACAGACAGTTGATGGCCGTGAGCAGTGCTAGGGGAATAATAAGGGAGGAATAATTATTGTTTGCCCGTAGGGAGCGGGCTGTCCCTGGTCTGACTCACTTAAACAAATGGCTGCGAGGAGCTTTACGGCATTCTCCGGCGGATCACAGTCCTCGAAGAACGGCTTGGCGGCATAATGGGCGAAGGTCAAAGCCACAATGGTCTGTAAGAAAAGATAAATTGATAACATATTAAATTGTAACAAAATTAAATCGCGAATTCCAAGTCAGCGAAAGTTGTTTTCTAAAGTTGTATTCCGTAATTGAATTCAATTCCATTCGAAGGTAGTCCGTCTTCGTCACTTAATAAAGTTTTATTTATTTGCCCCAACAACCAATCAATCAAAACAAATAAACATTCCGTAATTCAATTGATGGACAGCAGGCACACTGACCTGCGTGGTTGGCCGGATGATGAGCAGTGCTATCCACAGCCGCAGGAAGCCCACGAGGGGTCCAAAGGACACCAGCAGATAGGCATAATCCCCGCCAGATCTCGTGATGCTTGTACCCAGCTCGGCATAGCAAAGAGCTCCAATGGTCGACAGAATACCACAAGCAGACCAAATCAATAGAGAGCTTCCCACGGATCTAGAAAATATATACACAGAGATAAAGTAAATAAACAATCTTGGGACAAGGATAAAAACATAAGCACATAAACACTTTAAGCTGTTAAACTAAGTAAGAAATATTAATGTTGGTTATTTAATTTTCACCCAAGTCCATCGTTAATTAATGTGGGTAAATCAAGTCCCTGAGCTTGAATATGTAGATTTCTTTTCTTAAAGAAACTTCCATAAATTGACTGACAAATGAGTTTAATAAATTATTTCCGTAAGTGGAAACTTCCGACATTCGTATGGAATTTTCGCCCAACCTCTTTACATCTTTGTTTATCAATAATTTGGAACTTGACACGCCTTCTTGTAACGCTAAAAAGCCACTTTAAAGCTGACGCAATATTAAAGCCAAATTGCGAGTGAGAGCACTTTTTTCAAGGGAACCAAATCGACAACTAATAAATTTCTCTTAATTGGTGCGACAATAAAACCATTAATTAACAGTTAAATTGACCTTATTTGTGAATAAATTGAATTAAGGATGATACTATATATCGCCTAGAGACTTACTCGGTGTAGTAGAAGACTCCAGTGGGGGCTATGAAGATGCCCGATCCGATAATGGTGCCCACTATTATGGCCACTCCATTGATAAGGGTCAGCTTCCGCTTCAGGACAATTTTCTCCTCCGCCTCCTCTGCTGCTGGAGCAACCGAACTGCGTCCGTTTGGCTCCATCAGGCTGGTGGTCACTCCATTGGCATATCTGTCCGTCATGATGCTTGGGGGCTGAAGTGTGGTTCTGCTCTAGCGGCGAATAGCTGGCATTGCCACTGGAAAGTGAAAGGGGAAGACTAAGTCCAAGACTACAATAAATGCCACTTTATGGGAGGAAACTCGCGCGTTATCAGTGCAAACGAGAGATATTCCAGCACGTGCAATAAACCTGTTGGGTCTCTTTATTGTCTTAATACTTGTCAATTGCAGCCTTGACTTGTTCTCTGCAAACTAATCTCCCGCTGTCACAAGCATAAACTTTAATTATGTTTTTTCGACACTATCTCCTTCGTTGGCAAACAAAACGGAGCTTTAAAGTGGTTATGAGGAGCGGGGGTGGGGGAACGGGGTGTGACTGTGCGTGTGCCTCCGCTGCCGCGTGCTAATTTTCACGGTTTCGTCATCAGCGACGCGTGGCAGTGAAAAATTGCAGTTGTAGCTGCTGTAGTTTTAGTTTTTTTTTTCTTATTTTTTGCAACGTTTTGGAATGCAGTTTTCGTTGATTACTTCTTTGGTTTATCTTGTTTTGCTATAAATCACCATTTTTATTACCTCAAGCGCGACACAACGGAACGGCTTCAACTGCGGACAGCAACTGTGCGTTGGCATCGAGACCGGCATTTTCATACTAAAATTAATTTCAACCCCAAAACGACGGAGAGCAGCGCAATTTGCGCTTGTGCGTCATAGAAACAGAGAGAAACAAACTCTCAAAACCGGAAACTGGAATTGAGAGTTGAGAGAGAGAGTTGTTTACAAACGGAAATGTGCCATTGCCAATAAATTCGATATGTAAATATTTGTACCTTGGACTATAGGTGCTGGTTTGTGGCAAATTGAATTTGAAAAATTTACGAATTCGGTTTAAAAAATCATCCCGCTGGGTTTTTGAATGCCGATAACATTAATTGTGAATAAATTTATCGATAGCCTAGACAAACATGCGCAAAAGCTTGAACGGTGGAAAATCGCTTTGGGGGCTTTTTATGTTCTAGAAAGAGACAGAATGTCAAATTAAATTCGTTCGCTGCCTGAATTGTAACATTTGTAGCTCCAAAAATTAAATAAAAATAAATCCTTTTGATTGATTTGATCGATATTTCAACCATCGATATGCGCCATCGATAAACATCGCTTCGCAGTCTATACGGCCACACTGGTCGATATTTCTTTTTAGTTTTTGTTTTGATAATTGCACGTGTTTTATTGTAAAGAAAATCAAAAACCAGCAATGTCGGACAAGTGAGTGGATTAAAGCTACACAAAACTGCTAAACAATACTAATTAAACACGTTTCCCTTACCAGATATGCGGTGCCCAACAAATTGCCCGGCAAAACAGTTTCTGTGCTGAGGCATCGCAAGAGGCGAATTCGCCAGGATCAGTCCGTCGTCGAGCAGAGGGTAAGTGATCGCATCAAGCGCCGCACTGCTCTCCACAAGCACCACAAGTTCCGGCGTGCCGAGTCCTTCGTGATGGGCTACCTGAAGGCCGAGCGCACGGCCAAGCGGATCAAGCAAACGATACTGCGCACCAACATAACCGAACAGAGCGCCGAGGCCGCCCAGGACTCCAACCCGAAGCTACTGTTTGTGATGCGGCATGCGGGCAAGAAGATCTTCGACAAGACCACTGCTGAAATATTTAAAACACTGCGCATGGCCCAGCGTCACAATGCCGTTTTCCTGGAGAACACCAAGGAGAATCAGCTGCTGCTGCGCGTGATTGAACCCTTTGTGGTCTATGGAAATCCCTCGCTGAGCTCCATTCGCGAGCTGGTCTTTAAGAAAGGTTTCGCCCACATCAACGGCAAGAAGACGGCCATCCAGTCGAACACAATGGTGGAGGAGCACCTGGGCGAGAAGGGTGTCATCTGCTTGGAGGACATCATTCACGAGATCTGCACAGTGGGACCGAATTTTGCGGCAGTTAACGAATTCCTGTGCGCCTTCACGGTAGGTTTCCCGACATTTTGCGATATGTATGTGTGCCTGTAATGCCATTTTTCTGTTTGCAGTTGTCGAGTCCCAGAAATGGCTGGGAGAAGAAGGTCTCCGTCTCGTATAAACGCGGTGGCGAATATGGCGACCGTGGTAATGCCATCAACGAAGTGATTGCCCGCTGCCTGTAGAGACCATAAGCTAGTAGACCTTTAAGTGATTTTTCAACCTAAATAAGCCGTATATACAAATTAAAACAGAAACATGCCTTAAGATTATTTCGTTTTTTGTATGTATTAATATCCCCTATAAGGTTAGCCCACTGTAAGCCGTCCATAAAAGCAATCCTCAGACCATTAAGCAACCACATGAAACGGTCTCTAACGACGTTCCTCATTATCCTATACGTTTATCAGCATGTTAAGCCCCAACCACGAAACAAACTCCTTTTGGCTGGCCTTGCGTGTCTCTGCCAGGTTCCCAAATTGAACAAACCAAAGAATCAACTTTTCTGCTACGAATAATAAATAAATAACTCATAACCGTGCAGGGGTGAAGGGTGCAAGGGAGAGAGAGGTATGCCCAAAAGTGAGCTACTTGTTGCCACGAAGGAGGGAAAGTTGTTTTCCGATTAGTCCGACTCAGTACCACTAACCTAGTACAACTCGGGACGTGGTATCCATCAAATCATAGACATCATACAACGTAGGCCTCTTATGAAACTTAAACTATTGCTTACAATATATTAAATTCTGAGTGGAACGAAGCTCTGAGATGGATAAATGGGAGAAGGAACATACCAATGATCTGAGCCAGGTTCTGGCAAATTCCCTCAAGGAGCCCATTCTGGGCAAGCACTTTTCCCTCCCTGGTCGGACTTGCCAAAAGCAGACCATCGAACTGGACACCAGTCAGAGCTACATTGCCGTCTACACACACCTCAAGGTCCATGCAGCTGTAATGCCGGATAGATTGCCTACGCCGGAGTCCCTTGGTCGAGCACCCACCACCGTAGAGGGAAAGCCCAAGGTTCGAGCATCAAAAAATAATTGCCAAGTCCATAGATCTTGATTTTTGTAAATATATTTTAAACTGGGGACCGTAAATAATGACTATCAAAATGTGTTGAATAAAAAAAACTTTAGAACAAAAAAGAAACAAAAAATATATAAAAATACTCAAAATAAACCAGATCTGTTAATTTCTCGAGGGGCGAAACGGCGTGTGGCAAACCCATTGCAACCTTGAGATGTTCTCTATAAGGACATGCCATAAACTAGACAAAAAGTAACTACAACGCTGAAGTACATTTGGTATTGCTTTAATCATAAAATATAACCATAGTTAGTCAAATATAACATTGCATTTCATAATGCATCCCCACTGATGTGTGCTTCAAGTCATTGCATCCTCAAATATTTCGTTTGGTTGGCATCCATTCGCAATGATGTGTGGTTTAAGTTGCATCCATTGGTAAACAGGTGTGCTTCAAGTGTGCATCCTAAATTCATTTTTTTGGTGTTGCATCCATTCGTAAAATTCTAGTATTTCTGTCCATTAACTAGTAAACTGATCTAGTGTCTGGGGTGTCATCCTCGCTCCTCCTCAGTTCTGCAGGATGCGCACGGCGTTGTACATCTGAGCGATGATGGGCAGCTGCTTGGACTCGCGTCGGCAGAGGCACTTGTAGGCATGGGACAACAGGCGGTCGAGGGCAGCCACATCAATCTCGTCCGGCTTGGTAGCCGCTATCTGCACGTTGTGCTCCGTCAGCGGCTCCTTCTACGAGTACGAGTCGTGGGAGTCAATACTGCGGGTGATAAACGCTGGCCGCACTTACCAGGTTGTCCAGGTAGGCCAGCAACTGATGGCCTACAGAGGCAATCTTGAGGAACGTGGACTGTGAGTTCTCCGCGTAGAGATTGAGCCTTCTGCCGGCTATCTCCAGCAGCAGCCGGCCCAGCTCCTCGTCCTCGGCGATATGGTGGAGCAGCATCTGGGCCTCGGCATCATAGCCAAACGCGTACAGATCCACTACCTGGAGGAGAGGGGATAACAATAATTATTTTTCTTCTCCAGTGTTTTGTATGTTTCTGTTTAAGCAACTGAATTAGGTGTGCAGTGTTCCTTAAGTAGATTTCATGGCTAACTACAAGAGTTCAGTTTTCAATGGGAAAAGGCTACTTGGTTTACCTGTCGCCGCAAGATGGGCAGCTTGTCGACTTCCCAGCTGTCGGCCAGAGCACAGATCTTGGACATGTAGAAGACATGATCTAGGATATACAACTGCTCTAGATCCTCCCTGATCAAGTCCATGGTGGCGGAGACAACGCGGCACAGAAAGTCCGTGCGCACCTGCTGCAGGACAAGATCCGGTGCGGGCAACACATAGGGCAGCTCCTTATTGATGTCCGCGAGCAGCGCCTTGTTGCCCATTGAGTCAAAGAGCGTGGTCAACGGCTTGGGAATGCGCAGCTGGAAGAAGGCCACGAAATGGAGGACCCTACACAGCTCGGTTTGCAGTTGGAGCAGCTGGGGCATGGCGTGGTGCTGCTGGAGGGCCAAGAACTGCAGAGGCAGAGCTCCCTCGCTGAGGGACTGCTCGAACTGCAGCTCTCGCTTGTCGTGCTCCATCGAGGTGGAGAAGTGCTCCAGAAACTCCAGGCTGAGCTCGAGGAACTCGGGCACCTTTCCCGCCGACATATCCAGGTCCTGCTGGCACATCTTGTCCACAGGCAGGCGGCCCACCTTCTGCATCAACTTGGCCGCGGCCTGGAGGGGGAACTTTAGCGTGGCGTTCCACAGCATGCAGCAGATGCCGTGCTTCAGGGCCCAGTCTGGTGTCCGGAACTGGGTCAGACAGAGAAGGGCTGCCCTCAGGTGGTCCAGCGATGAAAGCTGCTTGCTCCACTGCACCATGTACTGCCAGGACATGAGGCTCAGCAGAACGCCCGACTCTAAGCTAAAGGGAAAGTGGGCTCGGAGCAGGGCCAAGCGCTCTAGAATAGGCTCGGAGGCTTCCCTGCTTGGATCCTGCACCTCCTTAGCCATTTCCAAGTCTTCTTCCGAGTCGGTATCCGCTTTGGAGAGATCCTCCTTGGACGCTGGTTTGGCTTTTGTCTTTGTCTCCTCATCAGTCTCATTTTCTGGCGCCGAAATCTCCAGAACTTTGCTCGGATGCAGTTGCGCACTGATCAGCCACTTGGCAGTGAGCTCTGTCACGATTCCCTTGCCATTGCTCACAATGCTCTTGAGGCTGCAGTCGGGCGGCTCGTAGGACATTTCCGGACCCACGGGATCCCTACAGGTGAGTGGCTTTCTGTAATGGAAGAAGCTGATAGAAAACGAGGCCGCCAAGGGCTGGCGTGTCCATCTCACCCTAGTATAGCCCCCAAGACGGCCACATCCTCAAGCTTGCCGGTGAGTAGTCCCCACTGGGCCTCGTCGTGCGATATGCGTTCCCAGCGCTCCTCCTCCTCGTTCTGCGAGGATTCGTCACATGATCCCTGCCCGAAGGTGTTTTAGTAAATTTGTTTCAACATTGAAATAAACACTCACCTCCTTGCGACTCCGCCACAAATTGGAGGCCACCGTTTTGCAGACAATGGCCACCAGTAGTCCGGAGAACTGTTTGCTCTCCAGGAGCAGTTCGCGCACCGCCTGCCACCAAGGCGAGATGGCATTGTAGGCATAGTCATGAATGTGTTCGCCAGCCAGATCGCAAATGGTCTGCACCATGGCAGCAATCCTGGACATGTCCTCAACGACTTCATCGCTGAGGCAGAAAGGGGAAAGGTGTGTTAAATGGGGGAAAATTAAGAAAAGTAAATGCTTCTCCTACCAGTTACTGTACTTGAAAGGCTTCTCAAGCCAGAACCAAATGATCAGCGTTAGCAGATCCATGCTTGGCAGGCAGGCCTGGTGAATCCACTCCTTAAACTGGCCAAAGCACAAGCCCTGGGCAAAGAATTGGCTGAAGAGATCGATGCTCACGCCACCGAACTTGCTGGCCTTCTCCGGCAGCAAGCTGATCCCATCCGGACTGTCTATGTTGAAGATGCTTAGGTAATCCACAAACTCCTCGGTTTTGTGCTCTTCCTGCAGCTTGAAGCTCACCTCGCGAGTGGCGCCGACGGGCTTGGCCTCATTTTTGTCATCGTCCAGGAGCAAGACCAGTTTGTTTATGGTCACCAGATCGGCATCGGAGAGCTCCAGATGATCTATCGGTGGCTCGTTGTCGCCCCGCTGATTGGCCTGACTCAAGGCCAGGTAGAGATCGGTCAGCCGCTTGTAGTTTTGGATTTGGTGCAGAAACTCCTGGGACGTGGTCGCCTCGGGCAGGGGCTTTTCGATGAAAGAGTTGATGATGCACTGAAAGACACGTGGCTGCAGCTTCTTGCTTTTGAGCAGCATCTCCAGGCACTGCTGGCGCACCTCCAGGGTCTGCAGTTCGCTGGCCAGCTCGGCAATCTCCTCCAGCTTGGCATCGCCGTGGTTAGCGGTTCTCAGCTGATTCCTAAGTCGCCGCAGCATGTGGATATCCCTAGAGGTCTGCGAACTGGTTTCGCTGAGTGCATAATGAAATGGAATGAGCACCTCCTTCAGGCTGCCATCGGTGGGATCCAAGAATAGACAGTGGTTGATGGGAGGCGCCTTGCGGGATTGACTGCTGCCGGCAGCAGATCCTCCCACGGCGACGGCTCCCAAAGCGCTGTGATTGTTGTAGACCAATTGTCCGCTCTTGGAGACATTAAAGGCGGCCACCTTGGGCCCATTTTGTAGGGCCCAGATATCCAGGCAGCCTAAACGGGGTGCGTAGATGACTAGAAACAAGGCCTTTCGCTTGTGAGTCTTGATTCCGCGCACAGATCGCTCTTTGACGGGGACGAAGGCGCACTGGGCATCGCGGTAGCCCTTCCACACGCGCAAAATGATGGCCTGCTGCGTGTCCACCAGCATTACTCGGTCTAGATTGTCCGTGACGACAGCCAGCCGTCCTCCGGGTGCCACAGCCAAGGTCAGGCCGTCCCTCTTGCCGTCGTACAAACGACAGCGGATCCTCATCGGCGCCTCCTTCGTGGGCAGGGGCAGTGGTGACTCTTCCGGCGAAGACAATGGCTCGGGTGCTCGTCGAAAAATGCCGCCCAGCAGGTTCTTGTATGCTATTCCAATCACATCCTTGGCCACCTCGCCCAGCGACATGGTTTTGTATCCCTCTTCTGCGTCAAAGAAGCCCAGATAGGGCTCCGCTCCGGCAGCCAGCACCTGGGCGCTTCTCGGCGGCGTTGCATGTACCTTGGCAAAGTACCCGTGACCAATGCTCTGCTGTACGATGTGGTCGTATGTCGGTGGTCGCTGGGTGCTCGAAATGGCGGCGTCATTGATCACGGCCTCTTTCTCCTGCTTAAACTTGTACTTCTGGAAGGGAACCACATCGACTGTGGGATACGAGCCCCGCTCCAGGGCTCCGCGCTGTACGTTGTGCCGGCAGTTGTTGAGAGTGGGCAGGATGTCCTGGCCTTGGATGAAGCATAGGCAGCGTGGGTAAACAATGTACAGCAGGAAATCCCCCTCAGAATGGCGGGGCGGCGACTGAAGCTTGACTCCTATCACCGGATCCTCCTGGCAGCTGCAAAATGCATTTTAGCTTAGGAACCCTCACTATGTGAGCTTTTTTGTCTTCTTACCACTGAGAAAATAGCTTTACTCCCGAATCTGTGTAGAAAACGACTAGGCCCGAGACCAGGCCCACTGCCACGCACGTCCATTCCACGGCTCCATCGGCGCTTCGTCGGCTCTGAGTCATCGGGAGACAGGTGAGGCTGGTCACGATCTGATTGGAGTCCTCCAGCTCGCCGCACCATCCCAGGGCATAGGTATTGTTGGCGTTCCCATGGCTGCTCCAGCAGGTGGATAAAAAAGCCAACTTCTCCCCCTGCGCCAAGGCAATCAACTCACCAGTGGGCGATATGGCGTAGTTGATTGCATTTAACCAGTTGTCGTCTGTTCGAACCGAATTAACCAGGATTACTCTATGCGGGGCATTTCCTAAGGTTCACTATCTCACCGTGTCCGAGTCCAAAGTACTCCTGAACCTTTTTAAAATCGCGAATTTCTCCGCAATGTTTTACTTCACAAGTCATCTTATTTCTATTAAATTCCTTAAGACGAGTTCTTTTGTTTTGGTTTTGGGTGGAAGAGATGCGAAAACCACGATGGGCAAAGTTATCGTTATCGAGCGCTGTGCTGCAATCGTGTCAATTATACAACCCGCCATGTCAAGAAAAGGATCTACATTACATGAGTAAAAAAAGTAAAGTGACTGTTAAAAATTATTGCTTGAACCAATTTAAGAAATATTTTAGAATGTGCCGAGTGGTTTTTGAGGTATACGTACACATAAAAAAAAAAAACATAAAGTGTCGGAAGAACTGCTAAAAACGGACATGGCTAGATCGACTCGACTGTTGATGCTGATCAAGAATATTCTTTTTAGAATATATCAAGAATATATGTATTATAATACCCTAAAAGGTTATACAAATTCTTAGTTCGAAAATAAATACGTTGGTAATTATAACTTTTTGTTTCCCCGGAAATGTATTTGCTCGATGTTCACTTATTGAATATTTCGAATATCATACTCCAATAATAATATCATTGTACTCGTTTTGATATCTATGCTAAGGTAAAACTAAATTAAGTCCGACTCAACGCCACTGTCGATGTAATCCTTGAGCATCAGGCCACAATGATCTGGCAGGAGTCTCGTCCAGTTGTTGATGTGAAGCAGGCAACTGGGAATGGTGACCTCCATGACATCGGAGCGGTGTGCCTCCACTATGCGGCGGGCCACCTGCTTGGGATCCAGCAGGCCCAGGATCGAGGGGAACTTTACCTTGGGATGCTTGCACAGGCCAGTGTTTGTCATATAGGGAAAGATGGTGGTGGTCTTGATCTGTGAATTGCTATTTATTAATTTCGAACCATTTAGGTACGGTTATTCTTAACTTACCAGATCCCTGTAGGGTCCCTCGCGTAGCTCCGCATGAAGAGACTCCATCAGCCCACGTACCGCAAACTTTGTAGCGCAGTAGGGAACCAAGTTGGCAATTCCCACCAGACCAGCTATCGAGGAGAGACAAATGATGTGCCCACGGTTCTTCTCCTGCATATGGCCCAGGAAGGCCTGAATCGTCCAGAACTGCGAGAAGACATTAACATCGAACACTCGCTGGATCTCCTCGGCCGACTGCTGCAGGATCGGATGAGTGGGCATAATACCCACATTATTCACCAGCACGGAAATGGGTCCAACTTCCGCTTTTACACGGTCCGCCAGAGCCATTACCTCATCCCTCTTGGACACGTCACAGCTGCCGGAATCAAAGCTTGGTTGTTAGATCAAATTAATTAAACCCCGAGGATCATACCTGAAGCCGTGTACATCGCCGATATTCAATCGCTTGGCTTTCTGGACTGTCTGCTGGTTGTTCTTCTCATCGATGTCCACACAAACGACTGTGCTGCCCAGAGAGGCGTAGTGAAGGGCCAGTTCCCGACCGATACCATGTCCTGTTCCAGTAATCTTTAAGAATTAAACAAGCGACTGTGAATTACTCTAAAGAATTACACAACTCGTTTTCTTACCAGAATGATTTCCCCACTGACATCCTTCTGATGTTTGGGCAAGAACGTCTGCACCAGAGTAACGAATAACTCCAGAATAATGCGCACGAAGAGGACCAAGAACTGCAGGATGTCCTGAAGGACATCAAAAATGCGCTTGGAAGCGGGCGTAGTGCTGAAATGAAGAACAAAAGTCCATTTGGGCATTTATCCAAACAACAATTAACAAACAAATAGTGGACTCTCCAGCAGTTGGCCAATATTTGCTGAAAACTGAGTCTCGGCCAGACCCGAAATGATTTAATTTATCTATTTGTATGCGCCCGCTGCATGTGCAATGTTCAACCGCTAGTTCAGAAAGCATTGGCTGGCGGTCGCCGGACTTTGCCAGCCCCCATAATATAGTACAACATAAGATAGTGGATAATGGAATGGGACTGAGACAGAGACTGCCTCGAGTATATTGACACTGGGTCTTGGCCCCCTTTTCGGGTACTCGACGAGGGAGCGCTGAGCCAATGACTACAGTAAGAGCTCCTTGGGATGGAATTGGAGGGTCAGAGCTATGAGAGGTTTTTGTTTCAATTATCAAATTAAATGTATACTTGGTAAATTTCAAATTTGAAAAATATAGAAATCAATTTCAAAAGCAAAACTCAAATACAATTTTCAGAGGGTCAGTCAAAGGGAGCCCTTACTGTCCCAAAAGATTAAAAAGCAATTGGACAATTGCAATGTCGATTCATCTCGGGTTTATATTTATTTATGGGGATACTTAGTGGCAATCATTAGCACTTCACTTACTGGATAATTTCGCGTTCTATCATAGTGACACGTCACACTGGTGTTTTCCGGCAGATATTTTCCCTCGGCTTCGAAATCCACCAACCTTTGACAGCCAAATCGAGCAGAACCAACGGCGATTCGGGGGACTCAATGTCTGTAATGAAAAGTAATGACTTTGAGTCACGGCTAGTTTGACTCCGTCTCTTCCGTATTTGCGGGTTTCCTTTTCACAATTTTTGGCTTTTGGGCTTGGCGAGGAGTTGAATTGTCTTTAGTTGGATTTTTTTTTTACATTTTCACCCGACTTTACAACCGGCTGGCCGAGAGCGAGCGGCGTGGGCGAGCGAGGAGATGGAACGACAGCCGGCGACGCAACATTTCCACTTTCGTTTTCCTTTTGGTCGCAACTAAAATGGAAAATTACGTGCACTCCAATGGGGCCGCACACGGCAAAGAGACAAAAGCACAACGAGCGGTGATGCAGTAGCGCAAGTAGGGGAACTATGAGGGGGATGAACTTCTGAGAAGGAGAACCATTAAAACACGTTTTAAGTATAACTGGATTGATGCTGTTTCAAATTACTAATTGATTAAAATAATACAAATGTTTTGAAGAATGTCTCCTATAGCTTAGTAAAGTCTTACGAAAGTTTTAATTAAACAAAAATAATGAATTCAATAAACTTGAAATGCAAACAGATATCAATATAATTGGTCTATACTGTATATTTACCTGCAATGTATAATCTAATACTGTTCTAAAGATAATAAACTAGAACGCAATTCGAATAATCACTAAAAGCACTAACAATTTATTGACCTATAATTTCTAGAAACCCCTTTGCTAAAATTACTCATACGCCACTGTGGTTTTGCGTGCAATTCGATTATGCGGTGCCAAAAGAGCCTTGCACTCTTTCCTTTTCTCTTTTACTCTCTTTGGCCAGTTGCAAGTCTTTTGGCTCTTTTGTTTGCTGCCATGGCCAACTGCAATGGGGAAGCCAAAATGTTTGTTGCAACAATCGAAAGCCATAACCATAAAATGCAACGAGGGTTGCTATAATATTTTTCCTGCTTTCTTCAAAAGCCTAATTTGTTATCTAACGAGGTTTTAATTGTTACAACTGAATATGTTTTTAATTTACTTTAATGATAACTAAGGGCAAATATTTGTACTTGTCAAATATGAATAATTCATATAATTTTCTTAATAACAAAATATGCACATTGCTTAAAGGCATAAGCTTTAATATCTTTAAATCAATAGGGCATTTAACATTGAGTACTTTAATTATTCGTTCATAAAAAATCCTACTTAATTACACCAATTTAATAAATCAAACACAATTTGTAAAATCATCATTCTTAATCAATCTGAAATGACTTTGGTATTGTTTCGGCTGTCAGGTGCTTCCATTACTTTAATGGCAGGTTAATCGGTTTGATTGATATGTAATATCCTGCGATTAAGCAACAAGTTTGGGACTTCCTTGACTCTTTACATCTTTTTTAATTTATTGGTAACTATTAGATTTCACTTTCACAATTTCACACTTTTGTCCTATGGCAAAAACCAAAACACGATACGGAGTTTCGATTAAAACAAGGCTTTTATGCAATATTTACACAATATTCCCAGCGGATTGCTCGCGTGTGGAGACCGATCCGAAGCCAAGTGGAGACTGGAACGACCGATAAGTCTGGCTGCTCGAAGCCAAATGATTCCAGCGGCAGGCGCGCCAAAGCTTTGGAGCCTGAACTCAAATTGCGCGGCAGATCCGAGCTTCAAGAGAGGGCTTAAGAGAGCTCAAAGCGATCCTGACAAATGATCGTGGCGCTTTGTTTCAATTTTGCAGACGAAACCACAACAAGCCACAGCCACAGGTGACCTTCAACAGGGTCCAGACGACAGAAAACAAAAGACCGGGAAGCAAAAACTTGCCTTTAAACAAAGTTGGCTAAGCATGATTTACCGTTTTTACGCCGCTCCTCGTTGTTTGCGGCTACGTGATGAGTAAGCTTAAGTTCGTCGCCAAGTTCAAGTTCAGCGATTAAAGCCGGGAATCAGAGCGCGAAAGAGAGAGGCAGAGAGAATAATCCGGATAAGGCTTTTATCCAGTTTTTGTCCTTGGCTGATAACCAGTATGTTTTTCTGCAATTAAATTCACTTTTACTCGAATTTGCTTCATTTCTTTATTTTTTTGCACTAATACCCTGGGAGTAAAGCGGTTGATGTATTTTATACATTACATATTTTTTATTTAATTTAATTTTTTAAATAGACTGGAAACTGATAAAGAGATTTTAATTAAATATTTTGTAAGCACTTTTTATACCCTTGCAGGATATTATAAATTTAGTCAAAAGCTTGAAATACAGTCAAGGAATCATTTCCGACCCCATAAACCATATATATTCTTGATCAGCATTAACAGGCGAATCTTTCTAGACATGTCCGGAAGAAATCGATTTTTTGGCCATTTTTGCAAAATTTTATAATTTAAAATTTTTGATTTTGATAAAAAATTAAATTTTCAAAATTTTTAAATGAAGTATGCAGATTTATTAACTGTAGAAAATCTTGCACAGAACAGTTTTCCGATTTAAAATTAATGCTCTTTTGGCCGAGTTATGATATTTTTAATTTAAAAAAATCAAGAAGTTTTTTAATATAAAAAATCAGATTTTATAATACAAAATAATATTTTTCTAAGTCAAGGAATCATTTTCGACCCCATAAACCATATATATTCTTGATCAGCATTAACAGGCGAATCTTTCTAGACATGTCCGGAAGAAATCGATTTTTTGGCCATTTTTGCGAAATTTGATAAGGGGTTACATCATTAAAATTAGCAAAAATGTCCAAAAATTTTGATTTCTTAAAATTTTAAATTTGGTATGCAGTTTTTTTAAATTAATAAAAACTAACACAAAACTGTTTTCCGAATCGAAATTAATGCATTTTTGGCTTAGTTATGATATATTTTAATTGTTACCTGCAAGGGTATACAAACTTTGGCTGGCCAAAGTTAGCTTTCTTTCTAGTTATACATAATTTATATTGATATTAAGTTTGTAGCACTTTTTGGGGCTTTTAAAGTCAAAAAAATAGTTAAAAGCTTCCGAAACTTACGGAAAATACAATTATTTTAATTTTTCATGTTTGTTTATAAACATTTATATTTATATTTAGTGGTTTAATATACAAAATATATTATATTAGGGAAATTACAGGGTATCGTAAGGTCGGTTTATAAATGTATGTATAGTGTACTGATATTTTTCTCAACTTTGCTTTATTTTGTTTTCTTTTTCTTTATTATTATATTTATCTGCTTTCGAGAAGGTCACCGAAGGGCTGTCGCGTTTGTCGTTCAATTCTGAGCGATCGACGACCGGTTCACAAGCATAATTGGTGTCAATTTCGAGTGCGGCAACCACAAGATTGACATTTACACGCAATACAAACAGAAAAAAAATAGTAACAATTGCATTTTGCAGATTGTTAATTAAGAGAGAGCTACACTTTTCAAAAGTATGATAAAGGCAATATTTAAGTAAATTTAGTAAGAGTGGAAAATAATTTAAATGTGCATTTTTATTCAACGAAATTATTTAGAATTTATTAAATTAAAGTCAAACAGTTTAATTCAGATAAAAAAATCCTGTAAAAATATTCAAATGCTTTCTAACTTATTTATTAATTACTTAAAGAGATTGGTAAAGATATTTGTTTCTGAAACAATAAATACCCGGATTTTGGGTGGCTCAGAAACGAAACGCAGCTTTAACGCCTAACCTGCCACTTAAACAATCATCAGTTTGAACACAAATCAAAGTAAACAAATTTCAGTCGGCCGATACTATGTACTTCCCCTTTATACCCAGTTTCCTTAGCGCGTTCTGCGGTTAATGGTTAATGGGATGGGTTATTAGGCGGCTGCCAGCTTGTTGCTTAATGCTTGGTCCCTCCTTGCCACCCTTCTGTGTATTCGAATAATTCGCTTTCATTTGACTTATCGATGTGGCGTGCATTAACAATCAATATGACATGTCAGGCACGTGAAACAGTTTGGAATCCAGGGTGGAAAATATATGGAATTTATCAGGTATATGGACATACATATATCTGACTCGATCATGTCAAAAATAGTCACTAATGCGCTATGTGCACAAAAGGATAGTTCAGTTCTACACCAGAATATTATGTCTCATAAAAAAGGTATCTTAATTAAACAATAATCACAAGAATGGAAGGTCAATTAGTATAAGCATGATAAGACAATTTTATTTATAACCATAGAAAGTCATAATTTTCGCTTAATGTACATATTCTTGTACAGCAAATACAAAATATACTTAAAGGTTTTTCCCATTAATTTAATTATTTTATTGAGCTTTCATGACTTGACACCATGAATCAAACTATTAATTCGGAAAGTTTAGATACAAAAACCAAGGAAACTTCAGCCTTGACACTGGTTAGCACTCAATTGAAATGTGCATACACATATGTATGTGTTCCATTAACGTAACTAGTACTTTTGTTGGAATATTTATAAACATTGCACTTGGTATGTTTTGCTAATTGTCAACCATCAATTCGTCTGTTCGTCCTTCCATTAACATGCAAAACAAAAAAGTGAAAGTTAGAAATGGGTCGGAAATCGACATTTAAATACTCTTTGGTTAACCATAACAGCATTCTTACTGAAGAAAACATGATACGAAAATTTAAATATATCAAATAAATGAATATGTTTTTAAGACTAGGTTTCTTTAGCCTTTTAGAAATGTATGTAAATCTTTCTTATAAATATGATACGTCTTTTAAAAAAAAAAAAAAAAAACAGTGCTCTTAGGGAAAAACAAAATTCCAGTGCGTATTTTTGGACAAAATTTAAATTAATTTTAAACACTAAGCGAGTTCTGTACTCCTTTCTTGTTTTCTTCTAAAAAACCGTAAAACTCAGCTTAATATTATTTGAGATTCGAATTATAAACCTGTTAAGTATACTTTTCGAAATGGTTTGCTAATTATTACTTTTTATGCATAATCAAACTCTGACCATTTTGGGTTCTGCAAACTGTCTCACATTTTGGCACTGGCTCCCTTATTCGGAAAGGGTATTTAATTGGCCACGCATGTGGCTGTGCTGCAGTCTTCGGCCTGAAAGGCGGCTTCAGTTGCCGTTGGCGAGCGGAGCGGCAAACAACGCCCGGCGGAAAGCGGAAAGGGCTGAAAGCTGAGAGCGGAAGGCGGAAACTGGCCAAGCGGAAGAGGCTAGAAGAAGTCAAAGAAGACCGCGAAAAGGGGAGCGTGAAAATGTGAGTGTGTCTCCTGTCTCCTTGCCTGCTTTTTGTTGTTGCCCGACAGTTTGTGTGTGCCTGTGTGTGAGTGCGGTGAGCTCGTGATTTGTTTACCTGTCAAAATAATAAATATAACTTTTGTTTTCGTGGGGCATAAAATACAGGCGGTTGTTGCTGTTGGCATTGGTAGCGGAACCGAGAAACAAGCCGGCGAAGGACTCTGTTCTGTTTCTCCTTTCTGCTGTCCTCCGCTCTCAGCCCGTCCTTTGCCAAGTGCAGTGTCAAAAGTCAAACGAAGGATAATGTGCCTGTCCGAAAAGAAAAATGGAAACAAAATATAATGCAACTTTTATCCAAACTTAAACCTAAACTGAGTCCCTTGTTAGTCTAGGTGAGAGATCGGCAACGGAAGTGAATATTGATAAAAGAAAATAGGATTGCCGTCAACAACTTTCGGGACCTTTTTTAAGTTTATTGTTTTTGTAGCTTTTTCTGAATATTTCGCGGAAAAACAATAGATTTAACAACCTTTAAGTTTAATAATTTTGAAGATATGTATGTAGGTATTTTATTAAATACATTTAACCCTGAAAGTATGCTTCACTTGCATTCCATTGATCCCCGCTTTTTGCGCCAAATTAATGGATTCACAATTATAATCTTTACGTTTCGCAGGTCTGATTTTGAAAAAGTTTATCAGAATGTTTCTGTACCATCGATTTCTTCGTCTTCATGGACCAATCCTTACTAAGATCCAATCGCTGCAACGCAGCCTAATGAGCCAGCCTAAGTTTAGGAACTCACCAAAGGTCTGGAGGCAATACCAGCCGGTCCAGGCCATTGAGAAATGTCAAGAACCAAGTCTATTTGGGCCACAACAGCTGGAGCCGCCGAGTCCCTTCGCCGAGGACTACCGCATCTATCAGCAGAACGTCGACTTGGATGCCTTCTTCGGCGAGGAGCCCAAGTTTGAGAAGGTATCGGATGTCTGCCTGCTGAACGATCACTTTATCCTAGTCAAGATGCCGCCGCCAGATGCGTCGCCGCCTGCGTCGAAGTCAAGGATTCCGCGGTGCTTCCGGTGCAACCGTGGCAGCAAGGTCTCGCCCATTCGGGAGGAATCGGAGGAGGAGAAGCCTCCTTCCTCGCAGCCCTGGTCATCCCAGAACGAGACTGAAGTTTTTGATTCCACCACTAGACTGACGGATACTCCCTGTAAGAAGGTTGCTTCTCCCGCTCCCGTGATAGTAGAGCAACCACATCCGACCCTGCAGTTAGAGGCGATCCAATCCTTGGCTCCTGGACAGCTACAGCTGCGTTCTGCCAGCCATGGACCTTTACACTGGTTTCTTTGGCCCTTTCGTCGGCGCCAGGACTCTAGGACCAATTCCAAGCCCCCTCTGGCTGCCGTCCACAAGACGTACTTTGTGCGCTGGAGCAAGCCGCCGGACACACTCTGGAACGGATTCGGAGTTCAACGGGCAGCAGAGGAGATGAAGCCGGGACTGAGACGATGTAGATCTGCGGTTTTCTGAATTACCTAATATATTATTATAAGTAGTTTGGGGTCCATAACTTGAGGAGCATCAAAAGGGTTTCAATAAAGGTGTTAAAATAAACGGTTTGAGTCAGTTTTTGGATACTTTTTATTGCCAGTTTTGGGAAGGTTTTGGAAACATTATTAAATTAATTTTCAAAAATTATTTTATGATTGTTAATAGATCAATATATTCTCTATAGAGTGTAATCTTATTTTAATAGCTGGTCTAAAATATAATTCGATTCGAATACTTTTTTATTTATTAACTTGAATAGGAATTCAGTTTTCTTTTATTTGGCTAATATTTCTTACAACTTAAAATGCAGCTAGCCTGGGAAACTGAATTTATTTGAAACCTATTTTTGAATACCAAAATCTTTGGGCTACCTTTAAAGAAAACTTTACGAACAAAACCATTTTAATATAATTTATTTCCTTAAATATACATGCAGTACCTTAAATGTACGAGTATCTCAACCTGAGCCCTGATACCTCCTCTCTCTCATGGGCACATGTCAAACTCCAATTTCCGCATGCAAAATTAGTGGCTGCCGCGCCGCCAACTTCAGTTCGCCACAAAGTATGTGGACTGAGCCCCGACTTTAGGTATAACTCCGAGGAACTGCATAATAATACAAAGAAGCCAAAGGGAAACAAAATGCAAGCCACGTAAATTGCCGGGCCAATGCAGATAAAGCCAAGAGGCCGCGGAGAAAAAAAAGCGGAGTTAAACTCCTTTTTCAATGGAATTTGCACGCGTCCGTGAAGCCCGAAAGGAGTTACTCAAGGGGGCTGCCTACTCCTCCGAGCCAGGAGGTTGCTTCATTAGCTTCATTTGGGGTTTTGGAAATGTCGGGCAATGTCGTTCGTTACTCCCGCCACGGCCGGTAGGTGGCGCTGCGCGCAGGAGCCCCGCAACTAATTACGAAGGCAGCCCGCCATAAAAACAAGTTCATGATAAAATGCCCAACCACGCTGCCCCACCATAGCCGCAGACTTGACTCTGCACACACTGCAGGCACCCTGCGCCACCGCATATACTCGTACATAATAATAAAATAAAATTAAAACCGTCACGCCAGGCGTCAGTGGAAGCCCGAGTCCATACCGGCGGGGCACAACAGCAACAATCGCGGCAAGCGAACAAAGCCATCGAGCCTCGAACCGAAACGCGTCCAAAAGGAGTTGCCACTGAAGCTGGGGCTGCACTCCGTGTCCACCTCCGTGTCCAGGCCGGATCGGGCCAGCGGGTCACCGTAATGAACCATTAATATGCCAGTTCCCCCCGAAAACCCGGCGATAAGAGCCGCGCGCTTTTCCCTTTTTCCGACATCGAAAATCGAAATTGAACTTCAAGAACTAAGCACTTGGAAAAAATCGAATGTACTTCTAAATTATTTATTTAATATTATTTATATCCATACTCAAATATTTATAGAAATCTTGTGACTGAAGACTGGTTTTAATACAAATCGAGAACAGTTGAGATCACTAAAAAATTCTTTTAAAAATATATATATTTTTTTTAATTTAGTGTTAAAGTATCTCTGAATAATGTGCTATTTTTATCTTTTTTTCTGGCTGTGTACAAAATAGTGTTCACTATTGTTTTCCTCGTCGCCGCTGCTGAATGGGGGATTTGTGCTTATCATTAATTATAATGTCGGCATGGAGGCCCGCGCATTACCATTTGGCCAAAATGGTCAATTGGATGGCTTAGACGGCTTTGTATAGTACATAAAATTGGCTTGGAGTTATTGTGTTGTGTGTGTGTGTGTGTACCAGCGTTGGGGGAAGGTGAAGGACGCCACCTGTCGGTGAATGCAACAAGCTGAATGCGAGCTTGTAGATAGTATCTAACAGATAAAGTATCTAATTGTCAGATTCTGAAGAATTATAAGCACATTTAGTACACAAATTATGGGTAATTAAAATCGGATAATTTTTATTACTGAAATTCTACCTCATGGAATCCAAAACAGTATATTGTATTGTTAGAATCTTTAAAAACTTATAATTAAGTGGTATAATATATAGTAGTTAGTAGATTGACTTCTTAATTATTGTTAATTTTAAAATTAATAAAGTAGCTACTGAAAGTTACCACCTATTTTAACGCCAAGTCTCACACCTTGTTAACCCCACGGCTGCGAGCGTATTTTGCTTGGCCAAATCTCGCAATACAACTTAAATTAGCCAACGAATCCGGCTTGCAGCTGAGCTTAATTGGTGGAAAGTAGCGTAACCGTTCCGGATAGGTTTCCAGATTCCGCGAGGAATCTCCGTGGCGATGGAACCGCTCGGCAGCCGACGGAGACAGAGGGCACTTGCTGGGCGCAGATACCAAAAGGAAGCTGACAAGTTGCTGGCTTGGCCAGGCCATAAAAGGAGCAGAGGAGATCCCGCCGGGCATTCCAAATCGATTACGACTAGCACTATCTCTCCCTCTTTCGCTCTAGCAAGGTGTTTATTAATAAAACTCCAAGTAAATATTCCGTTTCCAAAAAGGGAGACGGCTGGATGTCAGGCGAGGGAGATGGAGGACAACGATGACAACAGAAACAGTTGGTGGTACGCAAAGTGTTGACAATGCCTCGCCTAGACTAGGTCCACTAAGTCCAAGTCGTTGGCACCGACTGCGCAACGACCTTCGGCCGGATACGGGTACGGGTCCGAGCTCAGGTCCTGGTCCTAGGGCAATCATCGTTAATGATGGCAATGTCCTTGTGCGCCTCGATTTGACAAATCAATTTGTGCGCTAACAGCATGCGCTCTCGACTCCAGCACCGTTGCGAGTCAGTGGGATAGCTCGAGGACGTAGCCGAGGACACACATCTTATGCACAAGCAGGATCTCGTTTTCCTTTCTCCCTTTCCACACACAGCCGCCCCGATGACAGGGATCACAGTACGAGTAGTTGAGTCGACAGACCAAACCGAAATGTTTGCCAATACGGTTGCAATCTGTTTGGATGGATCGCGGTGGGCAAGTGTATCGCCAGATAAATGAGTCTCAAGGGGATACAGATACAAAGGTCATGGCATTTCAATCGATGTATTATTTAACAACAATATAAACATCGTAATTAATTACTAATTAAGAATAGTAAAGCTGCTTGGTTATAGTAATATAGTTTTGGCTAATATTTCGCAACTGTTTAAAGAGAAAAATCAAAACTAAACTCGGAAGCTAACTTACTTTTAAAATCAGACACATATATCTGTAAACACAATTAATAACCTAGGATTACTAGCTCATATCCGACTTGAGGGAATTAGTTTAAATGAACATTTATCAATCAAAAACTAGTTAGCCTGTAAGTAAATAATGCCTTCATTCATTTTGATGGCTCCTCAGTCCGGCTCATTCCCCGTAATCCGCCTTATTCCCCTATTATCCTTGACTTAGGGACTTTCATCCACTTCGCATATCTGCGATCTGCTTTGCCCAGGACACCTCATTAGCAAGGATTATCGCTGCAGCACGGATCTCTACCTACCTAACGCGTCTCAGAGCCTCTACCTGGCTGTGACTTTGCCCAACTGACTGAGTGACTGAAAGCTAAGCCTTTAACGTTCTCCTGGCTTAACTCTTGCCAGCGAAAGGACGTCGAAAGGGGTTCGTGTCCCGGCTGAGTGATGGGCACTGCGCACGAGGACGAAGAATGGCAGCAAATAAAAGTTTATGGCACCATCGTAAATGGGCCGAAAACGAGTTGACCTGGAAGGAGAAATGCGGAGGACTGTGCGCCGTTTACTGCATTCTTCCTGGCAGCAAAGGATTATTTCGGAAACGAAACCTAATCCCCGCGCAGTGCGAGCGGGACGGTGACGCTACAAATCCTTTCGCAACCTTAGGCCGTCTCCTGGAACTGGGAAATTTTGATTCGCAAACTCGCAAATCCCCTGACTGTCTGGCTGCCTGGCTGGCGGGTTAGTCCACCTTGCTGTCGAGTAAATATTTTGAGGTTTTGCGCTGCTTATGTGCCAGGAACGCCTGGCTTTATTGGTTCATCATCGGATCAGCAGGTACATACAGGTCCGCCGGATCGGGATCTGCCCCAGATCGGACCGACATCATCCAGCAACAATTAATAAAAAATTAAATTAAGTTTCATCTCGAGTCGCGGCATCGTTGTAAATTACTGTTTTCCCTGCCTTTGATGTTCAACACTTTGTCAGCTCATTAATCACGGCTTTAGGGGAGGGCAGCAGCAGCAGCAGCAGCCGCAGAAGCAGAATGCCGGCCCGTCCATGATCTCTGGACAGCTCCAACTTCCAACTTCCATTATCGCCCCAGCAGCCTCGGAGTCTTGGAGGTTACATCGGCGAGCTTTTCCTCCTCTCGCTCAGCTTTGCTGGGTAATTTCTGATCGCTACCGAAAATTAATGCGTAATATTTTGGATTTAATCATTTCCCGATCTTAGCTTTCTTCTCGGCTACTGTGCCGGAGAATTTTCCCTCCCCACAGTCGCCCAGTGGGAAGCGAATTAAAATTGTAATTGGTTTATTAACCCAGTTGGCGCTATTAAATTGGCATTAGAGTTCTGCTAGATACAGCCAGAGAGGTCGGAAATAACAAGAAGTCGACAGATCAGGGCTGTAAACTGCTCTGAACAGGAGTGACAGGCAAGCATGCCATTGAAATTTAACTGTAAATGGCTTGACACAAGGATGTGATTGGATCCTGCGCCTTCGGTCTGGAGTGCTTTATTCCTGGGTTCCATTTGGGTTCTCCTTTGCTAGCTTTGAGACCTCTTTGAGCGAGTTTTCAAAAGTACATCCAGGATCGATGGAGGGAGGAGCATGAAAGAGTCCTCGGTATCGTTTATGGGGCGACATCACCATTGGCCTATCTGCCGATCGACTTGCGCACGTATCCTTGGTGCGGTGCTTTAAGTTCAGCATTTTGAAGAGACAAGAAATTCACCTGCAAGAGCCGGATTAACCTGAACTTGGTGCGAATATGATCCCTTAAATCTGAGTTAATAAAATCCCTAAATTGCATGAATTGCATATGAATCTATCTTCCATCCCTTGTATGTCTCGCCGATCGAAATCACATAGATCTAAATGGATTTTGTGCAATTTTCCTTGCTAATCTCTAGTTCTACCTGGAAAATCCTTTGCCCAATCCTAAGTCGATTGTAGAGTCAATATTTGCTTTTCCTGACTGTGGCCTGCGGAAAACAAACAACGATTTTGAGTTATTTTCTAGATTAAAATAATAGAGCCAGGGTGTGCCTAAGGCTGTCTGAGCTGTCTGCGGATTCGAGGATACCATTTTTACGTGTAATGGTTAATGGGTAATGACTTCATTAATTGCCCTGGCTCGGACACGTAGGCTGGGCTGATCCCCGGAGCCGATGAGAGGTGTGAATTTGAGGTAAGTCCGAACGAGGGCAATTACTCCCTTCGATGGAATCGAAATGGGCAATTAACACCTTGGTTGGAGCTGTATATCTTTATATTGAGGGATCTGATAGGTCATTTTTTCCATGGTACTTTGGGAGTTTTCTCCTTTTCCGGAAACTGCCCTTGCGACCCGGCCGTTGTCACAGCTTGAGCAGGAGTTCCGAGAGCAGTCGCCTCGCAACTGTCCTGTCCCCTGTGGCGACTGTTGACTGATCTCCAGTCGGGTCCGTGGAAAGCGCGGCTACTTAAAGGCTCTAATGGCCCCGAGGATTTCCCATTTCTCCCGCTGCGAACAGAAGCGTGTCAAGGCTGCTCTCAATGGCCAGGACTGTGCGAGTAAGAGATCTTCGAATACGGGATAAATTAGCATGGATATATTTATTTTCAAGGCACTTGCTACTTAGGCTATGCATCTTAGGGCTTCTACGGCTTAGTTGGTACTAGGTATTAGCTAGGCTTAGGTCTATGAATTGGAACTATTTGGGGGGCGAGTGTGATAGAGGTTTTCCCATATGGAAAACGTCTGTACTGCCCTGCTGTCTCCCCTTCCTGCTATGTACATCTTTGGCGGCGTGTCTGGTACCCGGCACCTGGCACCTGGCACCTGCTCCTATTCCTGCTCCTGGCGGAGTAGGCGGAGGCGGAGACGGAGACGAAGGATCCCCTCTCAGTACCAGGAGTGATGATAGAACGGCTGTGGCGGCATCGTTGTGTAGTTGACCTTCGAGGGCGACGAGAAGGCGGCGGCATTGAAGTTCTGCGGCATGAAGTTCTGCGGCGGATAGTGGGGGTGACCGCCGGCGTATTGCGCATGTGGATGCGGATGGGCATGGGGGTGTCCGTGATGGGGATGCCCGTGATGTGGGTGCGAGTGGGCATGCCCGGGCGTCGAGGAATAGGCAGCATACTGCGACGTGTGCTGGTACGGGTGGAACATCTGGTGGCCGGCCACCTCCAGAGCCTGACTCGTCGAGCTGGTGGAGTTCAGCGAATCCTCCGGCGAGAGCGGTGCATTGGGGCGCAGCGTCTGCATCGAGCTCCATCCACCGTATAGCTGGGATTGGCTGGCTGCCGCCACGAGATCAGCGGTCTCCACTTTCAGAGCGGATGACAACTCCTCGCTTCCAGCACTGGCATTGGCCAGCGATTGCGAGGGATCGGCTCCGGAACTGCCTCCACTGGAGGTCACTCCCGCGCCACCACCCACAGCCGAGAGGCTGTTGGGTGTGGGCGGCAGCTGGCCAAACCCGGAGGACACCGACTCGTTGGGGCTCTCGTTGCGCGGCATGTGGGGCTGGTGGGTCTCGGTTTCAGTGCCGTAGACGGATCCCAACTGGGTCTCGTAGCTGGACACGATGATGTTCTCCGTGGGCGTGGTGTGGCCGGTTCCGTCCGGCATTATGTAGTTGGCAGTGCTTCCGGCGCCGTTGGGGTTGTAGAACTGATGGTGGTGTGGCGGCGTGGAGGTGAGTCCTGGCGAGAGATTGCTACTGGCCGCGGGGGCTGCGGTGGCAGCGGAAATGGTCACGTTGGCGGCGCTGCCATAGAAATCGTACTGCTGCTGGTAGACAGTGGCGGGGTCCAGGGATCCCGGCATCATGGCCAGCGGGGCCATGCTGGACACACTAGAGACCACGCTCGGCAAGGAGGAAGCAGTGGGCACATGGCTGACGGAGGAGACTACGCCAGCAGGCACGGCGGATACGGAGGTGTGCTGTTTGCGGAGACGAGCCCGTCGGTTGCTGAACCACACCTGGATGCGGGCTTCCGTGAGATTGGTGCGCTGTGCCAGCTCCTCCCTGGTATAGATATCTGGATACTGGGTCCGTTCGAAGGCGCGCTCCAGCTCGTCCAGTTGCGAGGCGGAGAAGGTGGTACGGCAGCGGCGTTGCTTGCGCTTCAGGGCAATGCCTGGCTCGCTCTCGCAGTCGGAGATGTCCTCATCGGAGGGCTTGCTGTTGTTGTGATGGCCGCCGGACACGTCCGAGCCGCAGGAGCTGGTCGAGGCCTTGGCCATGCCGCCGCTGGGCGAACCCGAGGCGGAGGACAACTCGTTGTCCAGTGGAGCATCGCGGCCACGCACCAGGCGTGAAATAGCAGAGACCGAGGGGGCAGTGCTTCTGTCGCAGACACCCTCGCGGATGAGCTTCTCTCGGATCTCCCAGGAGAACATGCCCGGATTGCTGCGCTTGTAGTCCTCGATCCGGTTCTCGATCTCGGGCGTGGCAATTCTTGGCTTGGAGCCACCAATCACTCCCGGCCTAATGGAGCCGGTTTCCTGGTAGCGATTCAGGATCTTGGAGACGCAGCCGTGGGAGACGCGCAGCTGGCGGGAAATTACGCATGGTCGGATGCCATCGGCGGCCATCTCGACGATCTTCAGGCGGATGTTGTTGGGCAAAGGACGGCCGTTGATGAAGACTCCACCAAGTTGATTTACACGACCCTGGCCGCTGTTTATGTCTGCGAAGGAAGAGAGAGCAGAGGAGGAAATTGTAGTGTGTGGAAGTCGAGGAGGCTTTTCCAATTTGCTAGGTAGCGTAGAGCGCGTGTCACTTGATTTACGACACCTTCGTCCGGAGTTGACTTCCCGGGAAGAGGGCAACAGCTACGAGCGAAGGTAGAAGGTCAGAGGCGCGCGACTCTCCCGCCGAGCAGCTAATGGCCATTAGAGAGTCGCCGACGGCCTTGGACTTGGTTGAGATCTTTCAGAGGGATAGGGATCTGTGATTTCGTAGAGAAAGATAGAGATAGGGGAGGTCTAAGGTTTTCGAGAGACTGGAGGACAAAGGGAGGACTGTTCCCGGAAAGATCTTCCTACTAGTTTAATCAGAAGGAAGAGTTTTGATATTGCACAGATTTTATAATGATTTTAAAAGAGAATCAAACTTTATGAGAAATTAAACTTGAGAGAAGAGTTACACGTGAATTTATTAGAAAGCTTTAAGGTTCCCAAAAACCTAAAGATTTAAGGAACTCTTCCTTAAATATCCAGTTCTGATGGACTCTTCTATCTAGACATATCCCAGGAACACCTGGGATATTTACAGTTAACTAACTCACCTTGCATGGTAGAATATCCATTGAAGAAGGGTCTGTGCATGGCGGCAGCAAAGGCGGTTACGGTCATAGTTTCTGGAGCTCCAAGGTCCACAAGGTTGTCCCGGCTGAAAACCGGCGGCGACACAATCTATGCGTTCTCTTATTAACTATTTTTTGGTAGTGTCACTTGGTATCACTTTAAAATAAGATAGTTTCGTGGCGACACTCTAGCGAAGTCATTAATTAACCGATTTGCAACAGTTTTTCGAAATCTCTTTATGGATTTATGTTGGTGTTAAAAGCAAAGGCGAGGACGAGGACGAGATGCGGTGTGGCTCGTTGCGCAGTCTGTGCCTGACTGACTTCTCTCGCCGAACGTCGGCCAAGATCGTTGCCTTTCTGTGAAGCCGCTACCCAGACATCGGCCATGTCCCACTGCCACTTGGCAGGTAACCACTACGCGGACCAATCGCAGAGCCCTCTGTTAATGTCTCTCACTCGCACTTGCTTTGAGATCTTTTGGGACACAGAGCAACCGTCTCACTCAGCACCGGGGGGCGTCTCAGCTCGAACAGCGCTGTGGGAAGAGGGAGAACTTTGGATGGGGGACTTGTGAAGCAGGGAACTGAGAGCTAGAGAGTAATCCCAAATGGCTCCTTGACATGTTTACTGGGCTTACTTTCAGCCTGTAAAGGTTGATTTTATGGAGGTTCCACTTACTTCCGGAAAATTGTAGTCATATTAAGTGGAGATTTTACACCTTACAAGCGTAATATATCCTTTATTGATACCTCGTTAGGAGGCTCTTAATCCCTTTATAAGATATACCGATACAATTAGATATTCCTCAGGGTTCCACTTCCGGAAATCAAATTCGATATTCACTGGAACCCATAATGCAATCGAGTACGCATTTAACACTCTTTACAAGCGTAATATATCCTTTATTGATACCTCATTATAGATTTTGGTGTATAAAGGCATGAGTGCAGTGAGTTTTCTGGCAGTTATAAGGTTGTAAACGAAACTGTTCAAGTAATTTCAGGACATCCGCAGGATTTATTAATTAAATATATAACATATATAATATAACAAAAACTCTGGAGGTCGAAACTGGAGATCACTATTAATGTGCACGAGGATAGAAGATTTTGAGAACTCTAATTAACGCTGCATAACTGATAAAGATCAAAATTCTGGGGCTAGAGCTATATCCTCACCGTAACCATATCCTTGTCACGCTTTTGAAACCATTATGCCCCGGTGCTCAGGGTGATGGCATCGTTGCGTTGTTACCTATTCTGTGGACTCCGCGTGAGTTTGATTAATTGTGAAATTTCACGCAACAGAGACCCTCAAAAAGAAGTTAAGTAAAACCGCTGGAAAAGAAAGCGCTGAGCGGGAGAACTCCGAAACCTGGAAACCATCGCCAAACAACAATGGAAAGCGCCAAGTGTTGGGGGGAGAATTAATGATGAAAAGCCGATGGAAACGCCAGCGAGGAAATCGGTCCAGGGAGCTACGTGACGAATGAAGACTTAGATCGATGTCCAGTTCCTGATCAAGGACAACGGAGGCCGCAAGTCAACAAAGGTTGGGTGTCTACTGGTCGGTGCGGCAGCCCGTTGGGAATTTGGTTAAGCAAACCCAACGGGAGGAGATCCGAGTACCCAGTGAGGAGTCCGGACATTTTGCGCCTAGCAGGATAGCAAAATCCCTGGCGACCTTGAGTTGCTGGTGGTGACCTTGATCGAAACACGAACGTGTTTCAATTGGGGGAGTCTCAACTGAGGAGGCGCCGCAATCTCCGCTTGATTGGCGATTCGATGCAATCCTCGTTGATTTCACAATTTAGGGAAACAATGAGCGCTGAAAAGGCAACTCATATAACGCTAATTTCGCGCTATCAACGCCTGCAAATGTCCTGCAACAGGATCGGGACTGGGAAAGGCGAAGGGACCTGGCCGAGAGATGCAGGAAACAGTAGGAGGCAGCGAAACCATAAACGCTGCGAGCCAACTTCGATCGCATTTCCTCGAATTGGCCAGCGGGAAAATGAAGACATATCCGTGCCATGAATAAGGATGCTAAGAGACTTTTTATGATGCCACCCAGGGTGCTATGAATGAAAATCATCCTCGTGATCGTCAACTTTCGCCAGCGGATCCTTCGTACCTGCGCGAGTAAGTAAAATGCTTAGACTAGGGATCCTTAACCAGGATGTGGAGGGTCGGCTTTGAAGGCTCGTGCGATCGCAACAAATAACACCATAATCTATCATTTACATTGTTTGAATTGAACAGATCACATTTTCATATCCTGAATTTATATTTTCAGATAAATAAAGTAATTATTTTCACTAATATTATTCTAAATATATCTATATATTATCAGGACATGCTGAACAATATATACTGTACAATATTTAAGATATATAATCAATTCGCTGCAGTAATGCAGCTTTATGAGATTAGTTCTGCTTTACATTTGCATTTTAAATTAAATCCCACTTAAATATTTTATTTTCTTCCACTTCCAAGGAAGGATTATATATTATACTACATTTTTTCGAGGACTACCCACACATAAAAGATATTTTTTAGTATAAAACTACCTCCCTCTGTCTACTGAGTATGCCCAAGTCGATCATTCTCGCCTCCTCGATTTCAACTCCACTTTTTTCGAACCTTTCTCCTCTCGATTTCCGCTGCTGTTGTGTGTTTGGCAATCGATTCGCTTTGGCCGGACGTAATGCGGTCTGTTGTCACACATTGGAACGGCCTTGATTGTTTCACGTTCCCTGCGCCTAATGTCTTTATCAGGGTTGCCTTCTTTTCCTTCGAGTTGGATGCTGTGCAGCCAATTTCCATGCTCAGAGACCACAGAAGGCCCTTCTTCCCACAGCACTCTCCGCGGGATGCTTAGATAATGTACTATTTAGAGCCATGATTTCTAGAAATTAGGATATTCGGACCGGAATATATTAACGTACCATGACATGCCATCACCAAGAGCATCATATATAATCCTTAGTTACTGTTTTCTGTATTCAAATAGACCTCATTGTAGTCTTTGTTTTTTGGAAAGTTTTTGAGTATTTCGTAGTTTTGCTCTGGGGTTTACCCTATTTAACAGTTGATCTTTGAGTTAAAGATGTTTCTTTTGGATTCTTTAAAAGAATTTTCTACTGTTTTAGCTCGCTTTAAATATCTATCTCTTGGGAATCCAGATTAACGAACTCTTTTCTAGCTCAAGGCCCAAAAGCCACTCTTGATCCTCGCGCATTCCGCGCTGATCCTCAAATATTTCCACTCCACCCGACAGACTGCCGGTCGGAGATTGACTTTTCGCTTAATCCACAGTAAGTTTTAGTAAATACGAATAGTCCCTGTTTCCGAACAGTAAGGGGGCTGCCCTGGCTGGTCATCCCTTCGAATCGGAGGAGATATTTCTCCGGAGCGATTGTAAAACGAAATCCCCGCTAAAGCATGCAAACAAATAGCGGCAAAGTGCGAGATTAGAGGGAAAGTCGCACCAGCTTAGGCCCAGGATGCGAGCCTGGATCCCGAAGATCCCGCTGATCGCCAGTTGACTTTTTCAAATATTTTGGAAAAGTTCTCGAGTGTTGATCGCACGATTATAGCGGATAATCGCATTACAGTCCGACGTTTTATTGATCAACATTTGTAAACGATTGGCCATGGCCGTTTCTGGGTGGGACGCGTTAAAGCCGGCGAACCGAGGAATCCCAGGTAAAGAAAAGGATTCTGAATGCCAAAAATGCTGCGGCTTAACGCAGCCCACGCCCACACGAACGAAGGGCGGGGAGCCGAGGGCCTTTCCCGTTGCCCCGATCTCTCTCCGATTTTCCGATTTCCCGACGCGATCAGCAGCACGGCGAATGCGATTAACCCTTGCTCTCGGTAGCAGTTTAGCTGGGCTAATTGAAGGCATTAGTTGTTTGTGGGTCGCGAGGTGGCTTCCGCGGAACTGCTTTGTCTGCAAATTAGCAACTCTCATGTGGCTCGATCGGATCGGAGGCGACTTCTGACCTCGCCCCTGTCCACAATCCGATGGTTTTGGCACCCCGACCGCACCTATGCATTCGCCATGCGCTGTGGGAAGGGCACTTCATGTGCAAAAGTCAGAGTAGGATTCCCTCATTTGAATGCTTGATTTTTAAACAAACAAAAAAGTATGCAAATTATTCAGCATCTTAAATAATCCTTGCAGAGAACAATAATATTCGTCGGAAAAGGTCAGAGAAAAGGAAGTGCAACTTGTTTCCTCTACAACTTTGACGTCGCTTCGTCTGGTGGATATTCCGTAGGTCATTTAATATAGTAAATATCTGCAGGGCAGAAGGAAGCCTTGCCCAGGGGCTAAAGGGGAGCCCCTGCCACATACACCCACTTTCGAGAAACTCATTAGCCTGAGGCACAACAAAGCGCTTCCAAAACACAAAACACAACACAACAATCCAAACCAATCGACTGCTAAACGCTGGCGGCACACATCTGAGGCGGTGGCCAACAAATTGATCATTAAACAGAAGGCGCAAAGGTAGGCGCAACCCATCGTTGTCCAACAGCAGATCAGCATCAGGTCGAGATCAAACACCTGGGCCTCTATATCTGGGCCTGGGCCTCAACCTGCCGAAGAAAGTGACGAGGCCGCGACGTCAACAAGATTAATTTGTTTTCCTGCCGGGCCAGAGTGGAGTGGTTCCATCTCCAACTCCATCTCCATGGCCGTGCCCACAGCCACATTTCCCATCACAAACAACAACCTGTTGTCCGGTTCTTCGATCTGTAATTGCTCTGCTTTGTAGCATCGATCCGGGGATCGGGATCGAAACCCTATATGGCATCATTAGTTACCAGTGGAGTAGAGGCCATGAAGTAGGTGGCGTTTTTCTCACATCTCGCGGGATTGGATTCTGTGTTTGGGGCCATCTTCGGCTGCGTTTGTCCATTATCCACGCTTCGCATCGGATATATGCGAATTTAAATAAAATTATTCAATTGTTTCATTAATCACTGGTCCCGTCCTGCGTTTTTCCTGATGTGTTTCTTTAAAAAAATGCATTGCAAATGGAAAATGATTTCCAGAGCCTGTGATTATTTATACATTAGTATCAGAAGAGGAAGGGAAAATTATGGGAATCTGAAGAGATGACTTTTAAGCTCTAAATATACAAAGTATTTGTTAATTTAACAAGAAAGAAAGCTAACTTTGGCCAGCCAAATTTGTATACCCTTGCAGGTAACAATTAAAATATATCATAACTAAGCCAAAAATGCATTAATTTCGATTCGGAAAGCAGTTTTGTTTTAGTTTTTATTAATTAAAAACAACTGCATACCAAATTTAAAATT